ATTGAATTGAAAAGATCTAGGAACAAAAGTGTACGGACATTTCGTATTCGATATATCATATGTGTGATAGCATCACTACGGATATATCACCTGTCATGTAATGATCACTCTTGATCCCTATCAAAGTATGTTTTCAAAAATCCAAACGTGTAATTTAAATATGATCTCAGTAGTTCAAAGTTATTATCAGAGTAGGATATTTTTATCTTTGATCATATATCCCACACGGGAATTTTCGTAGGAATATTCAAATTCATGAACGCATACTGTAATGACTTTGTTATATATGAGATCGGGAACAAATTTTTGTTAGAGCCTTAAAATTGAGGAATCAAATTTTATTTCTAACTAATTTAGCTGTTTTAATTTCATTACTAACACTTTGTTTGACTTCTCGTTTACGATAAAGCTATCATTTCACAATATTATTTTGCCATATTCACTAGCAATTAAGAAATTTTTTCAGTTTTTATTTTGTATGTCACATAATTAAAATCAATAAATCAGTTTCTAATGCCCCAAAACTTCGATTTCTTTTTCATTATTGATTGATCACTTCCTCGGATGCTTCCGATGAAATTATCAATGCTTTCAGTATTTCTCATCCATTCTATGAGTAGCATCAATCCTGTGTTGTTATTCCCGAAAGTTGAAAGGAGAACTGAGGACATTTTTATGATTCAGTGTAGTAGCATAATTAGCCTAATATCTATGAAACCTTTTAAAAAATACCTGCAATCCAATAAGTTGATTTTAATGAGTAATAAATCAAATTTCTTCGTAGCAGCGGCAGGTCGTGATTATTGTTGATGAAAATGAACTAACGTTACCTTTGCTGATTTGAGGACAATAACGCTTAGTTTGAATTGCGTATGCTTCTAAATTGACCATTTTTAAACCAATTTATTCATGATATTTGCATTGTTGTAGTATTAGTATTCTTTGGATTATGTGTTTATCGAAATAAAATTGCATTATAGTTTACAGGTAGATTTTGATTATTACAGGTAGATTTTAGCATGAGACAATGATATTCATATTGTAAATTCATTCGTTTTATATGAAAAAGCAATATAAATAAAAAGCTTTACTATTGTTGTATTAATTGAATTCACAAATATCTCTGAAAATTTTGAGTGCTTTCTCCAAAGAAAACGTAAAATTCAACTTAAGTGATAATAGCTGATTATTTGTGATAAATGCATTTGTTAATTAATGATATTATATTGATTGATCAAATTTTCGAAATGATAAAAGTTGAATTAATGGTGAATTGAAATCATTGGAATCAATATTTTTTCTTGATATTTATAATATTATTGCCATAATTAATAATTCAAACGAAGAAAAAGAAAAGATAATATTTTAAATGCATTTTAATGCTTAATTTAATATTTGTTCATTTCGAATTTCTGTGACAAACGAAACCTTTTATCATTGATCTTTCAACTATCAAACAACCTTCCAAAATGATATCAATAAGTTTCTGTTTGATATGACAATTGTGATATTAACTTTGTCATTTGTTTTTATTAACATTTAAGTTTCTTTTTAACCATTTAGAAGTATGTAATTAAAAGAATAAACTTCAACAATAATTACCGGTAATGGAATAAAATTCCATTATTTTGTAGCTGTCACTACGATTGGAACATTTTTAAAGTTAATGCAAATTTGAAATGAAGCCTGGCAACTTTGTCTTTGTCATTTAGAGAATAGGAACATGCATTATGTTTGATAATGAAATGTTGTGGCGAACGATGTAAGTATTACTATCGGTGGATATCTCGAATGGTTCGAATGGTTGCTCACAACGTACCATATACTTCTTTTCTTTTTCTGAAGTAACACTTACATTTGAAACTATCTGAAATTCTTTCCTATTGACATTTGTTTATTGTTAGTCGCAACTATAAAAGAACGGATTCTCAAACTCAGGTCGAAAAATTGATGAAGCAATTGCAAGAATACAAAGATTTTTTTATTCTAGCCAGATGAATATCTTTATCTTTCTCGAAATACACCATCCTATAGCACTTGCTATGATGATCTTAATAATTCATTTAATAATTCAAAGCAAGAATATCATGGAATGTTGAAATACTATTTGAAATGTACGTCATATGCTTGTTGAAAAGAAAATGAAGAAAAATTGCATCGATGAAAATATAATTCAAAATTATTTATTCTAACGATTTAATCAATTAACAGGAACAATTTGATCTCATTATTGAAAACAAAAGTAGTGAGTATAATTTAAATTAAATTATCGGTGCGAAATTAATATGTTTGTGATGTGGTCTCAATGTAACACAATATTGATGAAAGAATGGTATTCCGAGTAAAACCGCATCTTCATCAGCACGAGCAGTTCTTTCACTCACTGTGAACGCAAGTTCGCACAGCGTATCGTCCGGCTGGAATATAAATTTTTACGATATTCTTTCCGGATAATATCGATGAGAGAGGAATTTTTTAACCAGAAGTATTAAATGAAAGAATAAACTTCAACAACATTTACTGGTAATGAAATAAAATTCGATTATTATGTCGTCACTACGGATGGAATATTTTTAAGGTTAATGAAAATTTGAAATGGATTTTCGTCTTTGTCATTTAGAGATTAGGAACATACATTATGTTTGATAATGAAATGTTCTGGCGGAACGATGTAAGTGTTATGATTGGTGGATATCTCGAATGGTTCGAATGGTTGCTCACAACGTATCATATATTTCTTCTCCGTTTTTGAAACTTTCTAAAATACTTTCATATTAAAGAAACAACAAAATTTGGTAATTAACGAAGTAAATTAAGAGTAAAACTAATAAAGTTATTAAGTCATTAATAATACCAACCGTTGCATTGAGATTGTTAACGATTTTCTGAAGGAATTTAATAGGAAGACCGATATACGGCTCAATGGTATTCAGATAAGCAAATGATTTCATAGGAAATGCCACATTGCCCATTTTGATGGAATTATATTCGAATTCGTAACGATTTCCGGATTGATCAAGTAGGAGAGGAGAGAAACGGGTATTACGCAATGATGACGATACATTGGTTTCACAGTACGAACGAAACGGTTTAATTTTTAGATAGTTCAAACGAAGCAGTTCAGTGGTTCCGTAGTTCCAATCGCATGACTCATCGTTACGTCCACCAAGCGTTAATATCGCTTTATTATCAGAATCCTACATTTTCACTGTCATTATATTATGTATTCTGTTCAATACAGTGGCATTTAAGTAAGTTCTAGAAGTTGGAAAAAATGATATCACTTCGTGGGAAATTTAGCCAATGATAAAAGGGAAAAAACAAAATTTCTCATCAGGTGAGCAGTTGTCTCTCAGTATTAATTATTCGCTTTACATCGAATAACATAAATAAAATCAATATAATTTTATCGTTCCATTCCGCAGATATTATGCTAATAAAATGATAAAATGAAAGGTTAATTTACCAATGGTGGCAATGCAATAGTAACAAACGGATACACTTCATAACCCCAGACAGCAACCTTTACTGGATTACTCGTAATGGATCTGTTATACAAAGACTGACAGATAACTCCAGATGGAATGCCATCAACATGGAAAGCCGATAAACCAAGTACACCATCGGTTTTTTGATAATCATCCCATTTAGACCATTTCAAATTGTTTACCACACCGAATGCAGTTCTGATGAAATGTAGTTGGCTTGCATCTGTTAAATTGAACTGAAAAAATATTTTCTCAAAATTTTATTTAGTATTGCGAAAATAATTATTTTTTTGATAATGGAATTGTTTGAAAGTATCGTTGTTATTAGCAGGTGAAAAACACTAAACGCTTTCGCTACAATCTTTGACGATAATTAATTTTATTTAATAATATTAATTTTATTATTTGTTATGTATAAGTGAGAAAAAAACAATCAGGAAAGAACACCATAATAGTGTCCATTCGATCGAGCAGTTCAACTTCTCTGGAACCGTAAGTTTGTTTTTGGTAAAGTATGTCACTCATAAAAGAAGATTCCCGCTCTGAGTAAGTTTTCATTTCCCTCGAAATTATCTGGCTACAATTTATCGAAGATAATCTGTGGAACATTTAACAGATGAAATTATTAAAAATTCTCACACTCTACACTTAAAAATTTGATCTCGCTCTTTTATAATAAGTTTTGGAATATTTCTTACAAATCATAACTTATTTCCAGATATATGGATGATTAAAAGAAGCAAAAAGCTGAACATACTGATATGAAGGAGGAAAAACCCAAAGAAATGCTGTAACAGTATCCAAAAGTAGAGAGAACTCCTTTTTCGATTCACCGATCATCACTTTTGCAGCATATCCGATATGTTGCTAAAGGATATTATCAAACATGTAAACAGTGAATCCTTATTGAGAGAAAATGGTGGAACGTTTAAACTTCATGAAATAATTATCAACATACATTTGATTTGTTGTATATGGGATATAATTCAACTTGATGCTCAGCAAATATCGATGTCACTTGAAGACAACAAAAGATAATTGTCAAATTGATTAGCGTACCTGTCATCTTTAGGCCTAGAATTGAACTGAAAAAATCAAAGGATAAGAATGTACGAGCATTTCGTATTCAACGCTTTGTATATGTGAAAGCACCTCTATGGATATATCACCTGTCATGTAATGATCACTGTTGAATCTTTTCAAAGTACGTTTTAAAAAATCCAACCGTGTAATTTAGATATGATCTCAGTAGTTCAAAGTTATTATCAGAGTAGGATACTTTTATCTTTTATCATGTATCCCACAGGGGAATTTTCGGAAGAATGTTCAAATTGAATAACATATACTGTGATGATTTTATTATATATGAGATCGGAAACAAATTTTTCTTAGAGCCTTAAAATTGTGGGATCAAATTTCATTCGCAACTAATTTAGCTGTTTTAATTTCATTACTACTGGTTTGTTGGACTACTCGTTTACCATAAAGCTATCATTCCACAATATTTCTCAGGTTTTTATTTTGCATATCACAAAATTATGATCAATAAATCAGTTTCTAATGCCCCATAACTTCGATTTCTTTTTCATTATTGATTGATCACTTCCTCGAATTATTTGCGATAGACTTATTAATGCTTTTAGTATTACTCAGCCATCCTATGATTAGCATCAATCCTGTGTTGTTATTCCCGAAAGTTCAAAGGAGAACTGAGGGCATTTTGATAATTCAGTGCAATAGCACAATTAGCCTAAAATGTAATGAACACTTTTAAAAAGTAATACCCGAAATCCAGTGAGTTGACTTCAATGAGTAATGAATCGAATTTCTTCACAAAAGCAGTTGGTTGTGATTTCCGTTGACAAAATTGAACTAACGATACCTTTGATGATTTCACGACGAAAAAGTTTTGTTTGAATTGCCTATGCTTCTATATTGAGCATTTTTAAATCAATTCATTCACGATATTTGCATTGTTGTAGGATTAATGTTCTTTGGATTGTGTGTTTATCGAAATAAAATTACATTATAATTTCGCAAGTGATTATTACAGGTAGATTTTAGTATGACAATGCTTCATATTCTAAATTCATTCGTTTAATATGAAAAAGCAATATAAATGAAAAGCTTTTGAAATCATTGCAATCAATATTTTTTCGTGATATTTATAATATTATTACCATAATTAATAATTCAAACGAAGAAAAAGGAATGATAATATTTTAAATGCATTTTAATGCTTAATTTAATATTTGTTCATTTCGAATTTCTGTGATAAACAAAACCTTTTATCATTGATCTTTCAACTATCAAACAACCTTCCAAAATGATATTAATAAGTTTCTGTTTGATATGACAATTGTGATATTAACTCTGTGTTTTTTATTAACATTTGGGTTTCTTTTAAACCATTTAGAAGTATGTAATTAAAAGAATAAACTTCAGCAATAATTACCGGTAATGGAATAAAATTCCATTATTTTGTAGCTGTCACTACGATTGGAACATTTTTAAAGTTAATGCAAATTTGAAATGAAGCCTGGCAACTTTGTCTTTGTCATTTGGAGAATAGGAACATGCATTATGTTTGATAATGAAATGTTGTGGCGAACGATGTAAGTATTACTATCGGTGGATATCTCGAATGGTTCGAATGGTTGCTCACAACGTACCATATACTTCTTTTCTTTTTCTGAAGTAACACTTACATTTGAAACTATCTGAAATTCTTTCCTATTGACATTTGTTTATTGTTAGTCGCAACTATAAAAGAACGGATTCTCAAACTCAGGTCGAAAAATTGATGAAGCAATTGCAAGAATACAAAGATTTTTTTATTCTAGCCAGATGAATATCTTTATCTTTCTCGAAATACACCATCCTATAGCACTTGCTATGATGATCTTAATAATTCATTTAATAATTCAAAGCAAGAATATCATGGAATGTTGAAATACTATTTGAAATGTACGTCATATGCTTGTTGAAAAGAAAATGAAGAAAAATTGCATCGATGAAAATATAATTCAAAATTATTTATTCTAATGATTTAATCATTTAACAGGAACAATTCGATTTCATTATTGAAAACAAATGTAGTGAGTATAATTTTAATTAAATTATCGGTGCGAAATTAATATGTTTGTCACGTGGTTTCAATGTAACACAATATTGATGAAAGAATGGTATTCCGAGTAAAACTGCATTTTCATCGTCATGAGCAGTTCTTTCACTCACTGTGAATGCAAGTTCGCACAGCGTATCGTCCGGCTGGAATATTAATTTTTACGATATTCTTTCCGGATAATATCGAGAGATAATATCGATTAACCATTGAGAAGTATTAAATGAAAGAATAAACTTCAACAACATTTACTGGTAATGAAATAAAATTCGATTATTATGTCGTCACTACGGATGGAATATTTTTAAGGTTAATGCAAATTTGAAATGGATTTTCGTCTTTGTCATTTAGAGATTAGGAACATACATTATGTTTGATAATGAAATGTTCTGGCGAAACGATGTAAGTGTTATGATTGGTGGATATCTCGAATGGTTCGAATGGTTGCTCACAAAGTACCATATACTTTTCTTCCGTTTTTGAAGCTTTCTAAAACACTTCCATATTGAAGAAACAACAAAATCTGATAATTAACGAAATAAATTACGAGCAAAACTAATAAAGTTATTAAGTCATTAATAATACCAACCGTTGCATTGAGATTGTTAACGATTTTCTGAAGGAATTTATTAGGAAGACCGATATACGGCTCAATGGTATTCAGATAAGCAAATGATTTTATAGAAAACGCCACATTGTCCATTTTGATGGAATTATATTTGAATTCGTAACGATTTCCGGATTGATCAAGTAGGAGAGGGTAAGAAGGCGATGATGACGATACAGTGCTTTCACAATACAAACGACACGGTTCAATGGTTTCATAGTTCAAACGAAGCGGTTCTGTGGTTTCGTAGTTCCAATCGCATGACTCATCGTTACGTCCACCAAGCGTTAATATCGCTTTATTATCAGAATCCTATATTTTCACTGTTGTTAATATTATGTGTTCTATTCAATCATAACTTACAGTGGTATTTGGGAAAGTTCTAAAAGATGGAAGAAATGATATCACACGTTAATTACAAATTCGTGGGAAATTTAGTCAATGATAAGACGGAATATAACAAAAATTTTTCACCGTTTAAGCAGTTATCTTTCAGTATTAATTATTTGCTTTTCATCAAATTACATAAATGTGATCGATATAATTTTATCGTTCCATTCCCCAGATATTATGCTAATAAAATGAAAAAGTGAAAGGTTAATTTACCAATGGTGGCAATGCAATGGTAACAAACGGATACATTTGACCACTCCAGATAGCAATGTTTATCGGATTACTCACAATGGATCTGTTATACAAAGACTGACAGATAACTCCAGATGGAATGCCATTAACATGGAACGCCGATAAACCAAGTACACCATCGGTTTTTTGATAATCATTCCATTTAGACCATTTCAAATTGTTTATTATACCGAATGGAGATCTTATGAAATGTAGTTGGGTTGCATCTGTTAAATTGAACTGAAAAAATAATTTCTCAAAATTTTAGTTAGTATTGCGGAAATAATTATTTTTTTTGATAACGGATTAATCTATTTGAAAGTATCGTTGTTATTAACAGGTGAATTACACAAAACACTTTAGCTGCAAGCTTCGACGATAATTGAAGTAAAATTAATTTAATAATATCAATTTTATCATTTGTTATCCATAAGTGAGAAAAAAACAACCAGGAAAGAATACCATGATATCATCCCTGCGGTCGAACAGTTCAACTGTTCTGGAACCGTAAGTTTGTTTTAGGTAAAACACACCAGTCATGGAAGAAGATGCCGATTCCCACTCTGAGTAAGTTTTCATTTCCTTCGAAAATATCTGGCTACAATTTAGCGAAGGTCTGTGGGACTTTTAACAGATGAAACTATTAAAAATTCTCACACCTACATTTAAAAATTTGATCTTGCTCTTTTATAATAAGTTTTGGAATATTTCTTACAAATCATAACTTATTTCCAGATATATGGATGATGAAAAGAAGCAAAAAGCTGAACATACTGATATGAAGGAGGAAAAACCCAAAGAAATGCTGTAACAGTATCCAAAAGTAGAGAGAACTCCTTTTTCGATTCACCGATCATCACTTTTGCAGCATATCCGATATGTTGCTAAAGGATATTATCAAACATGTAACAATGAAATTTATCTTAATTGATTTCAATCCCTATTGAAAGAAAATGGCAGAACGTTTAAACTTTATGAAGCGAAATAATTATCAACATACTTTTGATATGCTATAAACGGGATATAATTCAATTTGATCCTCAGCAAATATCGTTGTCACTTGAAGACAACAAAAAATAACTGCCAAATTGATTAGCATATCTTTCATTTTTACGTCTAGAATTGAATTGAAAAGATCTAGGAACAAAAGTGTACGGACATTTCGTATTCGATATATCATATGTGTGATAGCATCACTACGGATATATCACCTGTCATGTAATGATCACTCTTGATCCCTATCAAAGTGTGTTTTCAAAAATCCAAACGTGTAATTTAAATATGATCTCAGTAGTTCAAAGTTATTATCAGAGTAGGATATTTTTATCTTTGATCATATATCCCACACGGGAATTTTCGTAGGAATATTCAAATTGATGAACGCATACTTAATGACTTTGTTATATATGAGATCGGGAACAAATTTTTGTTAGAGCCTTAAAATTGGGGAATCAAATTTTATTTCTAACTAATTTAGCTGTTTTAATTTCATTACTAACATTTTGTTTGACTTCTCGTTTACGATAAAGTTATCATTCTACAATATTATTTTGCCACACTTACTAACAGTTATGAAATTATCTCAGGTTTTTATTTTGTACATCATATAATTTTAATCAATAAATCAGTTTCTAATGTCTCAAAACTTTCGATTTCTTTTTCATTATTGATTGATCACTTCCTCGAATTATTTCCGATAGACTTATTAATGCTTTCAGTATTTCTCATTCATCCTATGGTTAGCAGCAATTTCCAGTGTTGTTATTCTCGAAAGCTGAAAGGAGAACTGAGGACATTTTTATAATTCAGTGAAATAGCCTAATATCTATGGCCTAATATCTATGAAGCCTTTTAAAAATAATACCCGAAATCCAATGAGTTAACTTCAATGAGTAATAAATCAAATTTCTTCGCAGTATTTGGCGGCTCGTGATTTTCGTTGATAAAATTTAACTAAAGATATCTTTGTTGATTTAAGGACAAGAATTCTTAAATGATAGCTCTGCTTTTATAGTTTTAAATTCATTCATGATATTTGCATTGTTGTAAAATTAGTATTCTTTGGACTATATGTTTGCCTTATTAAAATTGCATTATAGCTTTGCAATTGATTATTACAGGTGGAGTAGTATGACATTTCTTCATGCCTGTGAATTCATTCGTTCTGTAAGCAAAAGCAATAAAAATGTATTTGTTGTAATAATTGAATTTACAAAGATCTCTGAAAATTTTCAGTGCTTTCTCCGAAGAAAATCTGAAATTCAACTTAAGTGATAATAGCTGATTATTTGTGATAAATGCATTTGTTAATTAATGATATTATATTGATTGATCAAATTTTCGAAATGATAAAAGTTGAATTAATAGTGAATTGAAATCATTGGAATCAATATTTTTTCTTGATATTTATAATATTATTGCCATAATTAATGATTCAAACGAAGAATAAGGAAAGATAATATTTTAAATGCATTTTAATGCTTAATTTAATATTTTTTCATTTCGAATTTCTGTGATAAACGAAACCTTTTATCATTGATCTTTCTACTATCAAACAACCTTCCAAAATGATATCAATAGATTTCTATCTGATAAGATCTTGTGATATCAATTTTGTCATATCTAATTAATTCGTTGCAAAACACACTTCCACAGGAATTTTTATTGTCATTAATAGTGTTAACTTTTGTTTTTAGACAATTCAAATTTTTTATAAAATAAATTTTGAATATGTTATAAAAGTTATGAATATGTTTATGCTTATTTATTTGAATGCAAGTAAATAAGCATAAAAGTTTATTTCCTTTTAAAGCATATTCATACATAGTCAGATAACATTTCCTTTCCGGAATAAGAAATGACAAAATTCATCCATTGCAGAGTTAAATTCAGTAATAATTTTCATTCTCCAAATATTTCATTTTTTAATTCGATTATTCGAACAATGAAATTTAGTAGATTTTTTAGGTATTTTTAGAGCATTTTTTCACTTACTCTTTTCGTTACGTTATCTTACCAAATTACATTACGTTGAATTACTTCGTAAAATAAAGTAGGACAAGCCGTCCTTTCTTCCGAATAATAATAAAGTCCTTCCTCTCATCGAATCTACATCTATCATCGAATAAAAATTAACATAAAGTCCTTCAGATCCATCTTTCCGGATAAAAAGTAAGAAAATAAGATTAAAAATCTCAAAGTTTTGAAGCGACATAAATAAGGCATGAAAAGGAATGAGGAATCTGGAAGAAATTTGTTTTCTTCTTCTCAGAAATGTAGAAAAAAATAGACATATTTTGTCAAAGGATATTTTATATTCAAATGTGAAACTGTCAACAATTTCAAATTAATATATAATTTTTTGCAAATTTTATATGAGTTTATCGAAGAAAAAAGAAGAGAAATAGCAATGGGAAGTGATTAATCAAAAGAATTGCAAGATATATTATCATTAAAAAATTAGTAATTATTAATTAATTACAGATGATTGGATAAATATGACAATATTTCAATAATTGTTTCAAATTAAATTATTATTAAGAAAATGAAAAAAAGGGAAATATTATATTATTATAATTGCTAAAATTAAAAGTATTTACTATCTCATAAAATGCAAAACGTTTTAATTTACTTTATATATGCAACAAATTAGCCTTTTATTCGATGGAATTATTTAAGGATCGATTGTAAATTTAATAATCATTCATTTATTTTGAATATTACTGAAAAAAACAAATGAAGAAAAAGTTCGTCGAAAAACTTCACAACACTTCACAACAACACTTCAAAAATATTTCCGTAATATTAATGCTATTGTATATTTAATGCATATGTATAATTATGATGAATATTTGACAATTTAAAATTTCATAATTAATTAAAATATTATTAAAACTTTTGATTGAATTTAAAACTTAATACTTAATACTCATTATATTATATTATTCGTTACAAATTATCACACATACAAAGATTTTTAACTAATCATTTTTTATCACACGATTTCCTTTTCTATTCCTTCTTTTCTCCTCCCTTATTTTTACATCATTTTTTAACTTAGTTAAATCTTTTAATTTCTTTTTCACATTTCTAATCAGTGAAATGTATTTATGGTACCATTCTCATCTCAAAGGAAAATCCGTATTTCATATAACGTCTCATATATTCTTGATGATTATGGAATTATCGAAATTCACAAATATTCGAAAGGATACAAATTCACCGATCTCTCTCTCCCTGTTTTCCCTATACACAGAGAGAAATTACAAGTAAGCATATAATTCCTTCTGAATTTGTCATATCTTACCCGTTGGAGAGAACATATGGATGAAAATGCGAGAGATGCAAGGGTGCTATCACAATCAATCGGGAATTGTAATAAGTCAAGAAGTAGGTTGGTAGTATAATTGTCAAAATATGATATAATAACGTGAAGAAATAGGAAAGTCAGAAAATATGTAAACCACTAATATACATTGGAGAATGGAGTATGTGTGAGATGAGTTATCTTATCATCGGGTTTTTAGTCATTCGAAAGAACCGATCCCGCAATTTTTATTCGGAAGAACTGCCCTGATCTTATGATATTGAAAAAATGTATGATGGAAGCATCTCATTTTCATAATTCTATGTCTGAACCAAATCTGCTGGACAATCTATCATCGTGACGCAAAAGCAATTGGGCAATAATGAGGCAGTGATATTTGACGTATACAGGGTAGTTTGTGAGGGTATACGTTTTTGTTAACCTATGAGTGCTGGGTTGGATTGCACGAAAATTAACCTTTTTCAAGTAAACTCATGTTCCTTTTGTAACATATAGATGATAGGACGAGTAATACAGTGGTGATATTGGTAACTGATTGCGGCGGAACTGCGCGCCATTTGACATTATATTCATTATATTATATTGACATTATACATTTTATTATCATTTGATATCATTATATTATCATTTGACATTATATTCATTATATTGCTATTCTATTAACTTAATTCAATAAGAACGATGACAACTGTGTTTATTCTGTCTTTGTTTTTTTTCTGGCAGTGCTCTCTGTTTTATTGTTATTTGCATTTTAGAATCGAGCTTCACCACGCTGACGCTCTTACACAGCGTTTATTGTTTAGTTCGAAACCGTAGCAGTTCTTACACTAATATCAGGCGATCGATTTCCAGGTTCTATTGTCAACTTGAGTTTAGCAGCAATAGAAGTACTCGTAAATTTTCCGAAGTGAAAATGGCTGGTGATAAAATGAAAGGATCAGCGAATGAAGTTCGAATCATTTCTGTTATAGTAGAAATAACTTTTGTCTTCCTATTATTGAGTGGATAATTTGGTTGCAGTATTTATTAAGGTTTACTTGTTGGAAGAAACTCCGACGTTCTATCTTTATAAGGTTGGAAAATTGAGAAAGCGGATGGAGAAACTTTAGCGGGAGCGTTGAAATCTGGAATATTTTATAGCTTTTACTCGTCGATTTCTCTGTTGCTTAGATTTTTTTCTATTATTAAAAACTTTCCCCTGATATTATCGCTGTTAACTTTGTATTATCTTGCAGAAAATTACTAAAGCTCCAATCGAACTCAGTTCTTGGCCTGCTTTTATTGATGAGCGTATTGCTTTGTTCGATAAACTTATGGCAAAATACCATGAAGAAATTGCTTCAAAGGTATTTTTTCTTCCATTTACTTCTCTTTAACGAATTAATATGTTTTATTACCAGTTTATTTTTAATTTTTAGTCATTTCATTCTCCAGAGCGGAGCTCTGAGCTCGATAAATTTTTCAGAAATCGGAGAAAATTAAAATCACTTTACCAGATGGGAAAGAGTTAGAGGGAAAATCATGGTGTACGACTCCACTGATGATCGCAGAACAGATTAGTCGTGCATTTGCTGACAGTGCTATTGTGGCGAAAGTTAATGGAGAAGTTTGTTTTTTTCGGAAATTTCAAGTTTCAGAAAAGTTTATGGTGACCTGTTTTCAGTTTTCTTTTTTCACGTGATTTCGATGTATATTCAGGATCATTTAATATCGCTATGTGAATCTTTAAGAGTGATATTGTGCAATTTCTATAAAGAAATTTGAACAGTTTCGCTTTTTTGTCCTTTTTTAATATTATCTTGAATTTATATTGAAGCATGTTATTGTCTGCGCAAATTTCTGTGATGAGCATAGAAGTTTGCGCGGATTTTTTATAAGGGGTTGAATGATTGTCTCATCTAACTACATTTTCGCTAAATTGTTATCTCCAGGTGTGGGATTTGGATAGACCATTCGAATGTGATGCAACTCTACAGATTCTTAAGTTTGATGATGATGAGGGTAAACAAGTGAGTAGTTTTTTATTCTCTTCTTACTTTATCCGTATATATAAAGGTTTTAAGGAATGATTCGGCAAATTTCTCTCCATCTTTCTTGAATGACTCTAATCAGAAGCCATCTTCAAGTGTCAGAAGTCCTTTACTCCGAGAGTAACGCTTTTAAAATGAAAGAATTGAGTTCTCTAACTTCATTATGATTGCACCATCCAGATATTGCCAGAATTTCATGTTCAGTGATATTTCTGAAATCAGTGGTGCTAAAGCATATCTATATAGACCGAGTAGGACCAAAACTTAAATTGGTCATAGTTATGGCTGTTTTTCGGTTGAACAAATATATCTTTTAATGGTAGAATGGCAAGGAAAATGGTAAATATTAGCGCCTCAAATTTTAGGTTTTTTGGCACAGTTCAGCTCATATCATGGGTGAAGCTATGGAACGTTATTGTGGTGGTCATTTATGCTATGGTCCACCGATTTCAGAAGGATTTTATTATGATATGTGGAAGGAGGTTTATTATAATTTTTTTTCTCTTTCATTTCAATATTCCACATTTAGCATCTCTTATTTACTTATCCGTATATTTTAGCATCACGAAAACCTACTTGGTTCGTAAATCTCCGGAAATGCATAAAGCCATCAAAAAAGTGTTTTAGGGATCTGCAGTCACTCCAGATGATTTTCCGAAATTGGAGCAGATTATTAAATGTGTTGTTAAGGTTATTCCTCAATTTTTAATTCCTAATTTTGTAATTATTGCGTGGAATGAGTGCTGTTTGCTGGTTGTCATTTTATATGCAACAGCAGCCCCATGCGTTTTTGTAATACTTTTGCATAGCATCCTTGTTTATAGGATAAACAGCCTTTCGAACGATTGGTTGTTTCAAAAGAAGATTTACTGGAAATGTTCAAATACAATAAATTCAAGGTACCAATAAGTTTTTCTGTAGAAAACATATTATCTCTTATTTATGGCTAATTTTATTTGAGGTTAGTTAGTTCAGTATTGAAGCGAAACTATGAAATCTTCATTTTAGGTCCGCATTATAAACGAGAAAATTACAACCCCTTCTACTACTGTATATCGTTGCGGGCCATTGATTGATTTATGTCGAGGACCACATGTGCGTCATACTGGCAAAGTAAAGGTAGTTGGAGTTTTTGCAACGTTCTTATTATGTGATTAAACAGTTTTGAATCTAATGAGTTGAAGGTAAGCTGATGCTTGATCTCTCACTGTATTTTTATGCGGGTTGAATAATTTCGATTCGTCGAAAGGAAAGTAGGAGCAATAATGGAGTTTGTACTAAACTGTTAAAAGAAGATTTTGCTATTTCGGCAGATGTGATTTGAGATTTGCCGACTTTAAGGGAGCGTTAATTATCATGTCACATCGGCAACTTTAAGGCTTTGGCTTTAACTAAAACGTCAAGTTCATACTGGGAAGGACGATCGGATGCCGAATCTTTAATCCGCATTTATGGAATGTCATTTCCTGACTCGAAGCAACTCAAAGAGTGGCAAAAATTGCAGGTTAGTTGGATATTATCATGGAAAGCAGATTATGTAGTTGATGCTTGGTGATGACAGTGATTATCTTTTTTTTCGGAAAACCTTGGATTAGAGTATTTTCCTATTTTGAAAAGAAGTGGTTAAAATGCGTTACCTTCTTATAAAGCACATGTTTTCGCGTTTTCTCGAAATTAGCAGAGATAAACGTTCAGAAATGTGCAAAAGTACTTATTGAAACAGTGATCTCGGTCTCAACTCTGGCTCCGAAGGACTGCAGCCAGCAGTAAGAGTGTTGAGATACATTTGGTCTACGTGAATTTATCTTGGACGTCACGATATGATTGCTTTCTAAAATCCCAGCGATAATATTTCTCAGAAGTATTACATACCGCGATCATGTTGTTTATTGACGATTCAAACTTTGAGTAATATGATTATTAGATAGCATCTTCAAGAATTCCAGAAAAATATTACCTGAAATGGCTAATATGACTGGCACTTCTTTTAATAATATATTTCATTGTAACTCCAGTTTGCACAAAAACGCGAGTATATTTTATTATGAATGTTGCACTTTAATTTTTTTAAAAAATTTCTAAGGAGGAAGCGGCTAAACGAGATCATAGGAAAATTGGACGTGACCAAGAATTGTATTTCTTCCATTCACTGAGTCCTGGCTCAGCTTTCTGGTATCCAAAAGGAGCTCATATTTACAACACCCTGTGCAATTTCATACGTAAGGAATATCGCAAACGTGGATTTACTGAGGTGTCATCATTTATATCTATTTGGCTTATTAATGAATTAAAGTTGAGCAGTTAATATTATGAACTGGCTTCAAAAACTTATGTGATACTTTTAGCATTGGAAGACATGTTTTATTATATATGAATACACGATTTTTAAACATGTGTACGATAGTTTGTATTCGATATTTAGGTTATAACACCAAATATGTTCAATAGCAAATTGTGGGAGCAGTCAGGCCATTGGGAACATTATTCGGATAATATGTTCAAGTAATTTTTCTTAATTTCTTAATAATTAAAAGTGTTACTCGGAGCAAGTTCTGCAACAGAATTTTTTCTTGAGAGAAGTTCGAAATGATTCGTATTTTAAGAATTGATATTGAAAAGGAAACATTTGGACTTAAGCCAATGAACTGTCCAGGACATTGTTTGATGTATTCTCACATGCCGCGTACCCACAATGAGTTGCCACTGCGATACGCTGATTTTGGCGTTTTACACCGGTAGAAGATTCTAAAAATTTTTGGAAAACGTTACACTACTTCGATAGTAATCAAATTTTTAAGAAAAAAAAGAAGCGAAAAAGTGATAATTTAAATATAAATAACTTTTTAATAGTTTCGATGCTGGCGTTTTTGAAGAATTCGAAGAACCTTAATTATTTTACATTTAGTAGAAGTTGGTTTTCCAAGTAAATTCGCTAATTTTTTGTCCTTTAAGCAATGAGATGAGCGGTGCACTAACCGGTCTAACTCGGGTGCGACGTTTTCAGCAGGATGATGCACATATTTTTTGTCGGCAAGATCAGATTGTTGAAGAAGTAGTGGTGAGCTTTGAAAGACTTTTTCATTATTGGCGATATTTAAATTAAGTTCTTGAATTTTTTTTTCGCAGTTCTTTTTTTTCGCATTTCATAAATTGTTAAGTTTTCTTTGATCGCCATGTGTTTTTTTGCTGATAGGCGTTTCCTATAGGGTTGCATCGATTTTCTCAAATATGCTTATATTGATGTATTTGGTTTTACATTCAAACTAAACTTAAGTACCAGACCGGAGGTAGGATATCTGGGTGATATCGAAACATGGTAAGTAATTCGTTACGATCGTTTTTTTTGTCATTTCATTCAGTTTTAATTCAAACGAAATCTAAAACTCTAAACTTCTAATTTTTTATTATACTATATTTGTTTCATGTTCTTTTGTTTAAACAATCTTTTTCAATAGTATGGCGGAGAATGAGCTAACTTAGTGTTCAATTACAGGAATACTGCGGAAGATAAATTAAAAGAAGCACTGAATGTATCTAGACATGAGTGGGAGCTGAATCCTGGCGATGGTGCTTTTTATGGACCAAAGGTTGAGTTAATTTAATGTTAAAGATTTGTGAGGCGATCTATTTCTTATACTGGGCTTAAACTTATTTTGTATTTCAGATCGATATCGCAATTAAGGATGCACTTCAACGATTCCATCAGTGTGCAACAATACAGCTTGATTTTCAATTACCTATCCGATTTGATTTATCTTATTTCGAGTGTGTTCATTGATTTTGAATTTTATTTCAAAAACAAAAAAACCAGAGGTAGTAAAGATTAGTTTAGTCATTTGGATAGCATTTTTTATCAGTGCTATTCTAACTGGTTCTTACTTTTTTCTAAATTTTTACTTTTTTTTCGATGCGTGCTTTTTTTGGAGCAATATTAAGGTTCATTTTTATTATATCTAGAAAGATGCTTTTTTTTATGATGAAAAGGATTTGTTATATACCAATGTTTTCTTAGTGAAAACAATGAAAGACAAAGACCAGTGATGATCCATCGTGCGTTGTTGGGTTCAATAGAACGAATGACTGCTATTTTAGCGGAGAACTACGGCGGCAAATGGCCGTTTTGGTTATCACCGCGACAAGTAACCAAAGCATTTTTTTCGTTGATAGGATTCATAATGAATTTTCAGTGATATTTTTTCTGGTTGAAAATGTAGAATGATACAGCTAAAGATGCTAAATCTTTTTCATATGGTTTGATGTATTTTCCATGTGTCTGGAATAATGTTGTTTGAAAAGGAGATTATCGTTGAGAAATAACAACCACTTAAAGGAGTTTTCAACAGCATTGAACATTGCCGAAGATGAATAAAATGATTAATCTGTATCCTTTTTTCAGGCGAAGGTTATAACAGTTCATGAATCTCAAAATGCTTATGGTAGAATAGTGCACAGAAAAGTGAGTGTCAGATTTTTTTTTTTAATTTAGCATTCTTTAAATTTTGTTCTTATAGTCTCTGCGAAAATTAGATATTTGCTCTTAATATGAGACAATTTGTTACTTATGCTAGGATTATAAAAAGAATTCAGCTATTATAAACGCTTGCCTCCAGTATTTTATGAAGAAAATGGATTTCAAGGAGGTATTTTCATCCCTTCATTAGTGGGCATGGAAAATAGTGTATTTTTACGCATCGTAGATTGCCATTCGATGAAGATTTTTTTTTCAAGATTTTCTGTTTTACAAGATAAGCTGCGGATAAGGCATAGGACAATTGAGTTGTTGAATGAACTTCTTATGTTTAATCTTGGATAATGAATTTGCTCGTGTTTAGCTGGGATAATTAAAAATGTATGTCTTTAGATATTTTCTGAATATATGTGCTTAGGTAATTATCGATGCTTTAAAATTAGAAAATGTAAGTAATGGTCACAGTTCACCTTACTGTGCGAGAGAATTCGTTAAATCTATTTACAGATATATGAAGCAGGCTTTGAGGTTGAATTTGATGCTGACTCATCGGACACATTAAATAAACAGATTCGCAATGCTCAGATTGCGCAATTTAATTTTATTCTAGTGGTCGGACCAACTGAAGCACGAAATGGAACTGTAAACGTTCGTACGCGTGATAATGCAGTATGTCTTTTTGCCTAATTCTTAAGTAATTTACATAATTTTGTATATAATATGGTGATTAAATCACTTCATCAAGAAGAATTGGAGTTTTGAAGTTAATAGTGATTGCGTTTATCAGGAAGTATCTACCGAATTTTAAAATCGAGCAAGCATTATTCTACGATTGTTTCAGTAAAAGTAACACACCATCTTCTCGCATGCTGAAAAAAATCAGGCGAATACTTTTTATCAATTTCATTCCTTGCAGGTGAGGGGTGAAGTGAAATTAGAAGATCTTATCGAAAAATTCAAACGTTTCCAGGAGGAATATGTCCGTGATACAGAAAGCGCAGAGGAGTTTTAAAATCTTCCGTATATAATTTCCGTAATTTTCATAGTTCACATAAATCGTTGCAAATGTCCTGCCAAAACTGATAAGAAAAATTGGGGTCTAGAGTTTTTCAAGAATGCGAAGAAAAAAGTTGCCCAGGCTTTCATTCCAAGTTTTCCTTCCTAATCATATAACACAAACATCTATTTCTTTGTCTGTTCTCCCTTGTGATTTATATTGAGTTGTTATGTTATTAGTCATTATCTTTGCGGAAAGTTTTTATTTTGGAAATAAATTATTTTGAAAAATAAAAAGTCTTGATTCACTTTTTAAAAGTATTCAGCTATAATCAGTTATTTTCTCCACATCGTTGTGCACCCTTATTTTCCCAACTTAATGAGTAATGAATCGGTTGGTAACATCTCGTTTTGCAATTTTGAAATTTTTTGTTGCTTTATATATCGACTGCTTTTGATCGAAATGAAAATTCACGTTTATTTTGGAGTTATAGGAAATGAATTTGCTTTTGTCTTAGTAAACTCATTAAGTTTGGTTAAAAACCTTCTGCAAATAACGATTTGAAGTTGTTTTTAGAAATAAAACATTATGGATTTAGAAGTTTCCGGATAGATGTGAGCAATAAGAGAGTTGAATTTGTAGTTCTAAGTGCATATATTTTATTGAATTGATTGTAGCTTCTGTTGTATTATTGGTCTTTATAATTATTTTCCGACTAATTGATAAGTCATTAACTATTTCGTCTGTAATTAGCAAGATTGAAATAAAAACATCTCAAGTAATTTGCAGTTATTATATACCGTATCAATTCCGTGGAGACTTTTTGATAACGTCGAAGAAAGCGGTTATTAGTGAGGAAGAAGCGTATTATTCTGTTTTTTGAAGAAAGGTCTACATGCAATTATTTCTTTGACTGTGACTCAAAGTCGAAATGGATTTCAAAAATTATTATATTTCCTTGAAATATTTGTAGGGATGCTAGGAGTTCAACTCCTATCAAATGCATACCTATCACCATCGTTTCATCACAAAGTTGGAGATGGATTTCAGTTGGGGCATTTTGTTCGTTTCATTAATGGATGTGGGGAAATTATATGCCTCGAGAGTGATTTACGATATATTTTCGGACCAGAATCGATTGATCTTGGACCGTGTTGTAATCCGTGTGATGAAAATTGGTTAAGGATTTTAAAAAATGGTGATTTCAAATATATTTACAATCTGATATATCTATTTTAATTTATGTAGGTTGTACTGCTGCATTTTTATCTTTCTTGGTGCTACAATCAATACATTACAACCATTGGTAGACCTGTTAAAATAACTGAAAGCGGACAATAACTTAGCTAATGTGTATCCACTTAATATGATTACATATTAATATGATTAATGTGTATTCACTTAATATGTTTTCGGATTACATAAGCTCCTTACAAAAAGATGGTTTTGATTTTCAGTGAACTATTTACAAATAAATGTAGATAATTCAGTTATCAAGACGCAAGTTAATAATTAAATATTAAAATTCTTAGGAACATTTGGAGGCATTAGTCATTCTTTTACCAGGAAAGAAACAGGGTTTTTGTAAATTCTTTTTGGATTTTTAGAGGATGTTTTAGTCTTTTCTCGTGGATATACCTATCCTTATGGAAATGGGTTTGTAGGAACCGCAAAACAGGTCATAATCCCGGCAACACAGAATGTTCATGTCAGTTCCTTTTTTTTTGTTCATCTATCATTTACGATTTCAAATCTGAAATTGAAACTTACTGTCTGATTTCGGTTTTTTTATATGTATTGAATTTTGTTCTCATTTAGCTAGGTTGAGGATATTACAGTTGCAATTAAATAGAATGTATAATAAAAATTTTTTATAGAGTTTTCTTGGTGTAGTTTTGCGTGAGCGTCATCCTAGTTCAACTGAGGGTGCCACAGCTGCTTTTCTCTGTCCACCCTTTGGTATTATAAAATTGCATAAATTTGCATTTGGTTGTGATTCCGATATCTCGTGGCCACTAGTAATTGGCAAACGATTCTGGGTCACGTTGGATGATGTAAGTCAGTTTTTAATAGTGAGTTTATATTTTTCCGCTTTTATGGAGCAAGAATCGTTTAGTTTTAATCAATAGGAATTTAAAGGCTTTAAAGTATGTGGCTTTAAATTTTGTAGTGATGTTTTCTTGTCTCAGAAAAAATGCTAAAATTGTTTGAGTAGTTTCTATTATCTCCTTTTCAGTTTCAATATGATCATCATTATCACTGCTACTGTTATGATATTGTAATCATCACTGTCATTGTATTATGTGATGCGTTATATACGTAGTAAATCTACGAAATAGTCTACAGTGTATTGACATCGTTGATCTCTATTTATGTCAAGAAGTGTCTAATCTACTGTGCGGTCTGGATATTAATAAAATTGAATATAACTTTGCTTCCTAATTTCATGACATTTGTTGTTTTTGCAGGATAAATCCTGGACTAGAGTATGGAAAGTAGATGGTATAGCGGATGACGTTAAATTCGGCCTTGGAACTACACTGTTTGATATACCAAAGCTTCATCTGTGGCAGTGGAATAAAACATTTAACCAATCGGGTATATTCGCAATCGGAGATTTCATTTTGAAAAAAACCAAAAGTACACTTTTAGTTTCTTCAAAGAATGTAGGAAAATTTTAATAAATAATAATATCACTCGGATTTTTGTAGAGTTGAGTAAAAGCATTTACTGTGGACAAATTCCTTCAAATTTTGGAATTAATTTCAGCAAATGAAAGTACAAGTCCGTCAAATGAAATTGAAAGGAATTGCCAAAGTGGTTCAAATATGTCAGCTTCGGTAGAGGCGCAGGGTTGTGAGCGAAAGGAAATTGGGCTCAGCACGAATACACAAAGCAATAATGCCGCCATCAACTTGTTATTAGAAATACTTAATGATCAAAACATAAGAGATTTGGTTGTTGAAAGGCATCAAGAAGCTTTCGAGAATTATATAAGTGAAATATCTCGTCTCTAAAAAGATCTGAAGTGTTTGAAGGCCAATTTTTATTGTGTTTTTTCATAAATTATTTGTTTTCAATTTTACCGGTAATTTTAAGCTGGGTCTTGTTTAAGGAGCCTTCACGCTGGTCGCAGTGAAACTCATTCTTGCTCAATTTTGAACTATCTTTTCAGTAACAACCAATCTTTGGCATATTTATAGTCATTTTCCGCGATGAAGGCGTTACAAAAATTGAAATTTATAAAAGAGATAAAACTTGGAAGTTAGTAGATTGACAGTTTTGTTGTACTTCAAGCCCTTTTCTATCTCCAATATTCGATCAATGGTTATTAAAGAAGTCAATTGTAAGGATTATATAAAAAGCAGTGGCGTAGTATTTCCTGACGTTTGTCATAATATTATTAATTAAAAGATTGGTTGCCAATTTTTGCATCTTTTCTGTATTTTTTTGTGCATCTGTCGCAATAACAACAAAACTGAATTTAATTCGTTGGGAGAGTAATTATGGTAATTCTTATATCTTTGGCTTAGGAAAGAATTAAATTTTTCCTCTGCTATTCTCTTGTTCTAACCGATAACAGCAGTATTGTTAGTTGATTTATAGTAAAACGGTGAACAAATTAGCATGTGAATATTTTAATTATTAATTAGCTTATTAAGTTGTCGGTTAAAAGAGCAAGTGAAATGATTATTCCATGCAGATTTATATCTTCTAATATGGAATAGTGTATGCAAACCAGATGGATACATCGATTACATTTGTTGATTTGCTTTTCGTTTAGCTTTTTCTTTTCATTTTTAATGCAATGCTTATATGTTAATTATTTTGTTTTGTTTTTAGTGATTAATTTTACATTTATTTGTAATCTAACATAGCTGTTGGATATCCATAAATGATTACATGAAAGATTATTTTTTGTCAATCATTGGTTTTGAGCATGAAAAATCCTCTTCTGAATATTTGCTGAAACTGGAAGGATCGATAATTTATTCATTACTCACTTCGTCTAATGCACCATTATTATGGATAAATTTGACGAAAAACTTATAGCGCATCTTCTATGAAGTAAACACTAAGAAGGAAAATTGTTAAAAGTTATCGAAACTAATGTTTCAATGATTAACATTTATCAACCATTGAAGATCGATGTGTTGTTAAAATGTTTGATATTAATAACTGTTATCGGCATGCAACTATCTACTGAACTTCGATTCAACTTGTTAACATCATATTTCAGATTTGGAAGGGAGGAAGTAAAATTATGTTTCAATCTTCGATTTTTTCGACGTAGTGATCCATTACTCGAGCGATTTACCATACAGTGAAAGCACCATCGATTAGTGTTGTAATCATATTATCATTATGAAATTTCACTTTATTATTCTGTTTGTATAAATGAAATCATCGTTCGGAATATTTCATAGCTTATTCAAAGGCTTTTTTGTTCCAGAAAGTATGTTGCCACTTATGTAGTAATGTTTTTTATGCGTTAATTTCATTAATTATTTCTGGTTGATATCCATAAAATGTGGTAATGATTTTAGCATTTATAAGGTGATCAAGCTAGATTGAAATTGTCAGTATTCGTGGACGGCTTTTTGAAATTTATAATATGGTTGGAATTAGTGACACTATTTGGTCTGAATTTTGATGGAAAATTAAAGCACAGAGAATTGATAAGCAATGAATTGGAGCCGAAAAGTATAACCATTTATAATTGTTTTGTTAATAATGAAATTATGGATTTAATTATATCAGTTGATCTTGAAATAATTAATTATAACTCGAGTGTTAGGAATAAGAATAGCCAATCGAATAAGGGAAGTGTTTCTCAGGATGATTCTGAAATATCAGGTTAGATAAAAATGCTTAGTTGTTTTGAAAAAGATAATCAGTGTGAGCGTGTTAAAGTTAAATGACCGGAAGTTAAGTCTCAATAGTTCGTTTTTTTCGAATTTCCAGTTGTTATTTCTGAGTTTCTTTCATGTTTTGTGATGTTCTATTTCTATCAGTTCGTGTTAATTGCAGTAATTTGAAATTAAATTTCGGATTCTGTCACTGTACACCATATTGTCAATTCTACATCTGTCGGCCGTATGAGTAATCAGACGCGATTACAAACAGCGTTAGTTTAGCTTCTTTCTTTTAAATAGACCATTTTGATTGTGTATAATTTGATAATGGAATAGGATATATAGTAAAATAGAAGAGCTTGTGAAGAGTTTTAGATGTAGTCTGATGATGGAGGTCGGATGAGTAATTTCGACTGAATGAATTTTTGAATAATTTTAGGCTGGATCCAAATGAGGATCCTGTGACGGGTCTGGAAAGGGTAGCAGCATTTAGAAATGAGAATGCAGAAATACGGCGAAGAAATCGCGAACAGGCACAACGCGAATTGGAAGAGTCTCGCCAGCACAAATCGGATACAAGTGAAGGGAAAGAAGGCGCTGTTTCTTCACGATATGAAAGTTTGAATTATGAAATCGTCGAAAATAAGCTCTATCAAGCTGAGGAATTGGAACCCGATCATCAGGTATGTTCTCATTTTTCACAGTAAAATGTTTTCCATTTGCGTACTTGTGTCTTTCGTTACACGAATTTTTATAATGTTAGGAAACTTTGAGCTCCGAAGTCATACTATGTTGACAGGAATGTATGAAACATTGCATGCTTGCTGTTATATTTAATAATATTCTTCGAAGTTTCCTTTTATCATGAGGTTTTTTTATATGAATTTGAGGTGGCTTATTTGAGAATTTTTGTTAATTTAACCAAATTAATAAATCAAAACTTAAAAAGGAAATTCATCCCTTATTTTCAGCGAAAACTTTTCCATCAATCAGTGAATCGATGGGTGGTGTGCTTCTTTATTGGAATTCTCACTGCCATTGTTGCAGCTGCTATAGATATAACAATATATTACAGCAGTTTAGTCAAATTCCGCTTAATCATTAGCAATCGTAAGTACCTTACTGATTATTTTCTACAACGTAAATTCAGGCGTCACGTAGACAAGATGTTGATAATGGCTGTAAAATGTGATCGGTTTCATACTTTGACGTCATATTTTTGCTGATGTCGATTCTTATTTTCAGTATTGAATTTATGTGAGAAGCGGATGGAAGTTGGTGGTGGTTGCATATGGACGGTAGAATTTGCATGGATTTGCTATAATTGCATTTTGATCACAATTGCCGCTTGTTTAGTTTTATTTCTATCTCCTATTGCTGCTGGCTCAGGTTTGTTTTCTATAGCTTTTAAAAAATGTTCTTAAAAAACGGTTCTTGTTATAAGTAAATGTTTTAACTAAATAAATGGCGTGCAGGTATATCACAGGTCAAGTGTTTTCTGAATGGTGTGGAAATACCGGGCGTTGTACGACTGAAAACTTTGTTTGCAAAAGCATTTGGTGTAGCATGTACAGTTGCTGGTGGTTTAAGCGCTGGAAAGGTAATATCGTTTGTAGCTGTTTCTATTGTTTTCATGGGATTATTATTGAGTGGCTGTTTATTAGACCTTCTAAATGGCATATTTCTTATTGTATCCAATAATCACTTTCATCTATAGTAAATACAGGAAGGCCCGATGATTCATTCTGGAGCGGTGGTTGCAGCTGGTATTTCACAAGGCAAATGCGTCACTTTCTCACTTGACTTTCATATTTTTGAACAATTCCGAAATGATCGGTAAAATTTAGTTTTTTCGACATCGATATCTGTTTTCAAATACATTACTCTTTCTTGAAAAAAAAAATTTCAGTGAAAAGCGAGATTTTGTGAGTGCAGGTGCGGCAGCTGGAGTGGCTGCGGCTTTTGGTGCCCCAATTGGTGGAGTTTTGTTCAGTCTGGAAGAAGGAGCTAGCTTTTGGAATCAGAGTTTAACATGGCGCATGGTTTATTTTCTTACTCATGCATTCTTTGTTTAAATAATTTCTTGGCCGGTGAAGTTATACTCATGGTGTTACACATGATTTCGTTCGACAAAGTTTTTGTTTACTTTCAGTTTTTTGCTGCTATGATGTCATCATTTACTTTGAATTGCATTCTCAGCGTATTTCATGGAGTTGGTGGTTTTCTGTCATGGAATGGATTAGCAAATTTCGGCGTTTTTGAGGTGACATTCACGTTATATCAACAACTATTTTTCAGTATTATTTAATATCTGCTTTTTTGCTAGCAGTTTATATATATATGTTGCTTAATGTTGACAAAATACATCTTTTTTTTAGAATCATAGCTACAATATTTGGGAAATACCGATCTTTCTTCTCATTGGTATTATTGGAGGCCTCTCTGGCGCTTTATTCAATTTTCTAAATCTGAAACTTTCACGATTTAGAAAGAAGTTGGTGTGATTTCAAATACTACAAGAAGCTATAGTTTGGAAACATCTTGGTGTTGTTTTATTAAAGAAGTGAAGCAGAAAAGTTTAAAATGTTTTAATTGTTTTCTTTCAATGTTTTGAGAATTTTTGTTTTTATTTGAGATATATTCGAAGCAAATGCCAAAAACTGGTGGAATGTTTACTCGTAGCTGCAGCGTCTGCATTTACTGGATTTATTACACTCTTTTTAGTAAACGATTGTCAGCCAGTTGGCCGTAACCCAAAATTAACAGAGGTTACAAAGGTTAATGTTCATGACGAATTTGTTTTACTATTGTTCATGTTTGTAACGTTTGTGCAGTTTTAAAATTTTCAAGCAGAATTTTTAAACAAAGGAACAGCATTCAGATTTTCAGAAAAATATTTAAAAAAAAATCTTTTGAACTGAGATCCATGGATAAATAAATTCGAGTTTACAGTTGTGGTGTCGTAAGGGTCAGTACAGTGCTGTAGCAAACTTATTTTTTCAAAGTCCGGAAGAAAGTGTTAAAAGCCTTTTTCATAGTCCAGCAAGTAAGCTTATTGTTTTCAAAACTGGATGTTTTTAACGAAATTACAGTTTTATTTTCTTGTTTCTCTTTCATTAAAAGAAAAGCAGTGATATCTTGAAATGGCAATCCAATTATTTTATGTAATAAAACCTCTTAATGTTATTAGATTCGTATGCGGTTAGTACATTATTAATATTTGCTGTCGAGTATTACTTCTTATCGTTATGGACGTATGGACTATCAGTACCGAGTGGTATTTTCATACCAACTTTGTTAACAGGCGCAGCATGGGGCCGTCTTATTGGAGTTATCGTCGAATACATGTTTCCAGATGTTGTAAGAATAAGTTTCCTCAATCATTTTTTTTGATTTATAAAATTTCAAGGTTTATTAGTATTATTTTATTTCTTTTGAACTGTTGATGCTAAATATTTTTTCGAGCAGACTGGTATACATCCTGGCAAATATGCTCTTGCCGGAGCTGCAGCCCAGTTAGGTGGTGTTGTGCGGATGACAATTAGCCTAACTGCCATTCTCGTTGAAGCAACCAGGAATATCACATTTGGTTTGCCAATAATGCTTGTTCTTATGGTTACGAAATGGGTTGGCGACTTGTTCAATGAGGTAGTTTTCATTTTGCAAGTGCAAAGACATGTGCTGTAGGAGTATTATCAGATAGTATATGCAATACTTCTTCTTTTAGGGTCTTTACGATGCACATATTGAATTAAGTGAAGTGCCTATTTTGGGCTGGTGTGCGCCGGAGCTATCACGCAACATACTGGCAGGGTAATTTTCCTTACAAATTGCTTAGGATTTTACAGTGTAGCGAATATTTCACATTAATTCATCAAAATCTTAAATCTTGTTTATGATTGCAAATTATTTATGCATGAAAAGTTAATGGTATGAAGAAAATTATCCATTACATCCTGAATTCCGACCTTAATGATCTTTGGACAAAATGAGCTTCTTTCTCGCCACCTATCTGTCTGACTGGAAAGGCTACTCTGGAAATTTTCAGGAGTTTTATCATTAAGATAAAATATATGTTCGCTATGTCTTTACCTTACATCTGTCCTTTATGTACTATATATCCGAAACGTTGACGGCTTACTCATCAGAAAATTATTGTGTATTTATTATGTATTTATCATTATCATTATAATAATGATATTTATCCCTATCATTATTATGTATTTAATATATTTCTGTAAAAACACTCAAAACTTTCAAGAAGTATAATGAGGAGAGATGTAGTAACAATGATGCCGAAAGAACGTGTTTCACGTGTGATTGAAGTCTTACATGCCACATCACACCATGGTTTTCCGGTTATCGATGACATTAATTCTCTGTCAAGCGAGGAAGAAATACCGGAATATGGTCATTTGAAGGGTTTAATTCTGAAATCACAGCTGATTATTCTGATTAAAAAACGGGTAAGCTGGTATGCCTGATATTGTTTCTGAGTTCTTCATTTCTGGTTCGCCATTTGAAGTCGTTTGAGGTTTAGGAAAATTTTTGGTATTTGTTGTTCATGTTTTTATTTACCTGTTTTTATTAGTAATCGGAAAATACAATAAGGAATGGTATTTTCTTTTAGTAAACGTTTTGTAGATTACGATATTTTCGAGGCACTTAAATGGAATTAAATGGAATAACCTAAATGAAGTCTCTTCGTAATTTCAACTTTAAAATTTATAATCATTTTCCTTCCTGATTTTTAGGTTTTTTATAAGGATCCTGAATGTCGAGTTGTGGTGAATGGAAGCGAATTGGTTCAACTTTCTGATTTCGCCGACGAATATCCAAGTTAAGTTGCTTTGGAGTCAAACTGTAAGTTATTTTAGGATTCTTATGTCCTCTATTAACATAGATCTGTAAATATTTTCAGGCATGACGAATATTTAAGAAAGCTACAGCTCTCTGAAGAAGATGCTAATTGTTGGCTGGACTTAACCCCGTATATGCATTCAAGTCCTTATCGTGTACCTTTAAGTGCTTCACTACCATCGATATTTCATCTCTTTCGCGGATTGGGATTGCGATATGTAGCTGTTGTTGACGACGAAAATAAAGTGCTTCTTATATATTTCTTCTAGAAGCTTATCCAGTTCGAACTCTTATTTATTATATGTTTGATGGGAAATATTTTTAGCTTTGTGGAATTATCACTCGGAAAGATCTCGCAAGGTTCAAAGGACGTCGAACTTTTGGAAGCTATGCCATATGGGAAGTTTTTGTTTCGGACTTCCAGACTTGAAGTTTATTGAAATATTTTTCATTTTTCGTTTATTGTTAATAAGTTCCTCCAGAATTTTGCGCTTCACAATATTTTGGTGGAAATTTTTGAAAAGCTTTCATTTTTTTAAGGATTACGAAATTTTCATTCTTAGCTTGTTTATGTTGAAATGTTGTTACGAATACACTTAGTAATTAGTTTCTTAATTCTTGTGACAACAACTATACATATTTCATGTCATTATGACATTTGTATTTTCAATGAATGTAAAACTTGCATAAACATTTCAAAAGATCTTAAATTTCACATAATCTCTTACAGTTGCTCGAACATCATATTTTTTATTTATTTATTTTTTACGTTATTTATTGTTTGAATTTTGTGGTAAAATACTAAGTTTCAGTTAAATTTTTTGTCATACAAAAAAACTTCACTCTTCACAGAATGAATTCCTTTCTAAAATAATGATGGAAAGGAGTGGCCAGTTGGAGCGGTATCATAAGAAAATCACATCTTAATTTTTAAAAATTTCTGTTGAGCTTCACACGGTCATTTTTTCAATGGTAGCACAGTGCTACAAATCGAAATATTTGAATTCGTAGATTCGGAAGGAATTTCCTTGTGACTCATTGTGGAATAATTAATGTTCAATTCGAAAGCTTGATTGCAGGATGCTTATTTTATTATTTGTGTGTTCAAGTATATTCATACAATTCGTTCAAGCACTTGGTCATTGGAGTATCGGTCTACAGTATTCGGCTTCAGGTTTTGTTTATTTGATACACTCCTGACATGTTTTGCATATTTATGGGGGAATTGCTTTATAAGAGGATAAGAGTGGAAATGTATAATACTGAAAACTGCCAATTTTGATTGGCTGACAGAAGAGAACCCTAACCGTTTTAAATTAAATGCAGATAGAGTGCTTGGGTTGACACCCAAATACTACTGAAGTTTTCTTTCGTGTAACATTTTTTATTTATAGCTATTGATGATTTCGTCTCGCTTGGTAGCATAACCGTGGATAGGACATTTGATAATAATTATACAGCCCGTTTTCAATCTTCTGTCAATCCAAGCAAATGGCAGAATGATCTCTTGCAAGCTGCAAAGAATGGATGGACTTACCGCGTTAAAGTCGATGGTGATAAAGGAGAGGTGCAGGGCTACAATGAACCGGTGTGTCAATTTTAGTCAAACATTCCAGTTAAAACCCTTCGAAGTCAACCTGCAAGTATTTGCATACAAAGAATAGTGACTAGATGATCAATGATTAGAAGTATTAAAGTAAGGTTCTTAACCAATGATTAGAAGATAATAAAGTAAGGTTCTTATTTTGGTATTTGATGCATAACAGCTGATAGTTAAGAAGGGACTTTTAATAATTTCAAAGCTACATAAAACTTGTAGACCAATTCCTTTTTAAAACATTTGCTTGTAGAAAAATTATTTTTCTGTATTCAAGTTTTGGAAAAACTCTTTCGAAATGGAACATTATTATTTCCATCAAATTACAGTGTTTGATGCTGCAAGCTAACGGAGCTCATCATTTTCGGGTATTATTGGATCCTGATCGTCAGGATTTACAATCTTTGGCTGTTTTTCCGGAGAATTTATTTTCTGTTGGAACAAATTACCACTTTTGTGAAACAAATTCGTTTGCAGAGGACAGCAAAATAAGAGGATCGATTGTAGTGAACACAATTAATGAGTTGCCCCTGTAACTTTTTTCTAACAAATTTTGTAAACAGATACAAGTGAAAATGTTAATAACAGTTAATTAATGAAGTACGCAAGATTTTACTCGTAGTTCCATAGGATATTTCGGAACATATATATACTAATGGTCCCTTTAAGGCCTGACGCTGTTTCATATATTCGAAAGATGGAGAAAGAGCGGCAAGCTAGGCAACATGGAGCTCAGCAAGACAATCGATCATTTATCCAGAAATATGTAAGTAGAAAAATTTTTTGGTTTTTTTCAATTAAAAGAAGATGCCCTCGAGTTCTGAACTCAGTTTTTTGTATTGTTTCTATGAAGTTTGAACAAGTTATTATTAAAGAAGTAATTATTAGTACAAGTAATGACTCTTTTTAGTGGATGTATATAGCTGCAGCACTAATTTTTATGGTTATTTCTAATGCTACAACTGCTGAACAAGGTGGAGAGTAGATTTTCCTCATGAAGCGAAAGACGTAAAATGTGAAATTCGGGTTGATTGTATTTCTTATCATACTATACTGTATTATATTCATTTGAATCCCATGCTTATTGTACAATGAAATTTTAAGTGTTGTAACCCCGCATTATAATGCGTCATATAAGGATAGTGAGAAACAGATTTGAAAGTCCCTGTTACCTTATTTGATGCCTTGTTCCTTCGCGAATTTTATGACGAACACTAGCCTGTTCGAAATCATTCCGGTGATATTTTGCTATACTTCATATTCAATATTCGTAATATTTGGAAACTTTTACAGTAGATTTCCCGAAAGTCACGTGGTGGGAGTAGAGGTAACAACATTATTCGGATGAATTTTTTATGATAAAATCGACGTTGGGTTATGCGGCAATGTTTAATTTTTAGCTTTATCTTTGATACCTGCTTAGCTGTATTCAAGAAATCATCGGAAATCAAATATCAAAGTAGTACTTAGATGCTTCTGTCATTTTAATATTCCTTAATTTTCATCTGTACATCTGTTGCATTGATATAATAATAGTGCTTTATATGTTGGGTCTTTCTGAATGTTACAGTTCACTACAATTAAATTTTCGGTAAGTAGATGCTTCAGAAAATATGCCAAGTGCAAACCCACTTTTCGAAAATTTGAGAGAGTCTCCGTCTCTCCAAAGTTCTCCGGGATCAATCCACCAATTTTTCTGTGACGAGATGAATGTTTCATTCGTGGGCTGCGTAAACAAGGTGTGTTATAGCGACGATTGTTTTCGGTTCTGTTTTGTTTACGTTGGAGGAGTGATGCGTCTTGTCTTGGCGGAGGCGGGTAGCGGGGGTTAATGGTAATTTACTAAGATACATCAAGAAAGGGAAACGTCCGTTGTTTGTAATGACAGGAAGTTAGCAGAATACGTTTAAAATTGTTTTTTTGAAAGGACAAAATGAACAGCCGTCAAAGTGACATGATACCCTCGACGAGTGCATCCATGCCTGGCGCGGATAATGTGAAGGAACATCAAATTAGTCCAGGTGCCTCTGCTCAAAAGGTAAGTCATTTATAGTGTTTAACAAAGTACTGGTAGCAGAAACTACTATGAAAATCAAATTGACGTTTTCTCGCATTTAATAGAAGATTGAATTTGGTTAGTTTGCTCGAACGTTTTTACCAATTGTGCTGGCTTCTTTAGTGTGAGAAAAGGAAAATGCTAGTATATTTTATGTTTGATATATTTTACTAGAACAATTTGATGACAGAATGTAAAGCCAGTAGTTCAACGGCTTTTTATTATCAGGTTTCGGAAGTTTTCTTGACTGCTGGACAAGCTTTTCAGAAGTTGGGCGGACTTATTGCAAATTTGCATAATTCAAAAAATGGAGTTGAGAGGTTCCTTTTTTCTTTTGATTGTAAATAGATTTCAGCGATAGGCTTTTCCGCGCCATCACCTGCAGTTTTTTATTTTATTCGAGTAGTAGAAAAATGTAGTCATGTCTAGAAATTTCGCAATCTCAACTTTACAGCAAAATCGATAAATGAATGAAATGGATATATGGTAAGTGAATGACGGAGCAAATCTCAGAGTTTTAACCATGGTAGGGGAATTATTATAGTGAGATCTGGTGACCTGTACAATTCCATGTCACAATAATTGCAGCTGATGTTGTTATTTGTTTATTCCAATATTTTCCATATTGATCTAAGCATTTCACACATTAGCGGTAGATCAAAGGAGGGAAAAAATTGCGCTTTAAATTACGAAATTCCAGGAAGTGGACAAGTTCGGATACCAATAGTTTGCATGATGCAGTTTCACGTTTTGCAAGCGATTTGCAGCGTATAAGTGAAACAGTCCAAGGAAGAGAGGTGTAAGTTGTAGCTGTATAGCAAAATTTTGACTGGGTTTGAGACTTTCAGGTCAATTGAATATAATGGATTTTATAAAATATGGAAAAAGATTTTAGAAGGAAGCAAGGTTATGTAGGCCTATTTTGATTATTTTAATTTATTATGTGCTTAGTCACTGTGAAATTTGGAATAAGAAGAGCAGTTAGAAGAGTAATGGTATTGATAGCACATAAATAGAATTTAAATGCTCAGCGGATTATATTTTGCAAAATAAGTGCCCACAAATGAATCATGGGAAATTGTCAAACATTTGAATTAGTCTGAAATTATTGATCTTTTCCATAAGAAACTTTTAACATTCCTTTTCCTCAGAAGATAATGGCGAATAATTTATTTTATAGACAACTTATGAAGGATGATATAATTAAAAGACCTGCAACTAGCCATTATACCAAAGCGGTTCCTCCACGAACAAATGGTGCTACTGCGAGGCCTACTGCTACCGCAAGGTCCTTGGTAAAACGTACAAGCAGTGTTTCCCATCCTTCAATGGATGCCAATTTCAAACGCCGTATCATCAACGCGAATCCCAGTGGTATTACAATATCGAGCAATACACGTTATGCAAATGTTGCTCATGTACAATCACTCAACATGAATCCATCGGCTATATCACGAATTAAAAATAATGGACCATTGAATATAGTACCCTCAGCTCTTACGGCAGTTACTGTTCAGTCTAGTATACCCTCAGTTGTGCTGCCTCCAGAACCCAAGATGCATAACAGTGGACTGAAAAATTTTGATGGTGGTGTTTTCAACGTTTAAAAAGCTTGTCTTTTTATATAAAGTTTTTGAAGCAAATAATGATATATGCGAAAAGTATAGTTAGTTGCGGAAAAAACTGTATGTTTATCTTAATGGGATGTTTTCGTGAATTGGTTTAAGTTTTTCTACTTTAATTAGATCATTGTCACGTAAGTGCTATCTTGGTTTTTCTCAGCATAATACGCATTAGTTGGTTTTCAAATATAGTAAAACGATTTATACCACCATGAAGAATGTGAGCAAACATTTGTTTATGGTAAATTGGTTTCTCGTCTTGCACCTATTCTATTTAGTCCTAACTTGATGATAGCGAGAATCTCGCATTATATGCGTGATTGGAAAATGTTGTATCAAATGTTTTTGATTCTGCAGGGTATACTGGCTGATTTATTGAAGTGGAACTCTGCTTGTACTGCTCATATATATAGCAACGTGTGGAAAGTATTGCCATATGAAACATCATAATTTTTTAATTACCTATGTATGTTGTAATTCTAGCCGAGGAACTTTTGCAAGAACAGAAATGTACTAATTTTCCTTCTGACATTTTAAAGATTTTAGTGTTTACTTCGAAGTTTTTCGGCATCACGCTTCATGCTAGTCTCGTTAGGCCACGCTTCATCATTTCGAATAACGCGGAATTTAAAAATATGTAAATTTCTCGAAATTTGACTTAATACTTGGTATTTTTGAGTTTGCATGTTAGTATCTTCTATTTTTCAATTTGAGAACTTGTTTATTGTAACTGAGATTTATCATTTTATCTTACTCTGCACATGAGCTCATGTTGGACGATGAAAACTAAATCAGTTTTTTGTTGTCAACTTTTTAAATGTACTTTATTCGTAATTCAGGTGCTTTTCTTGCGGTATTGTTTTAGATTCCTTCTTTTCTGCTTTCAAGAAATGAACTTACACTTCTTTATTGATCTTACACTTCTTTATTGGCATGCAGTAAGGAGTAATGCGCTATTTCCGGAAGCACAGAATTTGAATTTAAATTTGTGGTTGACCTCTTTGAAAGTGCGGCATTTGTACTTTTTTCGAAGTTTCATTATAGTTGTGGAAGAGATGTTGTGCATTTAAAATTTTATATAAGGTAATGTTAAAGACAGTTATTGAATACCTCAACAGAAGTTAAATTACCTACAGTTTTTTCTGCAGTGAGCACGTGGGATTTTTTTTGATTTCTATATGAACATTTTACCGCAACTCGTTGTTTTTTGGTATTTGATGATTTTTATTTCAATTTCTTTTTGTACTGTATTGTTCATAAATATTTTAGTTGAAAGGTCATTCTCGTACTCGTTTTTCTGATTTGGGGTCAAATGAGTTATTGAGCAGCTGTGGTTATTACTAGTTTAGTAACTTCTTTGCCTTTTTTTGGTAAGTATTTGGTTTGATGGATTTAGGGTGGATTTGATGTTCATTATTTTGATGCTAACATTTTCAATTACATCGGTCTCGACTTCACGTCAAAGAAAATAATCTTACATATGGTTACAGAAATAGGAAGGAAGAGAAGAATTGGAGGGGTTATTTCATTTTTCGTGATCGTGAAATTATGATGCAACAGGAAATGAACAGAGTTATAAATATTTCTTATAACTATCGAAAAAATGGGTGGACGGTCAGATGATATGAAGATGGGGAAAGTTGTTAGCGACATGGTTCATGAAAATAAAAATATTCTCAATCTTAAAACTTAACATTACGATTGGAACATCCAGCAGCACTTATCACTTCACCCGATCTGGAAGGAGTGCAATAGCTAAGAACATCATTGTTTTATATGTGCTCCCATTAAAGCACTGGCTCTCTCATGCAACATCTGCTTTCATAGTGTAAAGAAGGGAAATGAAGAATGCAGTTCCGTTGAAACGAAGAGATTAAACTTCATTTCATAACAACGTGAGTAGCATAACATGGGAGTAATACAGCAAGATTTGGTCTGTATCAGGTTGAGTAGTAAGTTTGGTTGGAGTACGGCTTGGTCTTCATTAATTGGTTTTGACATGAATGGTTTTCGGTATATACCATTTGCTTGATGGGGAGAGGGCGTTCTAGCTTGAAAGTTTCGATCGAGGCTCTGAGGACTCGAGTTAGCCATGAACAGAGCAGGATAAACCTCTCTGCAAGTATTGTAAAATTTTCCTCTCTCAACACACTTTCTCCCTCATTCATTTTAATTAAAAGAATGCATGAATTTGAAAGATACTGCGCTTATTAAGTCAAATTGTATTTGTTTATACTTTGTTTGGGCTAGAATTTAAAGAATATTGATATCAAACATTTCATTTTCATTTGACATGTAAATGAATCAATAATCAGATCGTAGTGGTAATAGCAGTTTCGAGTTTGATAAAAGTGCATGTTTAGTTGATGAGCAACAGAAGAAAATCTCGGACAAAGATATTTCTCGGCATAAAATTTTTCTGCACATTCTACTACTACAGGAAATGTGTGAATTGGGATTTTATCGATACTCGTATATATATATATATGTCGTTGACAATTGTTTGCACAACTTTTTTTTTTCATTTTCATGTGGCGGAAGTGTTACCAAATCTCTGCGCGTATTTTTCAGATTTATAACTTATTTTATTTACAGGTACGATGCGAGGGATGTTTTACTCGAAGAAACCAGCAATCTCTGCTTTTAGAATCGCTTCGAGTGCTCGTTCTTTCCATCTGGGCCATGAATATGCACCACCGGCTCGATTTATAAGTCAACATGTTAGTTTTACATTTTCCTTCATCCCTTCCTTTCATAGTACTGCATCAGAGTTGTAAATATTTGAACTTTTCAACTCTAAATTTATTTATCTATTTAATTTTACTGACACTATGGCTTCTACTTTGTCATTATTATCCGGGAGCTTTACCTGTAATTGATCTGGAAACTAAAGCATGAAAGCATATCTCAGTGTGCTGAAATGTTAAAGACCTAATTATGAGGATTTATTTTTTCTTTTTTATAAAAAGAGTAGTTGATATTTGAATTATGTACATGTATATGTACGTCTATTATATAATTAAGTTTTTTTCACGTATACTTGTTGACGTATTAATCAGCTTACTTTATGTAATTAATCCTTGCATTTTGGATATACAGTGATGCTCGTGTCCGAGTGTGTTGGAGATTTTATATGTGTTTTGTATGATTGGTAGAGTAATCATTCATTTATGCTTTTGGTAATCAGTCATGTGGTTTTACAGGCTAAATTTGGACTTGCATTACTATCTACAGCAGTTCAGTTGTCGAGTTTCGTATCTTTATATCTCTTTGCCGACAAACTTCGACCGCCGCCGCCTAGAAAACTCAACGACGAGGTCAGTGTAGATCATTATATCAAAATTTCTTGCCCATAATTTAAACGAGATCAGAAATTCGAATGAGCTTAAACATTGACGGAAAGTCTTTTGTTGTATTAAAATCAGAGATTACGATTTTTTCTATACTTTCATTAATTTGATAATGGTTTGGATAGTGTAATAATTGGTCCGGACAATGCAATAATTTCTATACTTTCATTTAGTTTGGTAATGGTTCGGACAGTGTAAGAAATGTTCTAAATATTGAAAAAGAGACGTTCTTTTTTTGTTAAGTAACAGGACACAAAATGTGCTTGACATATTTTAATTTTTTAGGCCATAGCTGAAATGGAACGAAATGCCCACTTTTATGAAAACGGCACCATGTCAATCAACAAATTTTAAATACTAATTGTAGTTATTTCGGTTTTTCATTTTAGCTGTATTATGTACTATAGATAATGTAGACGATAAAAAGTGGAGCACTGTCCACCGTTATAAAATGATTTATATTTTTTTCCACAAAGTGATGGGAAGTAGTATAAAACCTGAAAGTTCGATCTCCGATTTCTCAAAGAAAAAACGGAACATATTCCTACTCTTGCACTTAGTTCTGATGTAGTTCACAGTTCGGAAAACTTTTCACTCTGCACATTTTTATTCTACTGTAGGTAGTACTCTTGAAAAGCACTGTATTATTGGATTTGCAAAATATTTAGCATTTTCCTCTTATCTGCTTTATTGTGACACAACATTCGTAATGCATCATGAAAAAGATTTTGCATGGTCCCCTTCACTGCTTGTTATTACTGAGATCTTAGAGTTTGGAAAGCATATAAAAATCCTTTTATCGGTACTTTTCAAAACAAGCATGAAACGTTTAGAAATAACCTAAATAATATGCTTTTTGCTTAGATGGAATTTACTGTAATAGATGAATTAGTCGACTGGAAAGTTGATGACAATTAATTCCACTGTAATACAAAAATACAAATAAGACATTGACAAGATTTATAATGAGTTAAAATGAAAGGAATGGTTATCTAGAGCGCTGGTTATATTAGAAGATTCGGAATTAAAAATTGTAATTCCTTACGAATTCGAGCATTTTGGTCGAAATTGATCAGTCCTGAGGGCTTTTGGCAGAAGGAACTGTTTTTTGAATTTTTATTTTAATAATATTGACTTTTCATCTTCGATAAAAATGGCATCTTCATTTCAGAGAGCTTCTTTGACAAAAGACCAATTTAATTTCAAGCAATTAATTATTCCGAGAATGATTCCTATTACTCAAATTATTTCATTCGAGAAGGAACAAGCATAACAATAATGTGCTATTTATCATATCTTGTGTAGATCAAAAAAAATTTCGTCTGTACTTCATACACTCAAATTATGTTAGGAATACGAAATGTCTCTCTGGTTGCAATTAGGATCATGTTAGGAATATATGGATGCCTTGCAATTAAAAAAGTTTGATCCTAACTGTAGTTTTCAATTATTAGAAATCCAAAGTAGCGAATTGCAAATTAGTAAACTAAAAGTAAGTGGAACTTTCGAAAGCAATTTACCATCTTGAACTAAAACTAAGACTCAATCTGGATACACCAGGATCCATCGTAAGCCAAGTTTTTCTTTTAACTGACATAGTTTCTGTCTTTCAACCATTTTAATCAGTGATATAAAGACGGTATGCTTCGCAATCCAGGGTTCACCTGTAAAGTTGACCCTGAAAATGAAGTGAAATCAGTTTAAGATTTGGTTCGAGTAACTTTTCAGGCGGTTCTTTTGAACGGAGATGTTATCAAGAGAAGATCAAAAATGTTTCTATCCATCATGAATTCTGACTCAACTTTTCCTTATTTTATCTCATCAATTGATTTTGAATTTCCAAGAATATTTAATCTCATCTATTTCCGATAACCTTATGATTCAGATTTTTATTTGAAGATTAACACATTACCTTCGAGCATATGCATCAGGTTTCGGTAAATCATAATTGATGATAATCATTGGTGTTTTCAAATCAATCAAACCGCGAACATATCCTGTTGCTATCATAATACGCACTTGACGGAATTCAAATATGTCTATAGCAATGCGGATATCGTTCGATGACATTTCACTAGTCTATATATTTTCAATTATACATTGAACAAATAACTAAGGAATAAAGAATAAGTGAGTCATATGAAGATTTCCGCAAATTATGAAAAAGGGATGATATGGATGTAAGAATAATCTAAGGGCTCCTAGTCTTAAGTTAAAGTAGCAATATTTTAGACTAGTAATAAAACTAATCATTTAGGTAATGGAGAATGTGTGGAGAAAGAAATCGGCTGCAAAATCTCATTGAAACAATTTGAACTGGGTCGATAAAACTTATTTTAAATAATTTCATAATGTCCGAATATTTTTCACCATCTAATCCATTTTCAATTTATCACTAGAACCATGATTTTTACAAGATGACAGAATGACAAACCAGTGTAACTACTGGTAAATTTTGTGCTCTCAATATTTTTGCATTGGCTAATGTAGTTCCTTGCATGCTACAGCAAATAAGTATAGGCACTGATGTATTTATTCGACATAAATCACATAGTGTATCCATTTTCCGCATCTAAAAAAAGTAATAACTATTAAGTTATTGGATGATAATGAAGAACTGATGTGAAGTTTGCAACGTTTGCAACAAATTTGTCACGAACTTTTTAGTCCGGTCAATTATTATCCTGGAAAACTTAGGAATGTAAAGATAAATTTATTTTCCTTCTAGCCCAACTATCCATGAAGAAATTGAAAAGAGGAACATATCAAATAGTAATGTGTTTTTTTTCACTGATTAAACAATCGATTGTTTGTATCATTTGACCTTAAATTATTTGTAATTTGTTTAATACGCACCTTACATCACTATTGGATGTTATTAATTGTCAGATAATTACGGGTATCATTAAGATACACTTTGATAGATTCTAATATAAGAGTATTTGATATGATGCTTAATTTCTGTTTTGCATCACATTCAGATACGTAGAAGACAAACCTCATCCGAAACATAGAGCGCAAAATGATTCGCTTCAATAAGATCTGGATGTATGCCATAACAAGAGACATTTCCAATGAAGTTTTTTATTTGACTTACAATTGAAGTACTGGGTGGTAAATGCAACGTTATCTAAAATAAATGAATAATATGAATCATAAGAAATATTATTTTGATCGTATTTTATGTCTGCAGTATGCATCATTTATCCTGTCATACAATTTAAAATAATGATGTATCATGAAGATTTTATATACATTTAAAAATTTGAGGAAGATAATTAAATAATATTTTGAAGTTAATACTGTTTATATGAGTACTTGATAAAATTGATGGATCATATAAGTATACGTTACAGTATTAACTTGTTATATAAGTAAACGTTACAGTATACATTGCATATAAGTATACGTTACAGTATTAACGTGTTATATCATAAAGGAATTTAATGGATTAAGTGTAAATGAATTTAATTTAATTTAATTATGAAATATTATCGAGATTAGATGAGAATGGATACAAATCAATAAATAACCCAGCAAAAAGTGTTTCAACTTTGCTTGAACTATTACAATTGTGCAATAATCATTTATTAGCTGAAGATAATCCTTTCGTTTACAGAATATATGTCTATATATATATATATAAATATATATTCTATAAATTAAATTATATATATATATATATATATGCCGTACATGAATATGTTTTTGAACAAAGCCCAGCACTCGTTCTAATGATCTTTTGAGTGGAAAATTAACCATTGCAATAGAATCGAGAATGAATAATTGTTTGATAAATATTGGCTCTGCAAAAAAATTTTTATTAGATAAAGATTGGAAAGTAATTTTCTTTTAAATTCCATTATCTTTTTTATTTTAGACCTATTTGAAATCATCACTACTGCAAATATTGACTTAATATAATTGAAAAACTTTCTAGCTTCTTTTGTTCACTGAAATAATTATTCATTTATCTGTTATGTAAGAAATTAGATATACCTAAAATACATTAAATATTAAATGTTTTAGAATTGGATTAGTAATGGTCAATAATAATAATGATGTAATAAAAATCGTGATTCTTTAGTCCTGAGAGAATTTCCCTAAAATCTTTAATACTGGTCATTTCATTAGTAATTGATTGTAACAGCATGGTTACAATGAGTCATTTAATTATATATATATTTAAATGATATTAGTTTATGAAATTAGTAAGCAAATTTATTCACAGAGATATGTTAAAATTAAGCAATATCAATAAACAGTCTCATTATGTGGAAAATCTCAGAAGAAAACCCTCAAAAGCTCATCGATAAATCATCGTAAGCGATAATTTAAAAAGTCTCTTCGTAATTTTACTAATTATGTTATTAGTAATTACGTTAATTAACAGGTAATTGTTTAAATTTGAAAAAAATATGCTCAGCTTACTTAATATATTTCGAAAAAAAAGTAATTCGATCCTTCCTAGTGTACCAACCACAATAGGTAAATGTTGTTGCCTTATTTCTTCCGCTTGTACTTCAAATCTTCGATCACTGATACATGGTACACATTTCTTTTCTCCTGTATCCTCGTTTAATTGTCTTGCTACCTTCAGTTTTGAGAATTTTTAAATTTCAAATATTGGAAAAAATATAACTACTCGTTTGGAGCTATTTAATTGTTACATTATGAAATTAATTTTTTGAAATATCAATTTCATTTAGCAAACAATTGGAAGATTATTTTTTCATTGTGAATGAATAATTTACTAATTCAGAAATTTTTTTAATTCATAAAATAAGAGAAACGATAAGAAAGGATGGAAATTAGCAAAATATTTATCGATCCATGAAATTGTAAAATTTTCCAATGAATTGAATTGAATCGGAAACAAGGAATTCAACACATACCTTGAAGGCAAGTTCACGAGTGAGAACAATAACAACCACTTGTATTTCTGTTATATTCTTCTCAATACATGTTAATGCAAGTCTTCGTAATTCAACTTCCATTTTGAAATTATGAAATTCCTGGAAAAATCATTTAAAAGAAAACTAGCCGATGAGCGAAAATTATAATCATAACCTTTTTCGTATTATAATCATAACCTTTTTCGTCTTTCTGATAATATTACAAGCTTTTTGATCCCATAATTTTACCCTAAATTTTAACATCATTTCACTTCTGTCACTTATCTTCAAACCTTATGATCGATTGAAACTTTTAAAGATACTCTTCAGCTGTCTAAAATAATATTTCCTTGTATTAGTTACCATTCATCCTCAATTTACTCATATCAAAAATTGCTATTAATGAATTGCCATTATGAAAAAAGCTATGCAAACATTAATTAACAAAGATTGATATGACCAATGTTTTTTCCTTTATCGTTATCACAATAACTTGGCGCCCTTCTTTTCTCTCAGGTAATCTCGGTGGTAGATCTCGGATAACTGCGCATATCAATCAGTAGAGCTAAGTTTTTGCTTTCCAAAAACTTTCTGATCAAATATTTACCTCCTAAGGTAAATTTTTTGTTTTGGAAGGTAATGAATTCTGGACAGGGAATAACTTTTGAGGATTTGCCAGCCTTTATTTACTACACCTATCGATATCTTTACCTACTAAATCTTTTGTTTAACAAGTAATTTTGGGGCATTGTACAGGATTAATAAGCTTGAATTGTACGGTATTGATCGACTTGAGTTATATAGGATTGATGAGGTTGAGTTATACAGGACTGACAAGCTTTACACAAGATTGATGCGCCTAATTCGTACAATAAGCTCTACTGTATTTTAAATGTTTCATATAAGTGAATTTATTCTTTTGTTTCGAATTTCCGGAGAAGAAATGGAAATGCTGGAATTGAATGTTTTATCATTGCAATCGATATTTTAAACTTTTCCATAATTTTCAAGGACAAACATTATTTGGGAAACTTTCTGAACAATATTTTTCGTTTTAACAAAATTGTACGGAGAAATAGAGGGTAAAGACATTATTCCATCTGTATGGACCATAACAAGTGGGAAGGTAAACATTTACTTCTTAATTTTGAATTCATGTTTGTTTCTGGGAAATGAAATAAGAGGAAAAGCAATGCAACCATAATAAACAAGAAAACAAGTATTTCATTTGCATAACTTGTAAAACTTTAAAACTATTTCTGATCACGAATTCTAAATTAAGTAGAATTAATTAAGCCATTCATTGTAGAATTTGTTCGATTTGTTTTTTGTGTGACTTCATTATCTACGAAGGTGCAATATTAGGATATACACAATAAATAATATTAAGATAAAAACCTCTGAACTTTAAAGTCGCTTTTTTGGCACCTTTCTTGAGGTAATCTCCAGAGTAGCCTCCATTTCGCTTAAAAATTTGCTACGACCTCTAAAGCGTTTGTTAAATCTTTTTGAGCAGAATATTTTATGAAGCTATTCTTTCCAGAAACTTTTGAAACTCCCCAATTCCCCTTCTTCCAAATATGATTTTTGAGATTATCCATTTGATCATCCTGACATTCTTCTACTTTGAAAGCATCTGTGATAAAACTTTCTTTAATCAAGTACTTTTTATATGAAATTACCACTTTTGGAATTTTTTGGAAATGACTAAAAAAGCAAAATTTTGAGTGCCATGAACTACACAATTATACATAACTTACATTTATGAAACATGGCAGCCTTGGTAAAATTAATTGAAAGCACAAACAAACGGTGATTATTCTATGCTACAAACAAGCGATCATATCAGCCTAAGCGGTAGGCATGAAGAGACCTTCTTCGAGCACAGTTACGCCACAGATAGATATATTACGTTGACAATCATTCCATAATGCATTTCCAAAAATCATTTTTAAAAAAAAGAGATTTAATACTTCAGACTTTTTTCATCTGTCTAAATAATTCGATAGATAGTCATTAAAGTGAGCATGTTTTTATAGCAGGTTTTTCAAAGATTTTACTGTTAGTCTTGATAAAGGCAATATCACCAAATATTTCAACAAAAATATCGCATTATGATTGGCCTATCAGGAGACATATAAGGAGACTATCAGGACACTTACAAACACTATTTCCTGAACATTTTGGATAATCATAATCAAAGAAAACTACATCAAAATTCCTAATAAGTTTGCTTGAGAGATTTATCGCTTGTTAAAAAATGATTTTTTATCGCCAATTCAGCCATTGAACGATCCAAAAAAATTCGCTTTTGCTTAATGATGCAAGCCATATTGACGCATTTGTTGTAATCGATATTAACTGATCGTAATGCTGAAAAAAATGAATATACTTATTCACATTCACATAAAATTCTTAATATTACAGAATAATGATGTTGAAAGAGCAAGATATTTTTATTCAAGCTTACAATATAGGACAGCGGAAAGAATAAAAAAATGTAATTTTACGTCCATGTCATGCATTAACTTGAAAATATCGGCATAGGAAATGTAGCCGCATCCAACTTAACCCTACATAATGCTATAATGATTAATTACAATGATTCGCATATCAATAAAAATTTTATACCATTCTTATATATTTTTATATAGTTTATATTCATATGCAAGTAAAGATTTTCCATTTCACAGGTTTTATCTATAGCTTGGAAGAAATGTAAAAATTATTGTTTTAGAGACTGTAACTTACATAAACATTTACGGCATTTATCATTAAGGTAAGCAAGAAGGCGTCTTTCTTGGTAATAATCACATACTGACATCAGAAGAGCTTTCCGATCAATGATGCATTCTCCGCACCACAGCTTTGTACCTAATGCTCCACAACTGAAACTGAATTATTATCAGCGTATATAACAAGACGATTAACGAATTTAAACGAGTGAACTAGAATACAAATATGCAATCTTCTCAAAAATATTGCAATTATTGTGTTTGCACTTTTTCCTCCTGTATTTGGAGTGATGATACTCGGTGTGAACGCTCTCCTCTTTACTCATAATAAATTTTAATTATACGAAGAACAAACTTGTAGCAACCAACAGTTGTAGGACAACGCCATTCAATTTTTAGTGGAACAAAATCAAGAGCTCGATGCAGTGAAGGCAACACTTGACGTCTTACGTAGTATTCAAAATTAATTTTTAAATGACGATTCAAAATGAACTCTTCAGGTTCACGAACGCATGATATTAAAGTGCTGTTTCGTTCACCGCAAACAATTACATATGGAACTCGCTCACCAACTTCTGGTTCATAACGTGAACATACAGCTTTTCTCTTCCTGAAAGGAAAAATTTTAGAAATGCTAAACATGCCTATATACTAAATTCTTAGAACTATAATATAGAAAATTCTTTAATTCTCACTCGGCTATCAACTTCGATGGTACAATCGCACATGCTGCATATGATTTGCGATATTCGCGACTGAAAATGAAGTCAGATAACGGGAGCTGCGGAAGATTAGAAAGTTGCATATCCAGATAGCGTACCATTCGATTTATATCATTAACAAAAAGTAGACGCAAAGTTTTTTCCAAGATCTAAAACAAAATCAGGATATAATGTATGTAGAAAAGAGCAAGAAATTCAATGACGAAAACTCTTACTTAGTTATCTATTATTTCCAGTTCACATATCATCTTATTGTTATTCAGATTAACTTGAAATTGGAAACTAACCTTTGAAACAAGAGGACATGAATCCCTTCGAACTGTTTCAATCCCTTTAGCATCGAATACACCTTCCACATCATCAGTATTTTCGTAGCTTATTCCTACATATCGCTTCTTCGATTCCAAAATAAGTGGATACATAATTTTTTCTAATTTTAGCTTCACTGGATTTGGATTTGCTCTGGTCACATCGTCAGCAATCTTTTTGCCAATATCAAAAGCTTCAGCTCGAGTTGATCCTGAAAAAAAGTTTTGTGTTTAAAGCATAAAATCATTTGCACATTCAGGAAGTACTTTCCTCACAATATCCTTATAGCCATTACTAATTATTGCACTTCGTTTAGTTACGCTCTCAGTTATCTGCAAATCGGTTGTCATAATTCATAAAACAAAATGAAAACAAACCTGGACAAACTACAAACATGCTATCGGTATCACCATATATCACTCGTGAACTTCCGTAAGCTCCTTCGTTGACCAATTTCATAGCTCTCTCCAGTGTTTCCCTTCCCTGAACAGAAGAATAGAATATTCCCGGATGTTTATGCTTTTTTACCTTATCAATATTATTTCAGAGTAAGATTTAAATATAACCTTGCTTACAATGGCGTCAGCTACCTCCACACATGGCATTCGGCCACTGAAATTTGCAGCTGCGTAACCGTATGTTACATTCGCGATCATTTTCAACGCCATTTGGCGTGCCTCCAATATACGAGCCATTCGCTACAAAGAAATCACTTACGTGAATTTGAAAAAAAAGTGCTATTGAGGACATTCGATCAAATATGATGAAAAATATATGAAAAAACAGTTTAAAAAAAGCGCACTAATGCTTAATGAAACAGGGCGCTATCAAACTGTCTACAAAAAAGATGGCAAGTCTAACGTACACGATCTTTTTTTGATTCCTTTGCAGCCATTTTCACCATTACTCTTGTATTCAAAATTTCTTCAAGCATTACAGGCATCAAACCTTAAATTACCAATAAATTATTACAAAAAAAGATTACTGCAAATAAAATTAGATCAAAATTTGAAAGCAAATGGAGAAAAAGTAACCTCTTCGAACAGTTTTTCGACAAAAAATAGCTCCTGTTGGCGATATGTGTAATTCATTGGTGGTAAGCATCGAAACAATGTCGTCTATCTGAACAAAATTTATGAAACGGGATTGATTGCTGAAGCAACCTCAGCTCGTCAAAAAAAAATTTTTGAAAGAAGTTAATTTTGAATTATACCTTTACTAGAATAATGATAACTGATAGAGATAAAAATAAAAACAACAGTTCCAAACAGAAAATAACGGAGGTAACTGAAAAAAACAGAAAGAGAATAATTTAGCGGAAAGAAAAGAAAATAACAAACGCTTAACAGGGAGTGCAAAGGAAAATGTACTGTAATAAACAAATAAAAACTGCAACAAAACTAACTAATTAAAAAAAATATTGCTTTTATAGGCATAATTAATGAAAAACATTGAGAAAGCAGTACAAGCGAACCGGGCAATTATATTCCAAACCACCAAATTCGATTATTCTATTTGCTGAGCAGGTATTCTCAACATGCAATATTTTCCCCAAACATGTGGTAAAACAGTAATTGTAAGCGATAATGATAGAAGGATAGAGAGACTGAAAATCGAGCACAATAACTGGATCACGATAGAAACCTGATTCCGGTTCCATAGTTAACGGTAATGTCTCTGGTGAGCACATTCTAAATGAATTAATGCGAAAAAATAGAAAAGGTAAGAGAAGAAGAAGAAACAGGCTAAATTCAGTAAAAAATAAAATTTCCGTGACGTACTATGTAATTTCAAAGCAAGATAAAAACTTACGCTCCTCTTTGAACAGGGGAAATACTGGGAGCAACATATTTTTTCCGACGTGCGAGTCGCAAAAGCACTGATTCAACTCGAAATTGCGAACCACGTGTTAACACTTCATTGAACTAAATTCGAAACATTTTAAAATATGATTGATCTTACAAATCATAGGATAGAACAGTTAAAAACAAAATAATAAAAATAAAAGTACCTGTATACCGTAAAGACGTGCCATTTCTGACGTCCTCGTGAAAAAATCCAATCGCAAAAGGATTAAAAGATCCAGCTGACAATACAGCTTCATATGTTTTAGAACCAAGATTCTAAATATTTTCCAAACTATTTGACGCAAAAATCAAAAGTTTAATGCCACCCGAAAGCTAATATTGCAAAAAGTATTGACTCTTCAAATCTTACGAACAATAACTATAGCTGAGAATGACTTTTAACTGTCCTTCACGTTGATTGTTCTGTAAGCTACTTCTTAAATATTTTCTCTTCTTTCGTAATGATATAACATATAACGTCTGATATGGCTACGAATCACGATAATGTTCTACGGTGTTTTTCCCACGATTTGATTAACAAAATTAAATTGTTTAGAGAAGATGAGACAAAAATTAAAAAATGCATACAAATCGCTTTTTGTTGAATGAAAGTATGCCAGATTAAAACTTTAAGAAACAAAAAACGAATTACATTAAATCTTTTTCTCCAGATAAAATCCAATCTGAGAGCGTTGGAAAGCTGTAGTGAGGAAATCTTCGCTTCAAAACACTATTAACAACGTTGGAGATAGTATAATTTCTGGAAAAAAGACATACGTTTTTTAAAATATTTCTACTAGTATTATGTTGATGCAAAAAACCCTGCATTTTTGGACCGTGAAATTCAAATGATTAAAACTAGCTTATATATATTTGTGCTAATTAAAATCGGGACAATAACAATCGGCATGCTTTGTCTGAAAATAACTTTGCTTATTCCTATACCATCATTTACAAATTCCTTGAAAGTGTTTTCTGAATTTGGTGTAGTTGTGAAAAAAAAGTGATCTGAATGTTTTAAAAAGTGATAGTCAACTGATGAAAAGTCAGATAAATTTGGCGAGCTGAAGCAAAACTTTGTTGCCTATTGAAATGTTGGTTGCTGATATGTGATGGGGCATTATCGTGCGTAAGAAATATAGCATTATTGCTGAAAAGCTGAAGACACTGAAATTTTTTCCTAACGTATAATGTTCCTCGGAATTCAGAAAGCCGTAGTGGCACCAGACCATCAAACAACGATTGTTTTTTTGAGCAAACATGGTTTTAAGAAATCATTTTAAAATTCTTTTCTACGCAATCACCGAGATCATAATCGTCAGTTCTCGTCGAACATAATCCAAGTTTAGTTGCAATCCGAACAATGTGATTGCATATAAGAAAATGAACTAATTTAAAATTCCTGTGTTCAAATAAAATGAAAAGAATCAAACCTCAGTGCAATTTCGTGTCGAAGAATACGCCACGTATTTATAAGTATTCTACCTCTCGGAGTTGGATCTAACACTTTAATCCACTGGTTTTTTTTCTGCTGTTCAGGACGGTAATAATCACTGATCTCTGCAAAAATTGAGCTCAAATAGCACAGTAGATGAAATTTTTGAAGAAACCGATTAATAAAACCGCAACATTATTGTAATACTCTAATTTATCCTAATGCTAACTAAATGTTAGTGGTTATTTCGTTTAATTTTAGGTCGACCAAACCTTCACTTGCACAAAAGTAATAAGCAAGACATAAGGATCTTCAAAGTATCATAATACTGCTCCCTTCCTCCCCTCTCTCCCGCTCTCATTCTTTACGCCGAACGACTTTGTACCTTCACGATATCGCTGAGGACTTAAGGTTCGTAAGAGATTAACTACTAAAGATTTAAGCTTTGTACTAGTTTTTGAATACTTTCTAAAATTAAATATTAAAGAAAAAAGGTGGAATGCGTACCGACAGGAACGCGTGAAATTTCCGATAGTAAGTTCCGCCCAATGGCAAGCGATCTTTCAATCAGATAACCCCAAGAATACCGTTGAGTATTGTATCCAATAACTATATCCGGGTCGTATCTAGAATTCTGTAAAGTTACAGTATTTCCTATTTAAACAATCAGTTAGTAAGTTAATTTAATAACTAATCACTAAATCCGTCTTAAGAAAATTGTGACAAGGGTAAGATGTATTACAGCGAAAGAATAATATTTTTGAAGTACTTGGAGAAAAGACGGAAAAAACCAACCTCCGAACAACACTGACAAAAGTATCAAAGAGCTCAATTTCAGAAGCTACGAAAGTATAAAATTCATTCTGTCCAACTAGCCCTTCATCCATGTTCAACAAAATACCACCCACGTTATTTAATTCATCTTGTACGCAAACATCCATCGAAACTGTATAAAATATTCCCAAAATCTAAAACATGCATCAAAATAACTCCAAAAAATCTAACAACTCAAGATTCAAATTATTACTAAAATAAAGGAAATAAAAACAAAATTTTTTTGGAAAATAAAGGCAAAATATAATAGTATATTTCACCTGATTATGCTGTGGATCTGGTACTGGCATTCCACGAGATGGCAGTGCAAGAATCTCCATAGACATCACGGAAAGATTATGAATATCTGCTTGTTCTAATTCACTAGCCGATGGAGTTGTCGAAGAGACAACTAAAGTTTGCTCCAATTTTTCTTTTCTATTTTCATACTGAAATTTAATATCAATTTCATTAATCTAGTGGCATTAAGTTAAGATTAAATCAAATCAAAAATCAAATTGAAATTCATTCTCTGTTTCAAATTTTCATTTTTTCTTTAATTATTTGACTAATGAAGATTTACATCAATGAAACTGGGATTTTCAGTGAATAATTCGGTGGAAAACTTCTCAACAACTGCTGTTTGTTTCGGCTGAGATGAACTTTCAGTTCCTGAAGAAATATAAGCATATATAAATATAAAAAATATAACGATTGTAATTTCAGATCCTACTGTACTCTTCACATGGAGATTTTCTTTCATCAGATACATAAAGTTACACAATGCTTTGGCTCAAGCGAACGTGATCCAATCTGGATAATCAGACGCATAAAACATAAAATTACTCATAAAGAATCTAAAATTTGCTCAAAATTTCAAGCTCAAACCAATATCTGTAGTGAAGGGTTCAATACCACATATCTGACTCAACTTCCTTCGAAGAGGTAATCGTTTAAAAGGACGCAACCACTGCTCATTTTTTGAAATCACTAGCTCTAAACTGCAAAACACTAACTTTTAAATAATGTTCAAAAGAACTAAACAAGGAGTTGGAGAATTACTTCAGTTTCTAACCAAATTTTTTTGAAAATGAAACTGCTTTTGAAGCGTGCATGGCTATAATGTTCATAATGCACTTGGTCCGTAATGTGTCATTATTTTAAAGCAACATAAGTGTGTAAGGAAAACAAGTCCTAAAGAATCAATTAAATCCAATTTCGGCCAACTGAAAAAAAAGCTTACTCGTTCTGAGGGACAAACTTTTGCTGCCCCTTCGGAATCCAGACACTCTCAATATCCGTTTCATAACTTTGTACAAAGTTGATTGCTTCCTAAATAAAGTTTTACAAATGAAGCCATAGGAAGTTATTGAGTAATAAAATAAAGTATGAAAACTGAGAAGTGTTTAGGTTGATTTTGAACAATAACCTCATTTTCAACCCAATCATCACCATCTCGTTGAGAAAGTTGACTTCTTTCGCAACTGAAAATATCACACGATTATTTCTTACTAAAGCATAAGAACGAAAAAGTTGTACACTGTATGGCTGCATTCCAAAAGAATCAAGGTTATATATCTTAATGTGAAAAAATCTAACTGGAAAAGTACATACTTTCCAGAGATCATATTTGCTGATGTTTGCGAAGTTTTTGATGAATAAGCAAAAATAGAATATTGGGATGATGCTTCGGAATTTCGTAAACCTCCTCCCGAGTGGCCGGAGCCAATCGCAGAAGAAGCTGAGCTTCCGATATTTTCTAGCTGACTTCCAAATAAATCATTGCTATTTGTTGACTGTAAGAGATTTCACCATTAGAGTGGAACCTTTGCAATATTTATATTTTATTATAGAAGAAAAAAGTAAATTTAAGTATTTTAGAAACAAAGAAAACTCATTGAATTACAAATAAATTCCCAACTGCTTTTGAAACATTCAAATAAATAAAGCAGTGTCCTCTAATCGAGTAAATAAAATTTCTACCTAGTCAATTCTCATGTTTTCATCAAATTTCTATTTAATTATTTATAATATCATATGATATCCCATTTACTGAATATTACTAAACCATAAGATCAAATCTTAAAAATTTCAAAATCTTGTTTATTAAGCTAGACCTGCTGGCTATTAGACTTTACGACTTGAGGTACGTTTTCGGGACTAGATGTATCAGAAGCCATTTCACCCCCAACAACATTGTCGTCGCTATCATTTTCATCAGAATCTCCTTCAGCCAAATCTGGATCAAACTGCTGTAATCTGGACCGTAGTTCTGAAATGACGAATAATAAGAGTAAACAATGATCTAAATAACAGAGAAAATGGTGAAATTACAAAAAATATTTGCACGAGTTAATGTTTCCTCTGATGTTTGATAATTGCTTATTAAAAAGTAAAATAAGTAATAAATCTCACAAAATTAAAGGTGCATGAGAAGTGACAAAATAGTGTACAATTTCCAGATAACTTTGTTTGATTTTTCAAATCTAAATACCGAAATAAAAATCATTTAACACTTGCTGTTCAATGATGACTAAGATCTTTCAAAATTAAAGCAATTTTGCACTTTCAGGATGTATTAAACTGCTACCTGTAGCATCTGTAGACCTCAGTGTCTCATAAACTGCTCCAATTTCTTCTCCAAAATCGAAATCCTGCAATTAATTCAATTAAATTCTGTCTTTTTTCTTTTAACAGATTTCAAAAGTCCCTGAAAATTAACGCCGAGAATTTTGATAAAAATACCTCCTCAACTTCTTGTTCATTGTCTTCCATCATATCTTTCATTTCATCTTCAACATCCAAAAATAGTTCTTCATCAAATATACCAGTTTCTATTGTTTCAAAATCATGTTCAAAAGGACAATTTCTTTCAACTTTTCCAATATCTGTAATTGGTTCGAAACATTATAGATTTTATGAAATAAAATTTCCACAAATTAAAGTGTAAAAATTCCTCACCCTGTGAAGTGTCGTTCTGTGCAGCGCCAAAGGAAACATTAGAAGCATTGTCTTTGAAAAAAATATGTAAACGATTCAAATAATCTCTTTCTTTTTCAGTATCCGGTAATTCCCTTTCTTCTATCCTTTTCTTCTTCTTTTCTTCTAAAAATTTATTAGAAAGCAAACTACAGCTTAATTTCTAGCTTTAATTCAAGACCTCCTATCGTGAACCATCTTTCTGATGACCGGAATATATCAAAACCTTACAGTCTGAGGTCCATGAAATTCTTCTGAAATCAAAAGCAAAGCAATTTCTAAACATACTTTGTGGCTCGCTAATTAGTTCTTCACCCTTCTTTTGACGACGCCGCTGTTCGTCTTGCCATATATAATTCAACCCCGGATTGTTAAACAGTTCTAAACATGAGACCATAAATATAACTAAATTAGATAAAAATATAAAAGTTCTCATCAACTCTTGATATGGCAGTGAAACTGCTGGAAAATTGCTGTATTATGCAAAACTGTCAAGCTTCTAAAAAACAGTGAAAATTTAAATATAGTGTAAGTGAAAGCCAACCTGAAGTGGAATGTACAGAAACATTACTGATATCTGCAGAGAAAACATCACATTCAACAGCTGCAGTGGTACAAGGTAACAACGGAGACACAAGCTCCATACTACAAAAAACATTATGAATAAATAGAAATAATTATTTGCATATTTTCCGGAATGTCTGTGAATAGCATACTGTATATGCAATCCATGTTATTTTCAGAATGAAAAAACTGTACATGCAATCATGAGAAAAATACAAAAATCAAAGGGCAAATATCTAATGTTTCTAAGTGATTTTTTTGATAGTTTTAACCTATATGCATATGTAAAATTAGATTATCTCACTTGTTAACGATGTTTTCGACTTTCAAATCTTGATAATAAAAATCTGAAAAGTAATTATATTTCTTCCAATAAAAAGCGTTATAATAAAAGAGAATATAAAAAAGACAAATATGATAAAAGAGATCGACAATTTATCAAATGAAGTATTTAGATTGTTGAAAGCAATAACTGCGAGAAAGATTAGTGACTTCGGGTAGATTAATTATAAAACTATGACAGCATTTTTTGTTCCTATTTATGATTCTATCCTCCAACAGCGTAATCCTCAGTTGACCATGTTACGAAAAGAATTATGCTGATTTCTGTCATTTCCTTTCCTCGTTTGCAATGCATTATGATAACAGAACAAACCACTAAAATTTTGTTGCGGAGATATACGAAATTTAACTGAGATGAAATTGACTAAATCCATGCCAAATATGGAATGATCTACGAAGAACTGTAGAATATAGGGTACATGCGATTCGTACACTTGAAATATTGAATCCTTTCTTGCTTCCTTCTGTAGAGCATTTGCTACACTAAAAAAACTTTCAGTATATCTTTTAAATCTAAAGCAGTTTACGTAATGGGTGTAAGCATATAACAAATGCAAAACAAACAAGCTATTAAAATTGTAGAGCTAGGATAAATGCGGTCCATATACTTGAAATATTAAACACTTGCTACGTAGTCTGTACAACCTACATTGTTCAGATTGCATAGCAACTGTATAAAATAACAGAGTAGAATTCCGAATCCTGAACGGATTTTATGTCGCAAAAGCGTTAGTGTGCTTCAACAGAAATACTATAAATTTTAAACATACATTCTAAGCTGAAGTGGACTGTAACAAAGAATCTTCACAAAATTTTCATTGTCCTTATGATAACCGTATAATGACCTGGAAATTGCTATGCATAATGGAATTAACTTTTCCCAATATTCAGTAATTTTTTTACAGCTATTTCTCATTAAAAAAATATTTTCTGAAAATCTCGGTGAGACCTTAGAAAGAAGGTTCAGTTTACCTGGCAATTATTGGCTTGATCTGATAGATCGCATAATCAATATTGAATTTATATCGTGGATTGTAATCCAAAACGATTTTATTAATTTTGTTGCGTAATAATAAAGCAAATTCAGGTGTAAATTGTACACCACTTCGAATTACTATGTATGGGAAGACACCATGCACATGTATACAACATTTTTGGCCTATTAAAAATATAAAATTACATCAGATATTCCGACAAATTAATGGAAGCAAATTTGTTAAGGAGTGGCAAGAATGGAAGCTCAGGAAGCCGAGACTTGATGCTTTTACTCAAAAAAATTATATTAACAAAAGCCTAAATCTGATTCCGCTACACTAGATTTGAAATCAATAAAACGTTAGCAATAAAATGGTAACCTGTCTCCAAGATGCCGAACATTCGTATGATTGGCACTTTGATATTAGTGCGAAGACGAACTTTATTAAAACCATTTGGTTTTTCCAAATAATAATCACATGTAACATTTCGTACTGACAGACTTGTCATCACTAGCAATCATTCAGTTCACCACAAAACTCATTCGTTCTACAATAAAATTATACATTTATATTGGTTGAATCACCAGATTTACTGGTTCAATCATCAGATCTACATGCTGTGATCCCAATAACAATATTATTATTTTCTTTCTGCCTTCTACTATACTTTCTGTTCTCCCAAAAAAGTAACAACAGTAATCAATCTCAAATACTATAAAATATAAATTTTAAATTAAAAGCTGCTAACATACTAACTCACCACACCCTGTGCAACGACAATTATCTACCACTATATTAAGACGAAGAATTAATAGAAATCAAGATGAAATTCTAATTTTGCCGACTACTGTGCCCCTGTCAATGTGAAACTTAGCTAATACACTTTTCAATTTTAATTCAGTCTATACCTCGATATGTCTATGTATTATACTTGACCATTTCTGTCATTTCCTTTCCTCGTTTGCATTCTGGTGCCAGACAAACTTCACGCCGATCAGTAATAGAACAACAATAAATCGAAAATTGAAACAGACTATGAGCAGCTATTTCTGATCCTGATTTTCAAAGTCTCTAAAATTCTGGATGTGATATGAATTTACTACCATCTGTACATCATATGCACCGTGCTATAAATTGGTCATTCTTGTTCTTGCACTATACGTAAACTTTATTGCTCAATAAATTGCACAGAAAAGAACCGAAGAAAAGTACGAAAACATTCACAGCTAGATTGTCAAGCAATTCTATTACCAGGTATTATAAGCAAATTATTTATTTTAAATCGAAAAAAACACAAGGGAGGTAGCACGCACTAATGAGATAACTAATGAAATAACCTACGTGACGAAACTAAATTTTGAAAAAAATACGTGCTCCTATGCTGACACCGTAAAATCATAATATTACAGCAACAATTTCGAAAGTGACAGAATGAAGCATTTTGTTCAGGAATTTTCGGTAGCCGAAATTATTATGTCTAAAGTTACGTGATTAAAATAAACATAAACAACATGTTTTACTGCTTCGGAATGGAAATTCCTAATAAAAACCCGGATACATTCATCCTGAATTCGAACGCCTACTTAAAGTTTAAAATATTCCATCAACTTTCATCCAAATCATCTGTCAAAAATTAAAGCATGAAAAATCCCGACAAACTCAAGCGACTTTCGACATAATATTTCGTCATTACATTTGAAAGTTTTCTGGCAATTACGCACAACTTTCTCATTACAAATTTAACAAACTGTTTTTGAGATTGTGTCATTAAGAATGCAAGCACAGAATAGAAGATTGGACTGAGCACAAAAAAGTGAATAAATAAGGAACATTCTGAAAGAGGCAATATATAAAAGAAAAGATGATGGCAGTTAGAACTTCGTTTCACAAGTTAAAAACATTAATTCTGAGGGGAAAAAGAGTAAAACGAAATACCAACCTATGAAATCCAAAATTCGTACGACATCTCTTGTAAAACATGTAAAACAACTTTGAAAAGTCCTATTTCGCGAACAAAAGTCAGTTTTATCTCCAGTTGAGGAATTTTGCGACAAATTATTCTAATACAACTCTTTTCTTCGACCACAAAGCAATAACATTGAAAAATAAGCATAACTGATATGTAATAATAAAGCCAAAGCTCATAAACTGATAGCTCGTAAACGACTTAAAAGATAAATATTATAAAGTGATAGTCCGATAAGCGACCATGTTTGGCAATGCAACAGTACTCAAGACAGGAATGTGACGAATGTTGTTGGAAATATACCTTTGCACAACGGATTGTTTTCCAAATATCCTTCCTGAAAACTGGTGATTTGAACTTCAATATCAATATATATTCATGAAATATAATTTAAGCTGAACGATGAACAATAAGCCAAAGCAACGAGTATTTAGAGGACATTAGGGATCAGTATAGCTCACATCACTTTTCAGAAGCGTAAGGAATGTTGAAAGGGGTTGTGTCTTTTCAACCATATGCTATTGATTAAATCTACGAGGGATGAAATGATAACAACTTAAAAAATAAACACTTCACACTAAATTTAAACTAACTAAACAGCAAGAAAATAAATTTCTGTTCATTTGATGCAAAGGAAAAAATTTAAAACATGACTACCCCTTGAATTATAAGAGTAGGGACAAATAATTTTTAACAAAATACACTGTTCTTTCTATCAATAAGTAAGTGGTATTTCAGCTCAAAGAGATAGCTTAAAAAGAAAAAGGTAGGAATTATGTGAAAAACATAGTTTATTCATCCCATCAAATATTGAAATGTTCTCATGATCTAGAACAAGCTTACCATCCAGGTATCATTTTCACCAGTAATCTTTTCTTTCGTAATCACTATTATATCACCTTGCCGAAATGATAACTCATCAGAATTATCAGCCTTACAGTCGTATAAAGCTCGACAGCGTCGCGCATAATCTCTCTAAAATTTTTACTTCTGTTAACGACCTTTAAAATAAAGGAGGAATTGCAGAAATAGCGCCGAGGTTTAAACATCTACTAATTTGCTAAAGGCAGTGGTTGCTCGATTCCGTTAGAATATAATATCTTATTTCTAGGTTTTTCTTACTTCAAAAATTTTTGTAAGCGTACACATACAATCATCACAAAGCACATGCAACCATCATCAGATGATATTTGCTAACCTCTTTGTTTCCCCTTGTGAGAGATGGAAAACGTCTTGGCGCCGGAATCGGTGGTTTCAGTTTGACACCGATTAATGCTGGCGGTGCAGGTGCCGGTCTCGTTAACCGCGTGTTTTTCGACGTATACCGATGCATTTCCCTTTGTAAACCATTTACTGTTAACGGATTCAGAGAAGAGAGAGTATTCCCATCATACGATGTGAAATTTGCACGTGCCTGATCAAAAGCCGATGATGTTGCTTTAACAAAGTCTGAAATACAAAATTCACATGAGTTAAATTTCAAAAGACTGAAATGTTATGTAAATTTCAATCTACCTTTCTGACTTTACCATATCTACTTTGGCATCCTTCAATAGATTTGAAAGCTGATACTTTCATGCAAAAGTTGATATAGACAACTGAAAGAACATTTCAATCAGAGGATTCCCATAAATTGAAATAGTGCCGAGCGTTTAAATGGTATTGATAATACTATCAACAATGTCTTCGTAAGCTAGAAATAAAAAACCTGCTACTCTACCTTGCTCATCTATAGGATGTGGATTTATTGTGGACTCTTCTCTCCCATTCCGTATCTCCGCTACACACTTCTCTTTATTAATTATTTCTTCCTTTCCAGGAGCGACTACATATATATTCATCTCCTGAGCACGTAAAGGAAGAGGATCAAGACTCATCGATGAAACGATCGGAAATGTTGTTTCCATTATTCCATTACTAACTAAAAATAAAGCATTATTTTCAAAGGTCTACAGAGTTCGTTTAATGTGCCATTCATCTCCCGTTCCCGCATTCACCCTCGCTACATTTTCAGGGCAAATTTTCAAAGAATTCAATCTATTTCTTCCATAGAAACTCAGCCGAATGACAGCATATCTCAGATTGCTTCAAACTCGAAAAAAAAGATGTTTCAATATATATCAGTATAGATCATTATTGCTTCGCAACCTTAGTAAGCTCACAAAAAATTGAGCGTTCGCAGATAGAATTATGTGAAAAACTCAACCTTTGGTGGAACTGGTTTGCGATGGAGCAAGATGTCCTGGAAGAGATCTAACCGTGCCCGACCTATCGTTAGATTCCTAAAATAAGTCTGTTTAGTTCGATAAAATGCGATAAATCACTTTAAATCGTTATGCAAACCAAGAAATTGACCATAATGAATTGATATCAGGAATATTCTTACTTCAGAATGATTCGCAGTTCGTGAATATTCGCTAGTTGATCGAGTATAACACTTTGTCCTGTTTTGCGTCGGGGCAGCCGAAATTGATAATGTGGAAGAAGTCGGTAGTGTCTGTAAAGCAAAGGTCGCATTCAGAGTTAGAAAAATTCTGTTATATTATTTCGAATACTTGGAATTCTGATGATCATACTCAACAATTTCCTAAAAACTTCCTAAAATTTCCTACAGAAAAGCTAATAAGTTCCATAAAATAAAAATCAACATCAGATGCACACATCACTTCAACATTCAATTTTTGAAAATTTACCGGAGAATAATGATTTGAAAGTGCAGCTATGCGTGGGGAGACAACGCTAGATGATGGCGTCGAAGTACACAAGGGTATTTCGAATGCCAGTAAACTTCTTCCCCCATTAGAGTCCATGGAACTAGTTGGCTGTGTGTTGTAATGACCGCAAGTTCCTGCAAATAAGCCAATTAAAATCACAAAAATCGGCCGCCAGCTGTGCCAACATGAAAAGAGAATGTCTTCAAAAGCAAAAAAAATCAAAAATTAAGGTAGTATATAACCTAATGAAGAACAGCCAGAAGCAATAACTTGTACCGTACCTCCTCCAACCGAAGAGTAAGTGGGTTCACTCTCAACAAAAATTTGCGTAGATAAACGATTGATTCCGGTGTCTTCCATAGATGAAGATGCTACAAAAGATCTTTGATGTTAACAAATAAAAAATTATTATATCAAAACTTTCGTTTAACGCCATGCGTATTTCACAGCCGCATAAAGCGCTTAGAATAAGAAACCGTAACTAAATCTATTAGTCCGACCGATACCTAAGTTCCTATATTCAGATCAACCGGATTCATTGCTCATCAAATGCGGTGTCTCCTCCGCCTATTTTAAAAGAACTTCAAACCGTTGCTATTCTCAGACTGTGATGAATCCACGACAAATAAACAACGACTCCTCACAAAAGAAATGTTAAAACAAACGAAATATATTTCTCCACAAAAATTTCCTACATAACCATATAATCAAAAATTTCACAAAGTTACGACGAATGAACCAAAATTTTAAGAATTTCCGAGCTGATTAACGTCTGGAAGCAGCAATCATGATAGAAAAAGTACATTGTGGAACGGAGATAGTAGTACCATTTCGCATGAGAACATTAACTGGTTTTGACGTGAAATTCTGAGAACTAGTTGAATCAGATAGAAAATGTGGACAAGGCGAAACGGAAGACGATGATCGACTCAGCGATGCTATAAGAAAAGCTTTTAAAATTTGTGAAATCTAAATATTCTCAACTTTTGCTTTGATTTTACAATTTTTACTTGCTTCTGAATATAAGATTCCTACTCTGGATGTTGATTTATATTTCTATAAATTCATTATAACTTACCTGAGTCTGGCGTCGAAACAAACAAAATTGGTGGAACAGCCACATTTTGGGCCGGAGTACTATTACCTAACTGCAATGACTTCAACTGAAAAAAAAATTTTTAAGACACTTGAAAATACATGCATAAAGGCAAATTCCTAAAAGATACCAAAATCCTGCAATTTAGGAATAATGATAATGAGATAACGAGTTTTCCATTAAAAGCTACAAAAGAGAAGTATAACGACAGCAATATATCCTGCCTGAACAAAACTTCACAGCAAATTTCATACGAACAAAACACTTATAAACTTGAATTAATGAATAATTAGTGGAAGTCTAGAAAGTATCGTCCGGTTGTCGAATGGAATTACAACGAATGTTTTATTTCAATAACAATAAAGTAACTCATCGAGATGGCTGATCTACTACTTGTATATTTAAACTGCTTTTTAGAAGTCGACTGTCATGTGACATCTGACTTCGCTGGTTAATAATACTAGCAAATTAGTACCGTTTCAGTTATTTTCTTTTGCTGAGCTTTCTCAGAGCATGTGATAAGTGAGTTCAAATGTATACCACGAACGGTAGAATTTAAAGAGCGGTAGCGTAATAAAACAGCCACCATGTCGGCATTTCCAGAGTGGATGCAATCTATCATTATTGCTTCCATGTCGGAAATTTCAATTCTGAAAAATAGTTAAAAAACAGCTTTCATCATAACGATGACATGATATATATAAAAACACAACTCCTTTTTAAAATTATTTTTTGGACGTAACTTAAGAAATTAAAACTTTGGCCCACTAAAACTTGATGAAAAAAGAAAAACCTTAATTGTATGACCAAATCCGCAAGAGGCAGTGATAACGAAGTTCCACTTAAAACCATTTGATGAAATGGTCCGTTTCGTAAAAATGGTTTCTTCGTTAAATTTGGACTAAGCAATGATCTAAAATACATTCAAATGTCTTGAAACAAAGATGATTTGTTAGCATGGTAAACGTAGTTATTTTATTTCAATGGAAACTAAAAATGAATACAACAATCGCTACACCTGTATGTGTTCTCAAAGTCGCCATCATTAAATGCTTCAGTGAGAAATGCATCGGGGTCATCAAGTTTCTGTACAAAAGCGCGATCGCGGTATTTCATTTGGATGAAACGCTGACGATCAAATCTTAAAATAAGAAAACTTTATTTTTATTTCATTATATCCATGCTAAAACCAAAAACAGAAGCCGCACAATATGTGATTAGCGAAAAACTATTGAATTGGTCGTGGCTGTGTCAATTATTCAGATAATAAACTGCTACTGAATTCGCCTGATTTATTAAGCAAGTAACACATTTTTCAGATAGCAGCAGCCATCAAATAGTATCAGTTATATGAAGTATAAAGTATACAGTTATATAAAGTATATTGCATGTACCTTGTACATCCTGGAATTGGTTTCCATGTCGCACATTTGGTTGCATCATATTCGAACAAACGATTGATCATAACGTTACCTGATGAAAGTGGTACCTGAAAGACAATTACTTAACATGAAAACAATTACTTAAAACTAAAAATCCATCTTCTTTTAAGCAAAGGTTCATAACTAATCAAAAAATAACATTTTCACTCCTCGTCAAGGTTCGTATTAAAGCAAGATAAACCTGACCCAACGAATATATTCAATTCATTTGAACGTGCAAGTTGAAAATTTCTTTGCGGCATTCGCTTCAAGGACTTTAATTTAAAATAAGACTTACAAGAAACTCCAGCGGCGATATGACATCTAAATTTAGTGATTGTATCCTACTTATATGAACACCCAATTCACGATGTACACCACTACAAGCAATACACACTAATGCACCAATATTTGATAACCACTGCACATCTGAAAATTCCGTGGGGGCTCTTTTTTTAATGTATAAAATCGGAACAATTTCCTTAATTAGTTGATCAAATTTCCACAGAAGACCACTCAGAAAACCATTTTTTGCAATATTTTAATTCAACTGTAATGAACATCAAACCTTCTTTTGATGAGCAGTCAGCACATGAGCTGTTACCAGGAAGTTGCCGTACCTTCGCGATACACATTTTTCTCTCGTACATTTCCGTAACAGCACTGCCACTACCGCTTTCATTTCCCTGTGGTGTTTCAGCGGACAGCATTTTGGTCTTAACTCTTGTTATTTCTCGTTTTAATGCAAGCATCCATCTGTAACTACCGATATGACATTTAACTTAAGAAATGAAATGGAAACTTTTCAAATCAATAATAAAAATTCCGACTTCCGTAAATTCAATACCTTTTTGCATCAGTTTCTGAATCAGCCTGCAAATGATATGTCCTCTCACGACAATACAAATCGAAAGATTTCGGATCATCGGCTGATGGTTTACAATCCGACACAAGTAGGCTCAGTTTTGTTGGTGGTACAGATTCCTCAAAAAATATAAGCTACGGTATTATGTATATTTCATTGTGTTTTGACCACTTTATTCACCTAATGAAAACAAAAAATCCGATATTTGCTCCATTTAATATTTAATGCTGTGTTGCTAACCAAAGTATTTTGAACCAAAAGAACATCGAATATTTCAATTAAATAGAAAACGGTGATTCTACCGAAATATGAAAGACTATACGATCACGCAGGAAAAAAAAACAGAACGAACAAAAAAACTACATCGGAATGTGAAAGCCAGAAATGCCCATCCTCGATGCGGCAACGACGCTTTTGCCATTGTTTGTGCAACTTCTTGTTACTTTTCTTGTACAAATAACCAGATTGAGTGAAATCAAGATCTGGGAAGAAAGCCGTACTTGTAGCCAATTCATTTAACGAATCATTATCCATTAAAAGTGCATTGTTGACACTGCCTAAATTAATACCCGACAAACGACTACCGAAATTCACTGAGTCACGCCCCGACGATCGATGTCCTGCAAAAAATGTTATAGGGGAAATTATGCATCTTATGGAAGCACACATCAAATGATATAGTTCATTCGAAAATGTGAGAAAAAAATGATACGCTTAAAGGGATAAATAAAACCTTTCCCGGACAATGCAAAAATAAAATTGCACCACCGAAAATACTCTAAAATTGTTTGCTTGGTCAAAATAATCGCCCTAATTCTCACATTCATTTCTCTTACCTAAAGCACAACGTGTAAATTCATCATTCGCTTCCAACTGGCCTTTTAAATCCCAAAGTATATTCCGTTGGGCGCATCGATTTGCATTCCGTGTCATCATTCGCTCCTCTAGCTTGGTCATATCTTGCCGGAAATCCTCGTTCACTCTCACTCGATTCATGTAATACCTAGAAATGGAGGCAGATCATAAACATGAATTCAAAAACCATAACAAAAACAGAATTACATGCGATTGATAAACATAAGCTATAACAATTATCATAATCTAGCACAGCTAAATCAACTAGTCTATTTTACTATGTAGCTTGATCCAAACCTACAGATTTATGGATAAAAATTTTAAAAAATATAACTTACGAATTTTGATTGCGAACAAGTTCCATGAAATGTCGCAACAATTGCGGACCACGGCGATCTTCTATCGCGTCAACAGACATTAAGAACTAAATTTCATTATTCAGAATACATTGTAAACTAACAAATTCTTCAGTCCTTGAAAAACTTGAGCAGTCAATATGCTGACTTGAACCAAAAAATATAATTATCTTCATATCGAATTTCAACTATCACAAAATAAATAAAAATGGTACATCTAGAATGCTACACCTAACTTAATACTTCATAATGTTAAAAGCGAAGTTAAAGGTTTTTAGTAAAGTACATATTTAAAGAACTGAAACTTAGTAAATTTTAAATTTCACTATACATCTACTTAAATTCGATTTCACAGAATTTATCCTAGGATGGTTTGCCAATAGAAAAGAATAACTGCTCGATACTTACCTTGCACAATTCATATTGTACCATAAGTCTTTCCCGTGATAACTGTTCCGCCAACTCACCATGACTTAACTGGCTTCTGGTATAACCAGCATGCTGCAAAATGTTGATTTCTTCCTTTTTTGGAAAACGTAAATGTAAAAAAGTTGAAGAAAAAACAAAGGACTGTGATCAAAATACCTTGTATCATGATCAAAACACGACGTGATCAAAAAACACGGTGATTCGGTTATGTGGAAGTGAACAAAATCAAGCAAACATCTAAAGTTGTAGACGACATGAAGTACATCAAGTAATGATCTACCGTAAACTTGTATATTATTAAATAAAGCCAACTTTTGCATGCTTCCTTGCATCAGCTTCAGCTTTCACATATTTATTTTCATAATCACGACATGATCGTTCAACCCCTCTATTGCGGATTTCACGGCCGATTTCCACTAATGTTATGAAAGGATTGACAATATTGCTTTGCCAGTTTCGCATTTGTAAATTCATCAAATCAGCTTCGTCCTTAACAATATCAAGTTTAAATTTCCACAGGTTATGACACTCAAAATTCCAAAACAACGAATAGGACTCCATTATTGAATTCCGTAGCAAAAATTTTAGAAAGCTAAGCACGCAAAAATATTGGGATATTATCAAACGAAAAAGGATATTCATGAATAACTGAAGGCGTTCTGCAAATAAATGACAGCAGAGCGGCATTCAATAATTTCTTTAAAAGGATTAAGTCGAAAAAATAAAAAATACTTTGATATGACATTCCATTTTCATAAGTATAACAGCTACATCAGATTCATACTGCGATTCTGATCTTGAAGTCCACTTGGTCGCAATCTAAAAGAAATTTAACATTCCAAACGTTTATTGAAGTTTAGTCAATTCCATTTCATATTCCTGTTCACTAACTTTCAAATAGCAGTATATGAATTTACCTCTTTTGCTGCTTGCCCAAAAGTGAGAAGCTGCCTTGTAAGAATTACTAAGGTATCCTCTACCTCCTTTGCAACTTTACGCAGCCGTTCGAAATCCCCCGTATAACCCTCAGCTTCCTCAACAATTCGTTGTGCCTACAAAATTTGATTCATAAAAGCCAAATTTTCTGTACGATTTCTCATAATGAATAAATCTCCACTTCAAAATACGTTTAGAGCTAAATGTGATAAATACCATAAACACACTAAAGCACTCATGTTTATGAAAATGTTTGAAGAAGAGAATGAATCCTGGATTTCGCTAAAATATAGAATGACAGAAATTTAGAAAAATCCTACGCATACTTCAGCACGATATTCAGCAATACGATTTCCAAAATTGGATGTTACGGGACTGTCCAGATCGGCCTTCACGGAAGTCGTAAACGAGCTCAACATAGTTCCGTAACTTCCTTCACTTTCGCTTGCAGTCATTTTAATCTCACTTCATTGTTTGAAAGGATTACTTGAAAGGACAACATAATGATATTCAATCATATAGAAGCCTATCTGCAAGGTTCGATTATTGGCTTCTTCAAAAACACAACAGAATAATGAACTTAGATGTTAACTGCGATAAACCTATATCAACTTGTAGTTAATGCAATGCATCCAACATTGAAAATGAGAGTGGAATACTTCATACGATCCCTGCATGAAAACCAGTAGAAAACTGACTGAATCAGAAATCAGTTAATTAATGAAAATAAACCTCGAAAACAATTTAAAAACCCAGTAAGTTGCTTTAGAATCAAACTATAATTGACGGCCAGCTTCGTCAACCATTTCGGCAAAATGATTATAATTCGATCAACCAATCAATTCACAGCAATCTGAAAGTACACAAAAAGTCAGTGGCAGTATAGCGCTATCAATATAACAATTTTTTCTCTCTAGAATGATCTTTGGATTTAAATCTTTTTGAAAATGTCTTTTTAGCCAGCTGTTCATTTTACATAATTCTGCAATCAGCGTATCTTATTTTAACAAAGAAATTCTTTAAATGAAAGAAATGAAACAAGGCCGTACAGACGATATTCACCACCTCCTCGATCAAGAATTTCTATATCAAAGCATAAATCGTGCTGAAAGTACCTTGAGAGTTGAAGCTCACAATTCTCTTCACTTTCTCTCAATGTGCTTTTTCGCTATACTTCATCAATAGAAACAGATGGCGTTGTTACGTTTGACCAATATTTGATAAACGCTTTTAAAGTTTAAAACAAAAATTTGAATACTCAAAGAAGTAAACTGGAATGACCTAATACTGAGAAAGACCGATACTGAAACTACGTTGAGAAGAATTAAAGCTTTACGCAAATGATCAGCTAGCTTATAATATCAACCATCCATAGGAGGCTAAAACAATCCGAAGTTTCCGGAAATATTCAAATCTTAATATCATTTGAATTCAACTATCCTGAAGTATTTTCCTATGAATAACTATATATTTCCGAAAATGTTGAATGTTCGGAAACAAAAAAGAAAATTATCACATCCATCTAATGGTAACAAAATGATTCCTTAAACTGAATAACTGAACCATATTTAGATACCACTGGAACATGTGCTATCTATAAAATTTTAAGCATAAGTATTAGACAGTATAATTGGTAAAGGTTAAAAGTTATGCATGTATGCATGTGGAATGATCAGTATTATTATGTTTTTTGAACCTATAACATCAGCAAGATTCCACTCACATATTCAACTAATAGCATTTTTCCGAAATATATTATCTCCCTAACTCAGTGAACAATTCTGCTTTTGTAGAGAAATATTGCTGGCGTGCAGTGTGTGCACACATGATAATAACAATGATGATGATGATGATATCATTGATAAATATCCGACAGAACAGAAAATAATGAAGTGTGCGTTGTATTTCTCCAATAGTCATGTTGCCACTGCCACTCGATTAATATTTATGTATGCATTATTCATCCTATTCATTTTTAAATGAATCTAAGACACTCGAGAGAATTTCATTGTAATTTAAATTAATTGAATTGTAGATTATACGCCTTCTTAAAATGATACTCAATCAAGTATTGATAAGGAAAATTAATTTATAATTCTCTCAGATCTTTATATTTTTCAGTCATATCAGTTGTCAGAAATCTTTTCCAATATCGTAGATCCCGGTATTTTTGATCCAATTAATAATTATCTATTTCATATACAATCTATAGAATTTAGAAAATGAGAAGAAGCCATTTTTCAGTGAAAATTAAACTAAGATATGAAATTGATTTGAAATTTGTTTCGTTTAAAAGATTTTAAGCTATTCAATCATTCTTACGTTTAAAATATACGTTATCGAATGAATAAGTTAAAATGTAAGCAATAGTGAATAAAGATGTGACAAACACAAAATGGTGACAAATTCTGCTAGTGAGATATTAATAATATAAATGATCAAATAGTAATCAATAAAAGATGATATCGCAATATATCACACAACTTAATTTTTCCTCCTCCTTGCTTTTATTTATTCTCCATTATAATTTTTATATTTCATCCATATCATATAGTTCTCCATATTTAACAAATATTTAAATTATACGTTATTTGTACTGTAATCACCAACTATATAACAGGATATCATATGATATCAATTATCTCATTTAATAATACAATAATATTGCTGTATCATGCCAAATAAATACTGACTACCATAGTATTTCAAGAAAGTAATTGATACCATATCAAAAAAGTATTGATATCGACAATGTAGAAAGTACTGATACTACCAAAAAGATATTGACATTGACTAAAATATAGAAAATAACTATAGAATGTAACAAATATAAAATAATCAAGAAAGAGTATAGAACAATGGTAAAGTTAATTAATGTGTGGACGGGCAATTATTTATTGCACTACGGGCATTATTAATGAATACATGCTTTACTATTTCATCCATCAATATGGCTTATAGGTTAGAAATCAAAAATGCTATTACTAAATAATAGTGATATTTATTGCAATCCTATTAAAGCTGTCAAGATAGATGAATAAATAATTTATTACCTTAATAAATTAAATTAGGAAGTGGAAGAATAAAATGCTATACTAAATCAAAGTCAAAAATTCAAAATTTTTAGAATAAATAATATATCTTCTCCACTATCAAAGTATCATCTCAATGAACGATTGAATAGTTAAAATTTCAATTAATGAAACCATAAATACAATTGTTAAAATTGATAAAGTAAAAATTCAATTCCATCCAAGTTTCCATAAATATTGAATAATTTAATTATCTAAAGTGAAAATCGAACGGAGAGAAAAAGTTGGAGAATGTATACGTCGAAAATGTCCTATAAATTGTTAATAACCATTGAAAAACTAAGTAATAATGCTTGCCCATATAGATCGCTAAAAACAATTTTCCAAATTCGTCTTCTTTATTAATCATAATAATGCAGCTGTGATGACTCATCTAAAATATTGTTAATGCTATGCAATTTTTAACAGATAAGTATCAATTGCTTTGCAATTTAAATAATTCAACTAATAACAAATCGATCATTCCCATAATAAAAATTTGAATTTTCTATATTACTATATCATAACTCTCTAATGTTTCAGATGATAAATTTATCTAAGATAAATATTAAAGAAAACTCAATGCAAATATAAAAAAATAGAAATTTTTTAAGACGAAGAAGTTACCGCATGCATATCATTTATAAACTAAATTTCCAGTTTTGACAGCAGTAATCAGGGTAAGGATAGTATGAAGTGTGATTTGTTGTGGTAACACTGGATCCTGCTACATACGATAAATGACAACGACATCATTTTAATATAACAGAGTCAGTCGTCTGCGATATTATTAGAAACTACAAAACTGCAACGCTTCAAATCGATCGATGAACAATTTGGCCAGAACAATGTTTCCATCTGTAAATTGTGTTTTTAGTTATCTCAAGTTGATTTAGAGTAGTGTTTCTACCCCAGTTCTCTAAATTAACTCGAGAAAACTACTTCGTATCCAAGATGTTATTGGGAACCTCATCCGCTTATACGATCCCATAGGGTCAAACGAAGTCATAGTTCAAGTACAGTGGTACACTTTCTGCATTATTGTATTGTGATTTATGATGATACACACATAATATTTTTCTTTTCATTTATTTCAGTTACCAGATGAACATGTTTGCAAGACTTCTGCACATCAATTGCCTCCAAAATTGATGGAAGGGGGATCAAACCTTTGAAATGATTCTGCAAAAATCACATTATGTTATTGGTTGTCAGCGAAATGAGAAACAAATTTTGACTATGACGTTACAGCAAAGGAAACTTCGGTATGTCCCTGCTCCAATTATACACGTATTTGTTCAATTATAAGCAATGTGATGAGCGGCAAAAATCAAAATATAATCATATTAGTCATGAGAATTGCAATTACTGTAAATGCACACCAGCAACAAAAATGCAAATCGTACTTCCAAATGAATTGTTTATTACTTTAGGGCCAACAATGCTGCGCTAACGTAGCAAACAATTCATTCAACAATGTTTGTCTTCCATAACAATTAAATATGACGAATTTGAAACGTGATCTTTGAAAACAGTCAAAATAAGTTGAAACGAGATAAGCACTTGTCATTCTTTCCGTCATCTTAACATGATTTATAAATCTCCCTTTTTCTTCACTTGTTAAACAATGACATGCTTTTCAGGCGTTCACCGAAACTACATAGCTCTAGAGGGTAACCTCCGAAAAAACGAAAAATATTAACTTATACTTGATAAAAAACACAATTAAAAAGAAAAAACAATTGACTTACTGTTTCCACATACAAACAAAAATACAATTAGCTGAAAGGCAGCTAAATTCAAATTACTGCATATGTAAATTTCATAGAAACAGATGCGTCAAGAAACTCTGAAAAACTGAGATCAGCCCAAATGTTACGATTCCACACTTTTAATAATCGAAAATATAAATGAAATTTTACAGTGTTCTATCTTGAAGTATTGGACCACGAATTTCATTACAAAGCATAATAATCCTGCTTTATTCCTGAAATAAAATCAATGAAAGTACTGGACATAACAAGAGATTAATGATAAGCCCATGATATCATTTGTTCAGGCTTCGTCTCTTCCTTTCTAACAGCGATAGAATCTCCGTCATGGAAGTAAGGAGCTATATGCTATCATTAGCATTTATTAACGATTGCAATAACACGGAAATACTTAAAAGTTTTGTTTATTCATTCTAGTCGCTTTTCAAATAGATGGATTTCTGACAGCATTTACAAAAAATTCAGTTGTACATGCCGCAAGACATTTCACAATAAATAATCAGAACTTTTAAACAACAAGTAGATATTTTGGTGTTAATAAAGACCAAATAAATACTGTGCGACAATTTACAGCCTCTACATCCATGACGGCAACCCTCTACTCTTTCGGAAAATAAAAAAGGAAGTATTAAATGAGATGAAAGATCGACATACCTCTACTTTTGGCTTTTTTGCTATTTCCGCATCGCCAATCTCAGTTTCTGACCCCGAACGTTTGAAAGACTGTTCATTTCGTATATCACCTCCTTCTTTCTCATTATCATAGAATTCACCCTGGTCTTCCATAGACTCATCCATCATAGTGTCTAAAATATCGTCCAGAAATTATCGTCTACTAAAATGTCAAGATAAAATGTCAAGATTTGATATTGCAAAAAAGTCTTACGGTGTTGTCGGACATCCGGATTAGCATTATCACGATCAGCTTCTTCAGCATTAAGGCATTTTGTGGTAAAAGATTCATCGCCAATCGGTTGCATTTGCACACTTGGAACATGTGGTAAATGCCGTAAGTTCTCCATTACTCCTTCTCTTAAATATTTTTTGAGTATGTTGAGGATAAAACGTGCTCAAAGCTTGCAGAATTATCTTCCAAATATGTTCAGAGTGGGGCGGTGACAATAACTATGAACTTACTGTATCTTCTTCAGAAATTCAGGAGTGTTCTCATTATTCGCATTTGACGGATCGATATGAAGTCGATAATGCGGTCCAAAATATTCAAAATAATCATTGTATGGAAGATCTATAAAACTACTTCAATCAGTAATCTAAAGCATCGGCAGTATCTTTTTGATTTGATACGGGTAATCTTAATATGAGACCGGTATTCAAAAACTCCGATAATGAAACAGGCACATACCGTCAGAGACTTCCATATCAACAGCAATTGAAGTCTCGTAAGTCCAGCAACGAGCCACATTTCTAGGCGTATAACCACCGCCACCCAACATCATTAGTGGAATATGTCGTTCTCGAAAGAATCGAGCGCACGCACCATGCCCTGAAAGGACAGTTGCATTGAAATGTATTGGGATGAAAAGAATTTATTTAAAGTAAATTTACTTAAAGTAGAAATTTATTTAGCTAGAGGACGAGCGCTCATCCAAGAAAAATGAAAATATGAGGTAACAAAGTATCTCTAACACGAATTTGTTCAAACAAAAATATAATACCCCTCAAAGTAAGATTGAAAGTGCCCAAGCGATCGCCATTCAAAGAATCCGCTCCATTCTGCAAAACAACAGCACACGGTTGGAATGTTTCCATAACTCTCTCCATGACCTATAACACGAAAAAGACTCATCAAATGGGAAATCAAAAATGATCAGGACTGATTAACCAAATCTGCGGCATCTGCACGAGAAAATTCAATTTCATAAGAGTTATCAATATCTATCTTGGTTTTTAGTTGAGGTATCGTCTGATCTTAACAATCTTTTCTCACCTGATCTAACAACAACTTTTCTTCCACCCTCTCTATTCAGTTTATTGAGTATTTTAGAACTGAATAAACAGAAACTTTTCATTTTGTCCCGATTAGGTAGTTAGTATATGCTATACTGTTGTTCTACGTAAAGTGCATAAAATTTACCGGAACGAAGATGCTTTGATATGACTCGTCAGTGATGCCATCTCTCAAAGGTACATTAACTGCATAATACTTTCCTCTCCCAGCACCAATATCTTTTAACTCTCCCGTTCCTGGGAAGAAGTCACCATATTTATGAAAAGAACAAGTCATAACTCGATCCGTAGTATAGAAGGCCTCCTCAACACCATCACCATGATGAACATCGATATCAACGTAAAGCACTCTAAAATCAAATGAATTTTTAAATCGAATATATAATAAATGACTGCAAAAAGTGGTGTTATTTACTATGACAAAGAATAAGTGGTTCGATGTAACAAGTCTCTTTTCACATAAAAAAGTTCGCAGGTTTCAGGAGCTATGCTGCTTCAATTTGAAGGACTAGAAGTATAAATTTTAACCGTAATAGAGTTTTTCCTTCTAACTGTCCTGATAAACACTAGCCAGAGAAATATTGAATTTTAGCAATACGACAAAATTTGAGATATGAACACAATAAAGCAACGTTCTTAATTATAAATTGCTAATAAAGATGATGAATAACAGTAATCCTAATAAAATATAACTTTTGAAACTCGACTTACCTTTTGTGATATTTGAGAAGTTCGAGGATGCCCAAAACAATATCGTTTGTATAACAAAAGCCGCTGGCTTCACTTTTTTTTGCATGATGTAAACCTCCCATCCAGTTTATTGCTATATCGGCTTTCCGCTTGTTCAGCTTTACTGCAGCTGCTATAAAGATACCTGAGTAGCAAATAGTAGGGAAAACTTAATTTATGATTTCATACGCCACTAAAAAATTAAATCACGCCTTTAATTAGGATATGATATACCTAAAGATCCACCACATGAGAGCTGACAAAATTCAAATAAGCCATCGAAAACTGGACAATCTTCACCAACATTAACTGAAAGAAATGGTTTATTTGCAAAAAAAAATACATTTTTCTATAAAGTAAAAATGACTAAAATTGACTCCAAGAAACTAATTCTTATGGCCAAAAAGATTCTAGTTGTAAAAAATCTTTGACCTCAATAACAGCGTCAATCAACAACAAAGATGGTCACTTACATTTCAACATTTGTTTGTTGAATTGTTTCAAGTTATCCGGTGTAGCTGTTCGCAAGAACATCATGTATTCATTTGTGTGAAATCGCGTCATCTCTTCAAATGTTGCTGGGAACGGACGCTAAAAATTAATAATAATCTGTTAAAATTACAGTCCAGAACTCTCGTAAGCAGAAGTGAATACTTTGCTTTTTTCAGTCATTGTTAAGGTTGAGACATAGATTTTTCTAATCTCTCTGGTATAATTGCTAACATTCTTTGAAAAAGAAAGTTGAACGCACATAAACTTCCAGATTCCTGTAGATACCGTAATTGAGTAAAAGATGGTGAGTCATTCGAATACGATGAGGCTTCATCACATGACCTTGTCCGTAGTAATAATTTCCAACATTTGCTGCAATAATATAATATGATTCTACGCCTTGAATCATCGAATTAATTTAGAATATATCCTACACACAACTGCATAGAGTACGATCAATAACTCATGATAAATTGATATCAACGTTGACAAGGATTCAAAATCAACATATTGTTGTTAGATAACCAAAAATTTTCGTAACATTGCTGAAACCTCGCCGAATTAATTCCAAGCCAGATTTATAAAATCTTAAAACTAAAATTTGAAGAATTAAATATGAATAAAATTTTATACCGTCGTAGTAATATGCAACACGACGTTTGCTATGATCTTGTACTGACATCGGCATACTGTATAACGTGTAATGCAGTGCCTTCCAGATCACTTTCTTATAGGACTTTCGATAATTGATGAACTAAAAACTGTTTATAATTAATGAAGCAAAATAAAAGTCGACATGCACCGAAAAAGAAAAGTCAGCGCTAGATGACGGAAATGAAAACAGTCGTCTGAAAGGAAGTGAAGAGTGATATCCAATTGAGGAGTGACAGATAGATGATATCACGTGCAAATCATATGCACGAGACCGCAAAGGTTTCGCACATTGCTTTGCAACATAAAGAAAGTTCTATTGCATCGCGTCGTGCTGCGCAAAAACGAGAAAATAGTATGATGGATGAGTATTACCAAACTACATGAAATTTTCATCTCAAAAGATTCGCAAATCAACAAGACATACAGCATGTTTGATGCAGAGTGCAATCTGAGAAGCAATGGGAGGAACCTTTATCCAGTTAAGGTAGCTCATTAATACAAAAGTTAACCAAAACGGAAAAAGGTGACCCAACAACATCATGCTCATAATACTGGCCTATATGCATACACACGTACACACCTATACACCTATACATATACATACCTATACATACACACATACGTGCACACACACTCGAGCATACAAATGAATATATACATGATGCAAAAATATCTAGATACATACATAGAGACACACACATACGTACACATACCTACACGACATGATGTACACACATACATACACGTACGTACACTTACATATACACACATATACATACGTATACAATCGATCATACTCGCACTCGTCATCCTTCCCTATCTGGCACTTTGCTTTACTATCATTCTCATCTGTCTCATTTCTCTAACTACTTCAATTCTCCTTATCCTTCGCTATTTCTTTATATCACACCATTCATTGGATGCTGAACTTTTTTGAAAAAGGTGAGAATAATAAAAGATTCCTTTCGTGACGTAGATACGCTCATTTTTATTGGCAATTAGAAACAATGCTTTATCTTAAGAAATTTACGACAGCTCTCTACTCAAATCTTACTCAAGCAAATAAGAATTCGTTTCTTTGCTATCTTTTCAATAAATATCCGGGAAATTCGTAGACCGTGAATTACCCAGGAATGAGGTTACAATGAAATCCAACAAATACGTTATTGGTCTTATTGAAAGTGATAAATAACTCAATAACTTATATAAAATAGGAAGAATATCGTTGCATATGAAAATAACGGATCAAATATGTTCATCTTAGTCGTCTCAGTTATTTTTGGGAAGCATAAAATTGTTATTCTGAGAGTGTAACTCCTTGGTGGATATATAATGAGTAAAATGACCGTGGTACAAAACGGCAGAGAAGTGGCTTTATCTCTGAATAAGCAAGTACCTTTATTTGCATATATTACGAACAAAAATGAATCCAAGCAAAGGATAAATCCCATACTTACAACGTTATCTAAGTATAAGCAGAAAATCCCCTTCTGGATTCCTTGTTACATGTCGATCCACCTCCATAGCCAGATTTACAGATTTCCTGTCTTTGTAATAATTTCATTAATTAGCTCAGATATTAATGTTCAGTTGCATAAGCAATAAAAATTGACACAAAGTAGCCTGATCCGTCATTTTAACAGGATGTGATATTCTTTAGTGAGCATCTGACTCAGAAAGAACTCTTTCTTTCTTATAAAGATCTTGACTGTAACAGCTTTTATTGAAATATTGATAACGATAGACAAAAGGAATATGCTCGTCTTAAGAAATACATCAGGAGAAGGATCACATAAATGGTTCAGAGTTGTATTTTGAAGCAACACCTGATCGGCCCTCTTGCACAGTGACACTTTCACTACCATATCTGTCATCAAGTCCTTTCCATGTTCTTTGCGAAAAGTAATCACCTGAAACACTTCGATATCTCAGTAGTTTATCGAGGTAGGAATTTTTCTAATACTACTAAGGTCATTTTTAGTCGTAAACAAAGTCTCATTGCCAACGCAGTTAGAAATAAACCGAAAAATAACAATTTTCCACTTTTCTTTCATACACACTGTTTCATAGTTCATGTTGCTAAAACATCAATTCCAAAGAATTTCAAATACTCTAGTAAGAAAGATATAAATACAGAAGTGAATATATATATATATATATATATCTGAAAACTGAATGCTCACCAGCTATATAAGCAGATAGAGCATTACATGAATTTATATCACCATTATCTTCGATACCCATAGCGCGCATTTTACCAGTGATTAAACTCAAATCCGGCTTGATCTCAGTTTCATTGCTCATTTCATCTAAAAGTAATAAATATAAAATGCCAATAACAGTACTGAAAGACAGTTCCTATCAAGTTCTGCAATAAAAGCATGCTGATAATTTGACCACTGAAATCGAACAATAAGATAAAATCGATAGAGCTGCCAAATTATTTTATTTTATGCTATTATTTTATGTTCTTCAATTCAAGAATTACAAAATTATCACCATGGAGAAAGTTTCTGAATTCTGCCGTCCATCCATCACCCGCTAACCATTTACAATGTGGATTCAACGCAGATTCTGCTTCGAAAAGACTTAAAACTGGACGATAAAAATCGGAGACGTCCAATATGATGCCATATGGGCAAGATAGAACAATAAATGCTTCAATATCATTGGCAAAATTGGAAAGTTTTGGCTCATTGATCTGAAATAATAAATGATTATGGATGTTTGATTAGAGCTAAAGCAAAATTCTATGCACTTTCAGAAAAACTGTCCTTATCTTTTCTTACTGATCAGAAACAATAGTTTGAAGTATGAGGGTTAGAAAAGAGTAAAGGAATAGGGCACGGAAAGGAGCAACATAATAATAATAAGTAATTCTAAATAATTTTTTTGAACATTACATGAACTTTAAAACTTGATCACACCTTGCCAATTGCTAGAGTATAGCTCTTTTTCCCTGCAACTTTGCATAGTTTTCTGGTTCGTTCCAGAACTTCTCCATATCCAATCAGATTTGATGCATTGAGTACAAGACCAACAGTTTGAGCGTCTCGCAATTTTTCGATCAGAAATAGTCGTTTTCTTAAAAGCCGAGTGGCTGGAGTTCTGAATTTTTCATGCTTAACTGATCATTTTATCATTAATAAAGCTTGAATTAGAGTGAACAAAACGAAGTTAAAATATTTCGATAGTTTAGTTATCATATTGGAAATACCTAATTTAATGGAGAATAAGTCAACGAAGATTTTTTTGGCTTGCTTAAAGATATAACTGAATTGTTCTCTAAAGTTACTTCATTGATACCACACGATGAAGCGTCCAAAACAGATTACTTTGAGTTTGGAATAATATGAAAAAATGATCTACCTCTCAAATGAGTATTTCAGCGTAATGGGAGAAAAAGTAAAAACACTCGTGCAGTTTAAATTGGTCATCAGCCAAAGAGGCAAAATTGGACTGCTTGCTTCGCCAATAAACAACAGTGTCATGTTCTGTTTTCCATTCGGTAACACACGTCCTAAGCAACAATCCATATCTAAAATGAATTGAAAAAGAAAACAGAAATTCATTCACAAAAAAGTTAGTAATTTTTAAAACTATTGGAATAATCCACTAAGCAATATGCAATATGCAATATGCCTTCTACGTACTGAATGGTCGTGTTTCCATACTTCTTAAAATTAAAATTTAATCTGAAAAGCAGAAAAAAGCAAAATATGAAGATAACAAAATATACTGGAAGTAGAAGGTTGACCATGTTTGAGATTATTGGATCGATCGACCAGTTTGCAGTTGAATAATGATCCCATACCGGAGAACTTGCTTAACAAATCGAACAAAATATCTTAAATGAAACTTAAATGAAACTAAAGAATCGTGCTCTTTTTCAAGTAAAAACAACTACTGATTTGCAATCTCAAAAGCGACATTTTTGGTGCAAGCATCATTATTGAGAGAGAAGGAAAGAGAGACGAAAAGCTTTTTTCTTCACTTTTTTTTCAAAATTACAATTTATTTCGTCACGAATTTTGTACATCCAGTGCCCTCCCCGCCATGCATGCAATGGATATTTTCTGCTTTTCGGAAGATTGAACTTCATTTTGATCTGGAAAATAACAACATAGCAAAATTACACTAATTTTAGCATGCAAAATTAATGAAATGAACCTGAGCTGCTTGCATAAATTGTATCGAACAAAAGACAACAGTTCGGTTCAAATTTGTCTTTACATTTATGCACAGCTTCTTCCAACTTTTCCCATTCGATATTCACATCACCGAAAACAAATCTAGTGGGAATGCTATTAATGGTCTCACTCATACATGAATCTCCGTAATGAACGATGCAGTCAGCACCGCACTGCTCTGCTGCTATCAAATCAACACAACAGCTGCAATTTTTACAAGTTATATGACGAATAACGAAAGCGAAATAAAATAAAGTCTACAAAAACTGATAAAAATAGTTGCAATAAATAAATCTCCCTAATTAAAATAAATTTGGAAAAAGAAACTTTAAAAGATGGATGTAAGTTCTATGATTAAAGAGCAGCTCATTATTTTTTCCTATCAACAGCAGTATTTTCGATGAAAGCGTTGTCTAGAAACTTTGTTACTGCAAGAAAATATGCTAATTTTGCATCAAAATATTGTAATAACCTCCATTTTTGTCCAATTTAACCTCACAGGTTCTAAAAATAACTCTTTAAAAAAAACTGATGATTTACTTCTGATTTCTTCATCATTACTTTTATCGTCTGGATGCTCAAATCAAATTCCATCCTTACACATGTTAAGTAATATGTACCTTTGATATGTTGTATCGGCTAAAACATATGTTTTTACATCACCGTTGCAGTTATTCTCTAAAAGAGTAGCGATAACAGCAGATACAGAAAGAAAATAATCGGGGAACTGCAAGGCAACTCGACGATAACCGTTATTATTAATCCATAATATTGTCGAATCAATGTCGAAGAATTTTCTTAACTTGATATTGTCCATATCCTGCAAATCCATTTCCCTCATAAATAACACTTTCTACGATATTACTGATGTTTAAATATCAAATTCAGACTACTCAACACCGGCTCATAAAATTCGTGATATATCGTCATTAATGTTTTGAAATTTTCAATAGTCTTCCCGTGTACGTAGTGCAGTCATCTAGGAAATAAACTTTTTAATCCGATTAGCATTAGCTCGTTTCAGAGGTTTTCACTGGTCGACATGTCTTTTCGGCCAGTTACCATAACTTCCAAATGGTTCAAGTCAACTGGCAGAAAAAGAAACCAAATGAATTACTTATTTCCAGCATAATTTTACCTGTTACACATTCAAAAATGATTATTACGAACGAAAAAATTGTTTATGATTTTTTTTCATCATTCTTGTTGACAAGCAGTAAATACTTCTGCTCGGTTTTTTCATTCTTTAAATTTGTATATATTCAAATTAGAATTACAGATAAGTGAACTTAACTCGAAACAAAAAAGTTGGACATTTCAATTACCCGACCTTAGTTAGTTGTGTCAGAATATGTTCTTCTGTAGAAAGCAAATTCATTGTTGGTAATGCTGAAGTTTCTGGATCGAAAGATGACATTTCACATTCTTCCTCAAAAAGAAACTCAAAGATGCAATTCTTATTTTTGGATTTCAGAAATGTTCGATTGAATAAAACAACGTATCAAAAATTGCGCAACAATAGAGTGCACATCAGCGGAAGAAAATATGAGGATAATATATCTTCCTCGATGGAAATTAAAAGATAATTCCTCGTCCATTCAAATTCTCTTTTCGTTTTTGATACACTAACAAACAAATACATCAAAAGTAAAGTGCACAATCAGAATAATTGAATTTGAGCAAAAAAAGAAATTAAATTATAAATCATATAAAACTAAAGTAAGCAGTGGATCAAATCATTGTAAGATGGAAATAAACAATAAACCAATTTAAGTAGTAAAAGGTGGAAATAAATAAGGAGCCAGAGTAAAAGCACACAAAAACAAGTACCAACAACAACCGACCATTATTGATGGTACCCTTAACCTGTATATAACATACCACTGTCCGGTCCGTTAAATGCGGCAAAGTCTTATTGGTATTTTCCGAAGTTTTTGGAAGGTTACTACTTTGGAAATGATTTTAATCATGTTGATGGCAATAATTGTAGTCAGCGAAGCGTGAGTGCATTTCGGAAGTGAGAAGGATTTAATTAGCTGAAAGATTGATGTGATATTGTTGTCGAAAAATTTAAATATGAAGGAAAAACAGCATTCTGAAATTTCTTGTTGCCATGAACTAAAATCAGTTAGTTGTGTGTTTAATGAATTATTTATCTTTTCTTATTTTTCAACAATCAATGTGGCATTTAATGCCGATGATGGAATATGAAGTACATTTCTCTTATTTTCTCTTCTATGACTCATTGATTACTAGTCATTTGATTACTTCATGCTTAAAATTAATTCAACATATTCGTAGATTCTTTTAATTTGATCAATCGGAAACTCTTAAGAAATTAACAGTTATATGCGTTTTCATTTGTTTGACGGTGTGTGTGATATGGTTGCATTATGTTGCTGCATGATTTATCTTTTCCAGTCATTTATTGATTTAATGTTAACGATGCGGTCGGGTGTGAAGCTAAAATAAGTGAGCCATAAAAATGGAGAATTTTTTATTCAGTGATTATTTTCAGAATGAGTATGGTTGATGTTCCGACACTGCTTGAGCCTACTTCTAATAGTCATCGTCTCAGTTCTGATCAAGATCATACTTATTGTAGCATAAGTGATGCTTATGGTACACCACTTGCTCACCGACTTAAACAATTCCGCAATGAAAGCATCGGTTGTGACGTTGAATTTATTGTTGGAACAGAGCAAAAAGTTAGTTCACAATATATTTGCGCGCGTTTTCTTCTAAACAAATTTCGCACACTGATGAACTATAAATTAAGAGTTCTATTTATGTAAAAAATTGGCTCATAGCTGACCTTATTTGAACACCGTCAATAAATTCACTATCGTATTAAAGTAGATCTTTTAAGTTTAGACAAAAGTGAACACGATGAAGTAAGTGTCTTGTTGGTTCGGATTTACGGCAAATTGGTTTGACTTGCATGGTTTCTACTTAGTATAATGGCTTATTTTACATCTTCATTTTACTTTTATTTCAGGAAGAATTTTTGAATTTTTTTCCAGGCAATTAAAGCCCACAGACTTATTCTTAGTTGCGGTTCAAAAGTATTTGCTACGATGTTTTATGGTAAAATGACACAAGGTAAGCTTTCTTCTCTATTATTGTTCCAAGAAAGTGTTCTTTTATTGAACGGTGGTTCTTTTCGAACATATTTCAAAACTTGTGCACCATCATCTATATTTTTTTTTATATTTTGATCTGATGCTATTATATTAACTATATTTGATAATGGATAATGGTATTTAATCGTGCGCAAGCAACTAGTGGTAGGATTTCCTTTTTCCATTAACTATTTAACTTTTGCCATTTACAAGTTCTTTTCTGCAGAAAGCCAAGAGGATAATCTAACGACAGTTGTAGTTCCGGACATCAATTCTCACGCTTTTACAACTCTCATTAATTTTCTGTATTCGGATTTGAATATAGATGCAGTTAAATTGGACGACGATGATGTGATGCAAACACTCTACGCGGGTAATAGCCACATTTCGATGCACTGATTTCGGCATGTCTGTAGGTAAATCACCAAACCGTTCGAACATACATATAAGATCATCGATGCTATTGAGATGCACCAGAACGATTGCTCTTACTTTATAAGCAATGCTAATTTGAGTGCACTATGTACTTTGTCGTTTAACTGTGGTTTATTTTGATTTAACTTTGCCAATCTTTATATAAAATATATCATGATTTTCAATGTATATATTGTATTTCGTAGCTTTTCCATCGTACACATCTAAGTCAGGATTTTCGAGAGTCAGAGAATCATACTGAAGTAAACATTGGAAACCTGTTTTTATATTTCGATGCTCTGTTACAAATCATTCTGGTGCTCTGCTTATTTCAGCAAAGAAGTATGATGTTAAAGATCTTATTTTGGCATGCATTCGGTATTTAACGACTTGCTTGACTGCTTCGAATGCACTCTGTTTGCTTTCACAGGCACGTTTCTTCGACGAGCCGTTTCTGATGAAGCGTTGTTTGCAGGTGATTGATACAAACACTGATGAAGCTCTGAAATCTCCAGGTGATATGATTCCTTAGTTAAATGAAAACATTGCCGTCGTGCTGCAAAAAAACTACGGATTCAAGCTTTTGTTGAGAAGCTGAAAATATTATAGTCTATGTAAACATTGTGTAATAAGCAATCTAACTTTTTAAAATGACGTAACTCTTGCTTAATTGTTTTACATGATTTTGTGTAATTTTTCATTAACGCTTATTTTCTTTATTCTTGCACTGTTGCAAAAATGAGTTTTTGCAGGGATTCGAGACATTGATCGTGATACGCTTATAACAGTACTACAGAGAAGTGAGCTGGATCCGAGCAGTGAACTTGTTATTTTCAGAGCCGCACAGTCTTGGAGCGAAGCGGTTTGTTTTTGCCGTTTTCCTCCAAAAATTAGATTTAATGGAAAATATGATTTTTCAGGGTGATCAAGATCGGCTCTAGAAATAAGCTGCAGTTAAAATCGTCAGCTAGTGCATCCTTTGCAGCATGTGACTGGTATATTGAACTATAAAATAAAATTAAATATAGATAGTGTTAGCAATTTTCGATATAAGTATGAAATTTCATAAGTATTATTACTTGTTATTTGTAAGTACACTTAGATTTCTGTCGAGAAAATACGGTATATCGACTATTTTGAGACTGACATGGGAAAAACTGAAATGTTTTTGAAACTATTTTAGAACTCTTGTGATTTTGTTTTCTCTAGTCATTCTAGATCTCTAGTTCATTTTCCCAGTTTATGAGCAGAGTTTTCGCTTTATGACAGCCGATGTGTTTCCACGTGCCCGCCCGTAGTAGCATGGAATGAGTTCCGATTTTTACGTGCATCTAGTGTATTGAATTTCCTACTATCCCTGAATTAAAAAAATTACCGTAGAGTATCAAAATGTGAAACAAACAAGTTTTGTTTAAGTTGGATCATAATATGAAATTTTCATTTTAGATTTTTTTTTCTCAATGATATTTTAATCTCTTATTCTTATCTCCTTACCAAAATTGTTTTATTCATAAATGGATTCGAATATAAGTTTTCTTTTGTGTTAGTGGCTTTTATGAGTCAGAGAGGTAACTTAGTTATTTTTTCATGTAGTTTAATATTAAAAATGTTTCACCCCTAAATATAACGAACAAATAAACTTAAGTTGACTTTACAATGGTTTCAAGATTTTTGGAAAGCTGATACGATATTTTTTGACGTCCAGCTACACTTCTGCTGAATATTTGAGTATTTTTGGCATACAAGTTATAGATTGTGAATTATCTGCGAATAAATAAGTCACTATTCTCTATTCAGCTGTTGGGATAGCTGTTGGACTTCTCGATTAAGGTGTAATTTTATTTTTTTTAGGAGTGCGAACGACGGGAAATTGAAGTAAATCCTTCAAATCAACGCCAAGTTCTTGGTCCAGTACTTTCACTTATACGATTCCCATTGATGACAGTTCATGAATTTGGTGAAGCAGGTGCACTTCTTACTTTTGTTTTTTTCACGTTTTGTTTGTAATTTTATAGTGCATCCCTTTTAAGCCGAAAATCTAAGATCATAAGCTCCACTTCTTCATTTTACAACCAAGACACAATGATTATCAAATCATCTCGTATCGTTCTCAGAGTATTTTGCTTACTTAACCTTTTTTTAGTTGAGGGTAATTCAAATGCAATTTCAATATATGTCAATTTACTTTATTGAAAATTTATTTTGTTTTCAATTTCAGCGACCTCATCACTATTAAACTGTGAGGAAATTGCTCAGGTGTTTCTTCACTTGACCGTTGTTCCGCGTCCTCCGGTTTCCTATCCGACAGGTTCCTTGTCTACGTTTTTCCGGAAAAGTTGCAATATCCAGTAGTACATTAGGGCTTTGTGTTACGGTCTCCAAGTTCATTAGGTTTGTACATATTGTGTACAATATTTTTCTCGATCTCACGAAGCAGACCAAAGTTTTGAATAACTTGAATTGAAAAAATATTACAAATTGCTTTAACAATAATATCTTTTTACAAAAACCGCCATTTGTAGAGGTTGGAGCTCACCATTTAATCTACTAACAATGGTTTCGTCAGTTAAATGTTTATATTTGCATTTCTTCAGGTTTAAGATGTAGTGGTCGTTCACGGCACGTATTAAAACGTTTTCCTGTCCTGTCGAATAAACGCTGTAACAGACGAGAAAATAAATTCTGGTATATTGAATTTAGATGGTTTTGTTCCCTTTTACCTTTTTGGCTATTTTATAGGAAAAATCTAAATGAATCATCTCTATTTTGAAATTTTTGTTGACTTTAGTTTCATGGTAGATCGTGAAATTTTGGTAAGTGGTTTCGGGATATTCGGATTTGCACCAATGACAAAATCGCATTTATCATTCGTCGACCCATCATTGGCTCTCGCTTGGCGAACTCAAGTGGAAATCCAGGTTATCAAGATTTTTATATTTCAGCATAAGATTGGAAGTCATTGTTACATGAAGATTTGATTTGAATCCATTTTGATATGCCACATTTGCAAAACATCCATTTTCGAAAAGCTACAAGCGAACCAAAAACTATTCAACGGATTTGGTTTGAAAAGATTTGAAAAATGTTTTTAGTTTGACCGGCAGGTGTTTGCTGTTAAATGATTATATGTTCTGGCGTCCTGGAACTGAAATGATATAGCTGTGTTTTGCAATGTTAGTAAGGGTATCACAAAAAAGTTTGGTTAGCTACGACAACGACTATTCGAAGCCGTTGTCTTTTTATTCTTCGCGCTGCTGTATTTTGCAATTATTTCGCGTGATATTTAAATGCTAATTGAATGAGAGGATGATGCTTATTGATCCAAGTTTTGTTTTTAAAGGTATTACCCTCACCAGATGTCCGAGATGGTGGCATGAAAATGAATTATGCAAGTGCGACAGAAACTGTCATCATTCAAGGGACAATGGGTGACGTAAAGCCCATTGTGGCTAGTTTCAGAAAACCAGTGCCTGTGCGACCCAATATTTTTTATATAGCTGGAATGAAATTTCTGGTTAGTTTCTATTGATTAAAGTATCACTGGAACTAAAAGAACAAAAGATTGTAAACGTTCATTTAACAAAGTAATTTTTGCTTATGTAGTTACTCATTAGTTATTGCATCTCATGTCAACCTCCTTTTTTTCAATAGTTGAGGTATTGTTTCAGTCGGATGCGACTGTAGAGACTTATAGTGGCAAGGAAGGCATCGAAACAGCAACGATATCATTACCATTTGATGAAGAAGTCAGTTTTCATTTCCAAAGTTTCCGGAATTCCTATGGAAATGAAGATGTTAGTCGTTTTGAAGGACAGCTTCCTGAAATACATTTCTTTGTTCAGTGGCCCGAAGGAACTCACTAGGATTTGGACCTTCATATTCTGTGATACTTCTGTTACCTGTACCTTATTTCGTCATTATTGATTTGAATTTCAAAGGAAAAAGTTCCATCTCAAATAATTTTGCAAATTTGGGCGTTTCAATTATTCATGCATATTTCATATTCATAATATTTTGTTTATACAATAATGACTGAGTGAAAATGGTGAATTGATAACTTAATTTGTAAAACTAACTTGTAGTACTTGAAGTGATATTATTTAAATATACAGAAAAAATTGCTGTCGCTGATAAGCAGTAATAGCAGCAAAATACAATAAGAATATTTCTTTCACTAAGACCTATATCTTTGTTTTTCATCGGAACAGCAACAGTATAATTACCATTTGATGAAAATTTTTAGCAAATTATAAATATTTGACGATATTTTGTTTGTTGTTTTATGAAAGTGCGTTATCAGTGTCATGTGTACTTTGTGATAACGAGGTTTTCTGAAATATACATATATGTCTAATAACTAATGGGTATAAAATTCAAATTCTAGTAATTTTATTTTAATCATTTCACTATAATGAGTAGTCACTTAATATCGTATGCTTTAACGAGATATCGTTTTATTCGATTTATGTTGGCTGGAATTATTTTCGGAAGCTTTTCTGCAATTCTGCTTCGAAGTTACTCCGGAAACTTATATAATTTTGATGGAAAATTTTATTACCAGTGCAAAAATGATGACTGAAGACGAAAAAAATGTATTGGTTGGTACCCAACTGCCGTCAATATTCGAACTGATCGCACAAGACAGTCTAGCAATTTCTATTCGACAAGCTGTTCATCATATTGTGAAGGTGCGATGTTTAGTTCCGCATTTATAGTTTATTTCTCACAAAGCACAAAAAAGGGCTTTTTGGCTAGCAAATAGAAAGTAATGGCAGTTAAGACAAAGGATGTTGGATATGTCTAAATGAGTATGAAGTGGTCTTCATATGCAGTGTTGTCATCAGTATTTCAAGTTTTATCAATAACGAGCAGTATGTCTAAATTTTTGTTGAAGACTGTGGCAATTCATTTTATGGTATATTGTAATGAATAGCATAGATAGTTTCAACAAACAAGACTTAAATAGAATAATTGCTTTGAGAAAGAATGTATGATTTACCGTTTGCCAATGGAATGAATACTTCTATGTTGGTAATGTCGTTATATGCATCCGCGGATAGTTCTTGAGTGCCTCATATAATTAGATATAAAGAGCAAGTTTTGCTTATTGAACGTTCATGATTCAAACTAAGATATTTGAAGTACTTATATGAGTGCAATCCTTCGCGATACGGACTGTTGTGGAAATGGTACGACGAAATATATGCAGCTGCCGATTTGGTTCTTGAAAGTTTCTACTTAAAAAAATATGGTTAATTTTCTTATTTGATACATTTTTTCTAGGAAATAATACGGATTAACAATTAACACTCTTTCGTATTGCTTGAAGCGAACGGTTAAACCGCTATGGAAATCTCAATAGTGAGAACAATAAAGTAGAGAGCAGTAGAAAATGTAACAACAAGGGCGTATGATTAATAATTGTAATGGATTCATGCGTTACGTTGATCTATTCTCAATATTTGGAAATCCTGAGTTATTTCATATGGAATGCGAGAATTTTCCCTCTTTCATTGTTGTTCAGGAGGTTCGCTTGCCGAAAATTTTTATGGAATGAAACGGATAGTTAATGGCACGTGCAGATCAGCCTCGAGAGGATTTCCAAAATTACGTTCTTTGTTCATGCTTGTAAGTTATTTTCATTCGAAGTTATTTGTAGAATTTTGCTATAAATTGTCTAAAACAGAAATTGCATCATAAATTCGCTGTCACAGTACACTGAAAATAAATAATGATATGAAGCAATGAATAACTATATTTTATGCACGTTATTTCTGCGGGATAATTCTTAGTTTCTATTTTCATGTGATAAAGATATATTTCATGTCTTATATTTCATGTCTTATTCCTCACAAGTATATTGCGGTGTACGTTTTAGTGCTGAGAAGATTCTTTTTGAACCTACACTGTTTAAGAAATTCACTGAGTAACCACTACCAGCAAAGATAAAAGAAGATCACTCTTCACTTTTAGAATCAGTTTCTCTCAATTTATCATGTTTCAGTAACCAATAATATGTCTTCAGCCAAATATTGTAGCAGTCGAATATATTAAAATTATTAGTCAACAAATGCATGTTTTTGATTGGGCATCAATTTCATATTTCTTGCATTTCATACTGTTATCATTTTAAATTTGATAGGTTTCTGGAAAAAGAAAAACGGTGTTAGTTCTGTTTTATAGGTTGGATGGCCATACATCATGAAAAAATTAGAAAAGTTTCATTTATTGTTGTCAACATATACGATCAGAAGTTTTTCAGAGGTCAGTTTTATACTAAAAGTACTACAACTTCCATCATGTTTATCTTTTTAAGTTTTTAAAGATAAAAAAACTAAAATCAATTTTTTAAATTTTTTTTTAGAAAATTGAAGGCAGCGTGTAGTTTTTCATTCCTTTGCCTGATTTACACAGCTAACATGCAAAAATACAGAGATATGTGAATAAATTATCGGCTTGAAAAATATGTTTGTCATCTTTTGATCTGAATCACAATTTTACCTTATTACGATTTTTTCCGGAATGATAGTAAGATATTTTCTCTGCAAGAGTTGTATTTTACTAATTTTACTAATGTTAACGTGTTACCTGAATCTCCCAGGGTTTTTATTTTCATGAAAAAATAAATGGCTAATCGAAAACATATGCTTGCGAAATCATAAAGTTTGAGCAAATTTCAACTTTTGCAGCAACTTTCATTTGTTCATATTCTCATCAAGTTCTACTCATGGATTAAAATATTATTCTCTACCTTTGCTTTCCTTCTTAAAATTGCTTATATTTTATCGTTATGTAATGTACATTCCCCGGAGCTAAAATTTGCAAACGTATATTTGGTGAAATTCACTCAAACGGCTTTCGGCGAAGCAAACCAAAAGTATGACTTATTATTGCTTTTCATATATTTTTTGAACAGATGAGTTGTCTAAACCTTGTCCTATAAATTGATAAAACGGAAATAAATTAAAATGATGAAGAACATCCATAGTCCTTCAGAAGTTTTATTCGAATTGCACTTGAGTTTACGATTGTTTAATTATACCTAAATTTAAACTTATAAATGATATTTCAGGAGTTCTTGGCGGGTATTAATTATTTTAGCTAATATTCTTACCCGATGCATAACTTATGGTCTTTATTTCATCCAGTTTCTGGATTTTTATTATAATAGCGATACTGGAGAGAATTTTCGTATGGAGCAAAGAATACGAAACTGGAGATATCCATCAGCACCTCATAAAGTATTTTTCGTTCATGAAATTGTAGCTAATACAGTAATATTATATGTTAGGTCTATTTCTGAAGATAATAAAAGGGCACATATCAAAATTCCTGGCCTTTGCATTTGTGATGCTTGTAAAAAACATTTATACATAGCATTTGTTTTTTTAGAAATTACGAGAAAGTTCTGTATTACTTCTGGAAACGAACAAATGCCCTTTGTGCTTGCGACAGCGTACCAATGATACCGTATGTTTCGTCTGCTTCTATTGATAAAAATATATACGCTATTTATTTAGTCTTCGTAAATTTTAACTTTTTCTACCTCATTACTCTTAGCATCTATGAGGTAAGGGAGGGGAAAAGAAGACACATGAGGAAGGTTTATTTCTCATATTAATCACGCGGGTGAGCTTGATAAGCTTAATCGGCGTTAGCGAGCCTGGATAGTGAAGTGTTGTTATCCATTAGCTGACTGCATCTGAATTCAAAGTATTATCATTACCTCCGTATTATCATCTTGGTGATAATTCATTTAAAAATTTTTTATAATAGGTGCTTGCTGTTTCCGGTTATGTTTTCTGCTATGGTTGCATATATTCGTATGTGGAACAAGAGAAGAAATGTCCAGTTACGGGTTTATCAGCGAATGTGGATGATTTGATTAAAATTTTTGTCCCTCCTTTAGTGTAAATCTTTCATATTTCTTACATTCCTACGGTTTTTATTGCAATCTTACAAATTCTATTAATGACATCACATTTAATTATGAATATATATATAAAATATTTCAACAATTAAAACAATAAGGATCAAATGTTTGTTGAATGCTATTATTAATGAATTTGATGTTATTTGAGTTCAGACCTGAGATAAAAGTCAACTGCAAATCGGAGCAATTTGAAAGCTTTCTAGTATCATAGATATAGTTTAAATATAAAATTTAGTGTCAATTTTAGTCTTTCTATTTTTCAAATTAATCCTGAAGTAAAACGTTCAGCTAGGAGTGTTTTTTTCCGTCACAGTCACTTATAGACTCATTTTTTCCACACTATAAGTAGCATTCAAGATTTAATTAGTGAAATGTAAACAATCATATCTTATAATCATACCTTCTGCAGACATGTCTTAAACATTTTCTCACCAGTTATGTCTTTCGGAAATTTTTCTTAACATTTGCTTCATACTAAATGCTTCATCCTATTGCAAAAAAATTCATTATAGAAGGAACTTTTCAAAAATTTGTAGACGTTATCAATTTTCATGGAATTGTATAGCGAATATGAATTTGGATAAGAAAATTGTACAATTCTTTCTGTGATACATTTCTAGAACTATATATGTTCAGACTTATTTAATATAATAAAAGATAGGAATAGTCAAAGGTCATTTTAAGGATTCATTCCCTCATAAACTACAATCGAATCAAATAGGACAAAGATTATTACAATTGTTGATTTTCTTCAGAATGCTAATAATTTTTTTTAATCTATTCATTGTCCTTCTTTCAGAAGCAAAGTAGTGTGTGATATTTAATAAGCTTATTTTTGATTTAATGATAGCAATAAGAGTTCCAAATGATATACTAAAATTCTTTCTAAATAATCATTTTATCATTTAAATATTCGTAACATTTCATCTGTTATTTAAAGGTATAAAGGTTGTCAATAAGCAGCGAATATTTGTTTTTTAGGATAAATTTCTGATATTCCATTTATTTTGCTTTTTGAGAAAAATAAGAAATATTAAAAGTTTTAAATGCTTCAAAGATCCTTTTTCAAAATTTCCCAAATTCAAGCACTTATCTATCCTTTTTCATATAATCACAAAGATTTGTTTTGTCAAAAGAGGAATAACAAATGGAAAATGATAAATTAAGATATCCGTGAACAAACAGAATAAACGAAAAAGAATATCAGAAAATGATATGAACCATTAAAAGATTTATTTTAAATAGAAATTGCATTCAAGCTTATCTATGCAATTTATAGTTACAAAATAAATTTTGTAATTTATAATAGTTATTATTCACGATTCTTAATAATGAATAATAATGTAAGTTTAGATAGTCTCTTTCTAAATAAGATTTCTTTCTTTATGGATTTTATAACTTAAAAGTATCCTAAAATCTCAAAACAACTGCTTAAAGCAGTTTGCATTGAATTCCTCATAATTTAATTTCTTGAGATTTTTGCAACTCTAGCTTCTAAGTTTGCTTCTCGGATCAACTACTTAATTTGCTTGAAACGGTTGTAAGTTTTGAATTGGAATGATATTAATTTTCAACTGTAAATTTGTTTACTTTTGAGTTTTAAAACAAGATCTTTGGTGACTAATTTGTTTTGCAGAACTCTTAAAAGTTTTCCTATTTTACGGTAATGGGTGATTTAGTTTTAGGAAGCCTAAAATCTCCGTGCAACTCTTTTATACTAATTGTATTCTTAAATTTCTATTCCTATCAAATTGATAAATTTATTCGAAATTTAAAGCAGGATTATCTTCATGATAACTTTAAGAGCTTCCATCATTTCCACTTTTCTTCTTAATAATTATTTAGGAATTCGAATATGAATTAAAATTAATTCAAACAATGCAGATATCTTAATTCATTAATATAAAATTATTGGTCGACTGATATGAAATTATTAAATTTCGTATGCCGGGCCACTTCTAAAAACTAAACATAAGGATAAATGAAATTTGAATTTACATCGAATTAAATCAAAGGTAACTTTTGGATGGATGAAAATTGATAATATTTCAACTTTTCTGATCATGAAAAGGACTGTATAAGCAAAACCAATAATGATAGATGGAATAAATATCTAGGATATCTAGGTGATGATAAATTACTCGATCGAATTTATAAATTTCATTGGTGTTTTATAAAAATTTTCATTTACACCGATATCTATTAGACTATCATCTTTATATATAATGATTATGTATTTTATTTTTTAATTTCCAATCATACCATTAGTAGGAAATAGGAGTAATTAATAATGATTGTAAAGAGTAATTAATGATTGTAAATTATTTGAATCAATTACATACATACCGCCTTGTTCTGCAAAAACAAATCACACCTTTACTTGATGTAATTTAAAAATCATAATTTTTTCTGTGCTATAAAATTTAATAGAGACAAAAACAAAATCCTAAAATATTTCGATAATGAAAAAAAAAACGGTCATTACTCATTTATTGTCTATTTTACTACCTGTAGTAATAAATGCAGAAAATGTAATCAAACATTTTATTCACATACATAAGCTTTCAACATGCTATCTCCATCAATACGCACTGAATCGCAAGAATAATTCTTTCCGTTTTTTTTGATTGGAAAAAAGAAACAATAAAAAAAGAGATGCTAAAAAAGTAAGAATGAAAATTTAATGATGAAAAAGTACGGAAAAATTAATTCCGGAATGATTTAGACTAATTAATTGATTTTAACATAGAAATATCTGTATGGATACAGGTGTCAATAATATGTAAATTGAATTTTTCTTTTGAAACAAAACTTAATTGATCAATTTTATGTATAAAAATATGGTGTAAATTTTAATGTTATTGAAAAGCGAGAAAAGAAATGCTACATATTAATATTAAATTATTTGTTTCATTCATTTCTCCTAGAAAATAACAACATCATATATAACTCTTTTTTTTTCCGATCATTTTTCACATAATATAATAATCAAAAAGAGAAATAATGGAAATTAATAATTCTTATAACTCTTTTTTTGTCTTTTCATTAAGAAAGAAAATGTATATACTTTTTAATAGATAAGAAAGCATATTGAAATAAGAATGAGAGAAAAAGAATTCGATGAAATGAATATTTACAGAATACAAATAACAATGATAGCATAATTAATACTGATAATAACAATAATAATAATAATTTAAAACAAAAATGAATAGAATACTCTCATCCATATCTAAAAAAACAAAAATTATTATATATAAATTTGCATTGAATAGATTGTCACATCAATTTTTCTATTGTTTTCTTTTTCCTTTATTGTTTTAAAATTCATTTGATATTAATGCTTTCAAAAAAGAAAAAAAAGAAAAATGATTATTATAAATTGAAGTATTTCTTGTTGTATTTATATGTGATATGTTTGCTGGTATTAGTAAGCTCTTTTTAATTAACTTTGTTTAATAAGTTAATGTCTGATATTTTGATGAAGCTCATCTCTTTTAAAGACAAAACAATAAATTCCAGTAATTATCGTTCCTTTTTTTAATCACCCGATTCTAAAAGCATCGCCATTTCATCCAAACTAAAATCTTTAATCTGCCATCACTAGCAACATATTCTCAACCAAGTAGCCCACGGCAATAAAGCTAAATGAAACATACATTTTTATACCAACAAACATAACAGAATGGAAACACGTTAGGATATATCGCAGGATGATTAGTTGATTAATAACAATTTTAATAAAATGGAATTATCAACTACTAATATATTATCATTGTTTTCTCTTCCTGACTTCAAGAATTTTTCATAGAATTGGCCATTTTCATAATTTCCGGTAGCCTAAATGAATAACAGATGCAATAGAAATGACCTAAATTAAACGAAGATATTTCACCAGCAGTTTGAAGGTGTAAAAAAACCTTGATTTTCTACTACCTTTTTGATAGGCAGTTCTAAACTTGAAATTACTCATCAGAGAAATTTGTTATTTTTCTAGTAAAAAAACATAGTAAGAAAATCATATATTAAGAAAAGAAATGTTAATTTACCTCTACTGATGCTCATATTCATTTTCTTTCTGTAACGCTTTACCGCTGTTTGAAGTACTGGCACCGTTCGTTAATAAATCCAGGAATAGTTTTGATTTCAAAAATCGCCTATAACTATCTTTTGCCATTAATTGTTCAATTCTAGTTTGCGCTAACGAAAACATATTTGGCTTGGCGCCATTTTCCAGAGCTGCTTTTGTTGCTGCGCGCGTATCACTATCTAAATTAACCTGAAAACAAATTTTCTTATCACAAACAATGAAATGCCATATTAAAAAGAGTAATCAGTTTTAAATGATTAAAAATTTCAATTAACCAAACTTAAAATTGATTTCACTTTCAATTAGGCATTTTTCGCTATCATTCGATTTTCTGAACTGTGAAAATAATAATTACATTGAAAGTTTTAGCAGGTTTACTTATGATAATGCCAAACAAATGATGATGCGAACCTCTTTTGGTGATTGTTCAGCAATGTATTTACTATATATAGAATGCGCTTTTTGAATTGTCGATTTTTTTCCTTCTTTCATCTTTCGAAATTCTTCACATTCAATCCAAAAATCAACATTTTCATCGCTGAATTCTCCTTTCAAAAATGTCCGAAACAACAGACAACCATCTTGAAATGGTTTCATATGGCAACTTAATTATGAACTTTCCGCAAAGCAAATTAGTTTAATTGAAAAATAATATAACTTCGATATCTTATTGAAAAAATCAACATACATTTGTGATTCAACAAACGTTCGAATGAATCTTGCCATTGGATAATCTCTTCCTTGGAAGGATAAAGCGTTGATGTACTACAAGAATCCATCTTACTCCTAATGAAATCCAATGTTTTCGCGAACCTGCTACTAAAACATCGTCATTTTAATTCACCCCACAAAAAATTTAAAACAAAGTGCATAAAATTCACTCTTGCACTTACGCCCTTTTCCGTTCTCCAAACCTACCAGTGGAATTTTGCTAATTTTAACATGTATAGTAAATGTTTCGGCTCTTTAATATGATAAGAGGATCGCGTTCTTTTAAGTAAATATTAGAAGTTGATCTTTTTATATGACAAAAAAAAATATATAGTAAGTAACTTACAATCTCCTCTTTACTTCGATATCCTGCACATGTAGTCTTTGATTTACCTTATCTAAACATCCTTTGGGACTAAACGTAAATGATGCCGTCCGTCTTATAGAATTTATAGAATCCTACAATAGAATATGTATACAATCTACAATTGTACAGAATTTTGCAAGTATGCATTCTAGTCTAATAAAATTCTATGATTTTTTAAATTTCAAGGGAAAGCTTAATTGGTGGACGAAATATTACTACCGATATCTGACGCTATCTAACAAGTATTTTCATTAATAACATTAATAACACTTGTCAATAGCGATAATATTTGATCGATGCAAGCGGAAGAATGCATATTAAAACACAGCCACTGCAGTTCGCAAAGTTTGGAAAAGCCGTAAATCAAATACTTAAATTGGATGCTTAAACATTGTTAGAAGTCCTGCAAGGTTGACAAGAAACTTTCACTGAGATGTATAGGTGTAAGAAATGTGCACTACTTTTATTAATAAGTTAAACTATGAAGATAGTACAAAATCGCCAATACCTCAGAATTCTTTTGTGTTCCATTTGCGCACAGATATTGGACATTTGTAGGAGCGCCAATTGATGTCTTTACATCTGCAGCACTGGATCCATCTGATGTTATATCACCTGTATTTTAAACAAAATTAGTCTCGAATCTAATAAGGAGTTATTGTTATCAAAATTATCAGGATTATTGAACTTTCAGTGGTACTCAGATTTTCAGATTATTTAGGCAATTAATATTATTAGTTAAATCATTCTGTATAATACAACGTTACAAAACTAGTTGCGAACATTCAGATTTTGTAAGATTTCTTTTATTAAAATGAGAAAGTCGAAAATTTATCGAAATTAAATTTACAAAAACCTACTTGTAGTAGTGATGAATGGCACGTTGATCAGTTGTCGATGCAAATTTTCACTAATTGTCGTACTGGATGTAATACTTGAACTTTCAGTTGTATAATCTAAATCATTGTGCCGGATACTAATTGGTACTTTGGATTTTGGAAGTGATGTTGTTTTCATTTTTGTAACTGTATGCAAATTCGAACCAGCATCTTCATTTCTTCTTGAACATTCCACACCACATGGATTAAGAGCATACGTCCAACCCGATTTGCTATATTGATGTGTAGTTGGTAATAATGATGTTGTATGACCACTTGATGATGGTGATGATGTTGTTCGACTATGACGATATGTATGTGGATTGTGATTATTGCAATCCGAATTACGCATTATCTGAAACATAAAACATTTGAAATCTTTAGAATAGGAGAACAAATTAAACAATTATAGAAATCGAAAGAATAATTATAATCAGACAATAATTATCAATGAAAAGTGACGGGAAAGAAGTATTGAATTCTAAATTTCACGTTAACCAAAATTACCAATGCACTGATACTTGCTTGGCGAAACATTAATACGCCATTATTTTAGAGATAAATTCTATTCCATCACATATTCTTAATGCATCATACATTGTTCACTATTCTTATTGTTTTCAGTATAAATTTATTTTATTGCTACATAATTAGCAAACGTTGAAAAAGAACAATAGAAATTTTTCTTCTTTGATTTTTCTGAGGGCATAATCTTCGTGTTTCATTTTGATCAAAACAATCTTGCTAATGCAAAAGAATTTTAATATTTGCATCGCTTCATTTCTTTTGTTAAATTCTTTGGAAAAATATTGTATGAGAGATTGAGAATTAATTATATGAGAAAAGATGCTATAATTTAACTTACATATTTGTAAGCTTCATTTTCAAATAACTAAATCGAAGTTTTTGAAAAATCAGAAATGAATCGTTTCCAAATGGAGAAAATGATATGAGTTGAATGCAAAAAAAAAATATCTTATTATGAAAGAATTATTAGGAGCTAAAGAAACGAGAACCACTATTTTCTATCTTCAACATTTTAATAATAGTTTTGATTGAGAGAAATATGAATGCAAGTTAGTATAATAATGATTATACATCAGAGATAAGAAAAAGGATTTAAAAGATTCCAGAAGTATGGCGAAGTTAGCTTCATCAATCTTATTAATAGATATCATTAAAACAGAAAGAATAAAAAAGATTGCATGGATATAATCAATTCTTTTTATTTATTTAAATTCAATCCAAATTAGCCGATACAATTAAGTTTGGCCCAGCTCATCCATGTCAATCATTATTAATTCATTTAATGAGCGCTCACAATTCACACCATCGAGAAAGAATTTATATTAAGGATTTTTCCAATGGCATATGGTTTTTTTAGACATGATCCTATTACCATTTCTGAATGATATTCAAAGTTTTTAGGATTTCGAAAATTTTTCAAATCTTTGAAACTTTTCCTCTTATAATTTTAATTTCAGCGTTTCAGTATTGCAATACATTGCAAATATTATATAGCAAAATCAATTTCGTTTCAAATTTAAAACAAATAGTCCCTAACATTTCTCATTTTACTATATGGAAAATTTTGCGGAATTTTTTTACTAAATGATGAATGCTAAAAAAAAAGAAAAGGGAAAACTTGATATATCTGGACAAATACGATTGATGTAACGTCGCAATTTCAAAATACACTTCCGGTTTTATGTAAATTTTTTGATAAAGATTTTGTGGTATTCACAACGAAAAGAAAGAAGAAAGGAAATTGTAAAATTATAATACCTGAAAAAAAGAATTATTTAGCAAATTTTTTTCAACGAAAGAAATAAGACTTTTTATAAATGCTGCACAAACTATTTAAAAAAAAAGAAGGATAACAGCATAGTTAATCAATCATTCATACTATGCATGTAAATTAGAAAGAAAGAACAAAAAAGAACTTGATTAATTTAAAACAATGAAAAATTTGCAATTTTTGTTTATTCCTTTTTTCTTTTAATAGGATGTTAAACATTCATTCTCTTAGATATTGATAAAATCGGTAAAATTATTTTTCAAATAAATACTTTACTCAAATAATATTGTGACAATTATGTCATTCATAAAATAGCAAATGAAACTATGCAATCAATTTCATTCATTCAAAAAAGAAGCAACAAAAGTTTAAGAAGAAAATGAATGAAAATGACAAAAATCATTAAAAGAATACCACGAAATACCTAAGTAGGATCGGATAAATTCCCAAGGCATTTCTATTGCTATTGCAAGTATAACCAACCCATACATGACATACGTAGAAGTGAAGTGCACATTAGTTAATGTAATTTGTATTGCTTTACTTCCTGTTCGATTGTTTGATTACTATGGAAAAGATGATATTGATAGGGGTATGTAGAATAATCATTATGTTTTTTTCTCGTCTTTTTTTGAATAGAGTAGAACTTGCAAAGAAATTAACAAATTAATAAGCATCTATTCCGAGGATAACAACAACAGTAGTAGTGGTGGTAGCAGCGGGTAGTAAGGAGATATAATGAAGGAGAGCAACAGATAAAGCAAAACGAAAGCATCACATTTACAACTAAAAGGGTTTAGTAAAATAAAAACAAAAAACAATTTTTTTTCCCCCACTTATTATTGGTTTAAAAAGAAGAAGAAGAGACAAAATAGCAAAAACTATAATTTTAAGAAAAATAAAAGTTCACTCTATTTCGAAATTTTGCCACTTTTCGCTTTATTAAAATGTTGAGGGGTAAAGGACAGTATAAAATGATTAATGGAAATTTAAGAAATATTACAATAAGAGTTAACTTTTGTAATTATAAATTATGAGAGATTAGAAAGCTGATGTTGTTTAAAATTCATTTTAACTAATTGCGTATATTCAACAAAATAGTCAACAGTCGCAAAAAAAATATGTATATGCGTAAAATTTTCCACCTGCAAATAAGTTGAAATTAATAATGACATTATATTAAAGACATTTAACACCTGATTTTCTTAAAGTTAATTAAGAAAGTGTGAAGCTAACATTTCCCACAAAGTAAGACATTATGCGCTTTCATTATTTTAAACAACAGAAATACTCAGCAACAAGTCGGAATTAAAATTAAAAGTAAAAAGCAAAGAAAAAAAGAGTGTCTTATGAAGTCTTTCAGATTCATTTGAATTTATCTCACCTAACAATAAATGAAAACTTTAATTTCTATTAAAATTATCTTAGTTTCAAAGAAAATTATCATTATCAAATTTCATTGTTTCAAAATTAAGTATTTGCTTTCACTCCAGAATTGATCAAGTTTATCAAGCAATGTACGTATGATTAAATATTGAAGATGGTTTAAGTTGTTTTTCATGAAAATTATTGCTAGGAAAAAAAACCAGCTTTCTGTTTTCTTAAATAAGCTGAAATCTTTGTGTTTTATCACTAATGATATTTCTTATGAGTAAGCAATTGTGTTCGTTCACATCTTCACTCAAAATTATTGTTTATTAATGAAATTGATTTTTAGAAATCAAAGCATTTTTAGGAACATTTATTTCCTATTATTTAAAGATTTACTTGTAACAAAAAAATTGTACGTTTTGAAAAATTTACTTTAGTTTCATTGCGTGAAAATTCTCGTGAAGCAAAAAATACATATAATTAATCAAAAAAGAGAAACAGAGAATTGTAGTAATAAGGTAAACTGCCCTTTTGATATCTTCTTGCTTGACGGCAAACTTCAATTTTTGAGAAATCCCCATGTGAGACATTTTTTTTCAAGTTGAAAAATCTCAGATCAGTTTCCCTAAAAGACTAGATTCGTCACATTAAGCTACTCATTCTCATCTATTTTCCTTTTCAATAACAATTCCCATGTAACATTTTCTAAAAATTAATGTGAAGAAAAGTATACTATCTCTTAATTTATCGAAATCATTAAAAAAAAGTTTTATCATTGCTGACATAATTTCTCCTAACATTAACTCTTTTCAGTTGATACGAATGAATTAACTATGAGTTAAAATCATAAATTGATTGAGGAAATGGTAATTAAATGAATGAAAATTCAAGGTAATACAGCTAAAGCAATAATGTGAGGAAAAGAGCTATGTATAATAATCTACCACAAGGATAATGGCTAACTATGATGACCTTTTATCAGAGAGATCGAATCCATGATTAACATTTATCTATCACTTATAAAAATTTTCAGTTTGAAATCGATACAATATACTAATCAGTTGCTTTGCTTATTCACAATTTCAAAAAAGAAAGAAAAAATAGTGGAATCCAGAAACTTTGATAGAGCAATAGCTACTAAGTAAGGAAAAAGGAAATGATTCTTTTTTCGACAGCTTGTTTACTCAGAGTACGACTTTCTTACATGAAAAATAAACGAAAAAAAAAGAAGGGACAACAAAATCGACATTAATTTTCAAAGCAGCTGCTTTCAAAGGACTTCATTTGATCATGAACAAACCAGTTAAGATAACGAAACGACACAATGACATGTTTTGTTGTCGATATCGCTTAGTGGTGCGTTAATTTTTCTGTCAAAGTGATTTAAAAAGGAATTAACCTTGAATTTAATTCTCCATAGTATTGCAGGAACATTTAAAAAAGCAAACCAAAGATCGAATGAATCATTTGATCATTCTCTCAACGCATTCATTCTCAAAAATATTATGTAAGCTGATACTGCCATTAATACCAAATTAAAGCTAATCGTCTTACCTAAGAGATATTTGAAGGTAATTTTATGCAAGAGATTTTATCAGGACGATTTGTAACAAATACTTTGCATCGCATCGGAATCAGACTCTCTTCTAATTTACATTTAATAATATTAGTCACATTAGGAATAGTAATTTGTAAGTATTGTGATAGCGCAATTTTGTGGATAGAATATCAAAGACCATTTCTAGTCACAAGTATTTTGATATGCCAAATATGTGGGAAATATTTAACCGAAAAATAAGCGACGATCAAACGTCAAAGACATAACTAATTTGGCACATGTGATACTTGAATTTTATTTCTTTTAATTTCCTTAAATTATTTAAAAGAGAAAAACAGTTAAGGGTTGAAATTAGAATGGATTCAAGCAGGACATGGCCATAAACCCGAATAAACGAATGTTTAGAATATAGAAAGATATGAAAAAGTGCATCTATAAAAATTGCCAAGCACGGCTAATATATCCATAAAGAAAATTATTTTGCAACCGAAATTATTCATATCATCTGTTACCAAATTCTTGTTTACGATTGCGCAAATGATTTCAGATAATTTACGATTCGGCATGCCAATCATTAAGATCAAACTTCATAACTTCTCAATATTCTTCATAATCTTCACATTCA